CGACGACAGGGCTCCAGGACTCCGAGTCCTGCTACGACCACAAGCCGTCTCACTGCCCTCGCCGTACGGCTTGACGACCTGGGAAACTTGTGAACCATATTCCATCTGGGAGAACCCGAGACTCGAGAGCTACATCCAGGCAGAACTCTGAATGTAGAACACCGGTATAAGCCAGAAGAATTCGGTACAGCTTGCCACTAACAAGGCCGTTAAAATATGAATTAAGAATATTCCGACATATACAAGACCAAAGGAGGACCCGAAGGGGAAGGGACAATTCTATGTCACCCGCTTCTAGCTTCTTTTTCAAACCTTTCTGCACTCAAAATGTGCTCTTTATGGCCGTATCGTATTTCTCACCAATTTATGGAAGGAAAGAAATAACATTTCTTGCTCTGGTTGGTTCGTAAGCTCTCTTACTATACCTCAACTTTGAAAGTTGCATCTCGTTATATCGAACTTGCAGACGAGTAGTCAACTGTGCGATCAGCGCGAGGTTTACAGACCCCACTGATTTTTTGCTTTTCCCAACACGCTGTCTGGGTTGAACGACGCTACGCATGCGATGGGCTGCTCTTGTTTGCACCACCCTCAAGGTGAAGCGAATTGACTGGCGATTTTCGCCAATCGCAGTAACGATGTCGAAGGTGCGGAAGGGGTGTTCGGCAAAGTAGCAAGAAACTCTGAGAAACTTAGGAGTCTAGGTTTCTAAATTTAGGACACTAGCTTAGCTAGGATACAAGGAATGCCGCCATGGAATGGCGTGAGGAAAATAGATCTAGAAGCGGGGGAGAGAATGTCGAGAAAGAAGAGTTACGATTAGGAGATAGAGGAGTACAAGAAGGGGATTGTACTCTCTACAGGAAGGTTCAGTAACTACTATCAAGCCTATCAATTATATATAACTTATATAATCTTGACACACCCCCTAGGCTTGGTAGTCACACACCCACTCAACACACCACACACCCCCTAACCTAGCCCCTACTACCCTGCAGCACCAGTGGCTGTTGATAACCCAGTAGACCTCTCCACGGGCAGGGCAGCGACGACAGCTACGAGGGTGCGGTGGCGACCACGGCGGCGGCAGTAGTGACGACAGCAACGGCGGCGGCGGCGGCGTGCGGCGGCAAGTAGGCCAGCGGCAACAGCGGCGGCGGCGGGTGCTTCGACAACAGCAGCAGCGGCGGCGGCGCTCGCCCCACTCGGCGGCGTGGCCAGGTTCCGCGACGGTGGGACTGGCGATGCAAGGCAGCCGTCGACTGAGGCGAGGAAGAGGGGATGCAGAGGACGGGGGCAGGGCAACAGCAGCCCCCCCCCCCCCCGGTGTGGCGCGACAGGTCGTGGGCGTGCTGGCGTGCTCTAAGGCACGGCGCTGGCCGCCGTCGTCAGAGACGAATGCGCCCGGGCACCATGTCGCTGAGGCAGCACAGCGGCGCCGACACGTCGCGACGGCTTAACAACGACGTTGCCGCGTCGGCTATACGTCGACGCCACAACAGCGCGATGCCGCGGTACGACGTCGCCGCAACAGCAGCAAGCAGCGGTGGCCATGGCAGCGCAAGAGAGCGAGGAATGCGCAGCGGAAGAGATAGAAAACGGTCCGGTTGAAGGAACCGGCTCTGATACCATCTTAGAAACTTAGGAGTCTAGGTTCCTAAATTTAGGACACTAGCTTAGCTAGAATACAAGGAATGCCGCCATGGAATGGCGTGAGGAAAATAGATCTAGGAGTGGGGGAGAGAATGTCGAGAAAGAAGAGTTACGATTAGAAAGAGAGAGGAGTACAAGGAGGGGATTGTACCCTCTACAGGAAGGTTCAGTAACTACTATCAAGCCTATCAATTATATATAACTTATATAATCTTGACAGAAACTTGCCACGTTCTCCCACACTCCATCAGATAGAAACCCCACGACTCACTACTGCCACAACTTGGCAGTCTAGTTTGTGTGTTATCCTAGACAGTTGAGAAGACCTAAGAGCGTCCGTTGTCTGCGCTTTTACGGCCCTGTTAGAGTTGCCTCTTCGACCTGTCCTTTTAAAGCCCGTGCCATGGCGAAGCTTTCGGTGGCTCTCTGCGTAATTGCTGTTGCTTCCGCGCTGTTGGTGTTGCGATGCCACGCTCAGCCACTTTCGTCTTCCAGTGTAACAACCAAGGCTATTATAGTAGGGATTACACGCAAGGAATGCTCTCCAATATCAAAATCACCCTAGCTTATCCCTAGACTAGCCTTGAGGTTGTTGGTGAAGTCTTCAAAAGTGAGGCTTGAATGAAGAAGTCCTTACGATAGTTGTGTAGGGGAAGCTGTGAGGAGAGCTCAAAGACTTTGGAAAATAACATTTCCGAATTGGATTGTTGGACTTGGGAAAGGAAGAATGACCTTGGGAAAGCTCAACCCCTCCCTAGACCCCTTGGGGAGTTCCAACTCCTCCATGGCAACAAAGTGGAAGAGCTCCTAGAGTTGAGTTGCTTAGGTGGCATTTTAGGTTGGGTTGGTACCCATTTGAGAGCAAGTGTGTGGAAGAAAGTGTTGGATTGAGTTGGTTGTAACACCAACTGTCAATCTGTTGTTGGTTGCAAATCCAACCATTGGTTAGCAATGTGTAGGCTTGGGAATTCCCAAACCTCAATATACATGGTTGGAACTTCCAAATCACATTTGCCTTGGGTTGAGTGGTTAACCACATTTGTACACCCAACCCATCCTTCCCTAGCACAACTTTCTCATGCTTGCAACCTAGCACAGGTCACGCTATGGCGCCCTAGCTAGGTCGCGCCAATTGTGCTAGGTAGGTTTAGTATACGTTACATACAGTGCGTACTCCTTGTATACCCGTACCGACACTACCTACTGCTTAGGTCTCTCTACCGGCATCATGGTGTAATAATATGACGCACGGTTTTTTCCCCTTGTTTGTCTTATCGTCCGTAGAGCGCATACCTTTCTAAATCTGCTTCTGTTTTCCTGATGACGCTTGAGCCTCCTCTCATTTCTTGTTTCCTGCAGTTGTTATGACTGAATCAGATGGTCCGTTGGACCAGCTGTGCGCGGCATGCACAACGGTGGTACTTCAGGTGCAGATGGTGCTCTCGGATCCTGGCACCGCCGCTGATGTCATCGACGCCGTTGAAACGTACGCGTGCTCGCAGCTCGACACCAAGAAGGAAGCCTGGTGAAACCAACGTTTCCCTATTTTTTATTTCCCAATCAGAGTTTTGTTTAGAGAAGCCAGAAGACAAAGCTTCATGCTGAGATAGAATCTAGGGGCAGGCGCGCTGCCTGCTATCCTTTACGCTTCCTCTGTTCCCTTATTCTTGTTCATGTTTCTGTTAAAAACTGGACTCCTATCCCATATCGCATATTGTGTCTTCCAGTGCAACGCGATGGTGGAGCAGTACGTGCTACTGGTTATCGCTGAGATGAACAAGGATATCACATTCGACGACGTCTGCGTGCGCTTCCACGTCTGCCCGCCAAACCCTGGTTCAATCGCAGCCGTTGATCTGACCCCAGCGCCCGCCAGGGACAGCCTTGCCTACTCCATTCAGGAGGCGCTGCTGGGGGAGGCTGTATCTGACCCTGAGGACGTGGCAGGTGCAGCGATTGTGGTCGGCGGAGTGACTGCTATGGAAGGGGCAGTGGAGGGTCACAGTGCGCTGACAAACCGGGAGGACTGTGTGGCGTGCATGCTTATGGTGCGGGTGATCAGGAAGAGGCTGTCTGACCCCAAGACACAGGTGATTTCCCTAGGGAGAGCGATGGGGAAGGGTGGAATGGGATGGGAGGCAGTGAGAGAGGAAGGTTGGCTTTAGGGAGCTACAACTGTTATTATTCTTCTTCTATTTTGGTTTTCGTTTTTTAGAAACTTGCTTCTGATTTTTCTTTCCGCTGAACTCCCTCCAGGCACACATCATGGACTTCATTGTTGGAAGGTGCAACAAGCTGGCCAATCAGAGCCTCACCATTGAGGTAAGCCCACTGAGTTCAGGTTGCACCTTGCCACACATCACAGACTCGTCCCCTCTCCAATTTCCTTGTTTTTTCCTGCTGGTCCTTTCTTTGGTATAACTTTGAACCTTCCCACCCCTCCATGTTTCAACAGTGCATTAGCGCAGCAGAGGACATTCTGTCGGTTATCTTTGAGGAGCTGCCCAAGGTGTTGGACCCCAGGAAGATTTGCAAGAAGGCTGGCATGTGTGCCTTGCCCCTGCTGGTCGAGGGTTCGGTGGATTCTGGTGGTGGCGAGGATTCCAAGCTTCCGCTGCTGCTTCAGCTGCCTTCGGAAAAGAACTGGTGGGGAAGGGATGGCATGTGGGGAAGGCAGTGTAGGTTGTCCGAGGATGGCTGGCTGGAGATGTAAATCTGGTGCTTCACATGGGTACTAGAACTGGAACCAAGCTGCATCCAGGCTTGGTATTGTACATACAGTTTTTCTTTGGGTTCCTGTATGAGATCTACACATGGTTCGAATCCCTTTTTTCTTCATATGGCTCCCTTTGCTTAGGGTGTGTTCCTAACCTATCCCAATTGAGCTGTACTGTGCGGTTGATGGTAACTCGAGTTAAAATGTGGTACAGTACAGTTCGGCGCGATTTGGGACACAAGGACGTCACTACGTGAGGATTGGAATGAACCCTAACATTTCGTAGCGATAGATTGTAATGGCTAAGTTGACTCAATGCTATCGAGGCCCTCACAACGGCGGCATGGGTCCCCGCCAAATTGCTGGTTTCAAACTTTCAAATTGACGGCTCCCGCCATCGTCCACATCGTCCACGAGTATTTTGTGTATCTGTGGCCACAAAACTTTTCGCCTGACCGGAAATTCGCAAATTCCACTGGTGTGGTGGTGCCCTCGTTTGGCCCTTCCTGATCCCACCTTGGAAATATCTGGTCACCCAGTGTAATGTAGCACACTGTAGCGGGCATCGAGTCTCGGTTGAAGGCCTTCGCGACAGTATCCAGGTGGTAAGTTGGAAGAAACTTGTCAGCTCACCTGTCAGATCCGAGCTTCCCCTCAACCCGCGGGATGATCACCTTGAAGTTGTCGTCTCAGTCTACCTGCTTAGAGACTGTCTGGTCTCCAGCCATTAGCTCGTTACTGACCCAAGGTTAGATCAAGCCCGATCCACCACCTTAGTCTATTAAACGAGAGTCGTATTTTGCCACGAAATGGTGGTAAAACGGAGTCCAGCAGCCAAGACGGCGACCGCGCCTGCACGGCAGGTGAGACAAGCAAGCACGCAGTTTATATCAGTTAAATCGCTGATATAATAGATGCTGACATGTCATTGCTTGCCGAAGGAGTCCATCCTGCCAACGGACAGTAGAAGAAGGTGCTCGTTCAGACAGACCTCGCGGAACTCGGAGAATGTACCATGACAATGCGGCCCTTGGACGGCTGCACGGAGGCATCGTGCTTCTGAAATGTAGCTAAAGTGCTGATGGGATAGAATGCTGGCTGGCCGAACGCTTGCCGGACGCACTGTTTACGATGCGAGCAGGCAGTAAGAAATGCTTCTCGTTCAGGTTGATCTCGCAGAAATTGAGGAGTATATAGAGGAAGCGCAGCCCCTGTACATCTGCACGACGATAGTGGTAGTTCTGGGAAGCGTACACGAATAATGGCGTCGCGACTCGCGACGTAATCGTCGAATGATCACGATAAACTTTGTTACGTATTCACGACCGAAAGATCATTCGTTGGTGAAGTCGAGGCGAAATGATGAAAGGACGTTTTCTGCATTGACCCTGGTTAGACGATCAGCTGTAACCACGATGCTGGTGACGTGGCTAAAAACTCAAGCCGTCGGATGGCTTGGTGGCATGCGTATCGCCATTGTCATCCGTTTTCAAGTCTACCAACTTGAAAGGCTACAGCGTGGTTGAATGGATCTCTGAGGAGAAGAAAGCTTCCATTTTCTGATCTTGATCCGTTCCCTTTCCCTGCCTCACGACTGCCCACAGAGACCCGCAAGGGGATCTGCCGCTCGAAAATCTACGAACGGAGCTGTTTCTGCCTCCCCCGCCTCCGCTCCGAGACGTTCCCCCGCTTCCTCGTCGAAGGGGAAGGGGAGGGAGAGGAAGGCCAGGGAGCCAGTGGATGAGGAGATGGACTTGGATGAAGCGGCCCTTGTGGAATTAAAGGACTCTGCGATCGAGAAGATCTTGACGAAGGCAGGGGAGGTGGAGGAGGAGATGGTGGTGAAAGGGAAGGGGAAAGTAAAGGCGAAGGAGGAGGAGGGCGAGGATGAGGATGTGTCGGTGGAAGAGACGGATAAGATTCCGGGCCGGGAGGCGAAGGCGCGGTGGCCAGAGCGGTGCAAGGAGGCGAGAGGAGTCGCCCACTACTCGGCAGTCACAGTAGAGGGCCACGTGTACAGGCTGGGCGACGATGTCTCAGTCAAGGTGTGAGAAAATGCGTTGGTTCTTGATAATTCTAAAAAACCAACTGTGGAGGGCCACCTGTACATGCTCGGATGTTACTGTCCATGTGTGCTTGTTAATGCAGCCTTCCAACCTTCACGCCCATTTTCTTTCCAGTCATGTTCTGCGCTGCGGAGCAGCAGTTTTCCAACCCTCACTCATTCGATCCTGATTGAACTTCTCACGCTTCCACCCCATCAAGCTCTTCTGATTGTTAAGCTCCTCCGACCCGTGTCTTGGGTGGCAGGGTGAGCCCAAGTGCCCGGATTACATGGGAACGATCAAGGAGATATTTAAGCCTGCGAAAGGGGAGTTCTCGTGCCAGCTGCGCTGGTACTTTCGCTACAGCGACACGGTGGGTGCTCTGATGATGAATCTGGTACACATGGGGAAGGGTGAGGCCAGGCGCCAGGACTACATGTGGGCAATCAAGGAGGTGTTTAAGCCGGCGAAGGGGGGGCGACTTGTGCTTGCTGCTATGATACTTCCCCGCCCACAGTGACACGGTGAATGCTCTGATGTTGATGCTGCTGCAACAGCGTGAGTGGGTGTGACAGGACAGGGTGGGTGCTCTGATGTTGATGCTGCTGCAACAGCGTGAGTGGGTGTGACAGGACAGGGTGGGTGCTCTGATGTTGATGCTGCTGCAACAGCGTGAGTGGGTGTGACAGGACAGGGTGGGTGCTCTGATGTTGATGCTGCTGCAACAGCGTGAGTGGGTGTGACAGGACAGGGTGGGTGCTCTGATGTTGATGCTGCTGCAACAGCGTGAGTGGGTGTGACAGGACAGGGTGGGTGCTCTGATGTTGATGCTGCTGCAACAGCGTGAGTGGGTGTGACAGGACAGGGTGGGTGCTCTGATGTTGATGCTGCTGCAACAGCGTGAGTGGGTGTGACAGGACAGGGTGGGTGCTCTGATGTTGATGCTGCTGCAACAGCGTGAGTGGGTGTGACAGGACAGGGTGGGTGCTCTGATGTTGATGCTGCTGCAACAGCGTGAGTGGGTGTGACAGGACAGGGTGGGTGCTCTGATGTTGATGCTGCTGCAACAGCGTGAGTGGGTGTGACAGGACAGGGTGGGTGCTCTGATGTTGATGCTGCTGCAACAGCGTGAGTGGGTGTGACAGGACAGGGTGGGTGCTCTGATGTTGATGCTGCTGCAACAGCGTGAGTGGGTGTGACAGGACAGGGTGGGTGCTCTGATGTTGATGCTGCTGCAACAGCGTGAGTGGGTGTGACAGGACAGGGTGGGTGCTCTGATGTTGATGCTGCTGCAACAGCGTGAGTGGGTGTGACAGGACAGGGTGGGTGCTCTGATGTTGATGCTGCTGCAACAGCGTGAGTGGGTGTGACAGGACAGGGTGGGTGCTCTGATGTTGATGCTGCTGCAACAGCGTGAGTGGGTGTGACAGGACAGGGTGGGTGCTCTGATGTTGATGCTGCTGCAACAGCGTGAGTGGGTGTGACAGGACAGGGTGGGTGCTCTGATGTTGATGCTGCTGCAACAGCGTGAGTGGGTGTGACAGGACAGGGTGGGTGCTCTGATGTTGATGCTGCTGCAACAGCGTGAGTGGGTGTGACAGGACAGGGTGGGTGCTCTGATGTTGATGCTGCTGCAACAGCGTGAGTGGGTGTGACAGGACAGGGTGGGTGCTCTGATGTTGATGCTGCTGCAACAGCGTGAGTGGGTGGGGGGGGGGGGGGGGGGGGGGGTGTGACAGGACAGGGTGGGTGCTCTGATGTTGATGCTGCTGCAACAGCGTGAGTGGGTGTGACAGGACAGGGTGGGTGCTCTGATGTTGATGCTGCTGCAACAGCGTGAGTGGGTGTGACAGGACAGGGTGGGTGCTCTGATGTTGATGCTGCTGCAACAGCGTGAGTGGGTGTGACAGGACAGGGTGGGTGCTCTGATGTTGATGCTGCTGCAACAGCGTGAGTGGGTGTGACAGGACAGGGTGGGTGCTCTGATGTTGATGCTGCTGCAACAGCGTGAGTGGGTGTGACAGGACAGGGTGGGTGCTCTGATGTTGATGCTGCTGCAACAGCGTGAGTGGGTGTGACAGGACAGGGTGGGTGCTCTGATGTTGATGCTGCTGCAACAGCGTGAGTGGGTGTGACAGGACAGGGTGGGTGCTCTGATGTTGATGCTGCTGCAACAGCGTGAGTGGGTGTGACAGGACAGGGTGGGTGCTCTGATGTTGATGCTGCTGCAACAGCGTGAGTGGGTGTGACAGGACAGGGTGGGTGCTCTGATGTTGATGCTGCTGCAACAGCGTGAGTGGGTGTGACAGGACAGGGTGGGTGCTCTGATGTTGATGCTGCTGCAACAGCGTGAGTGGGTGTGACAGGACAGGGTGGGTGCTCTGATGTTGATGCTGCTGCAACAGCGTGAGTGGGTGTGACAGGACAGGGTGGGTGCTCTGATGTTGATGCTGCTGCAACAGCGTGAGTGGGTGTGACAGGACAGGGTGGGTGCTCTGATGTTGATGCTGCTGCAACAGCGTGAGTGGGTGTGACAGGACAGGGTGGGTGCTCTGATGTTGATGCTGCTGCAACAGCGTGAGTGGGTGTGACAGGACAGGGTGGGTGCTCTGATGTTGATGCTGCTGCAACAGCGTGAGTGGGTGTGACAGGACAGGGTGGGTGCTCTGATGTTGATGCTGCTGCAACAGCGTGAGTGGGTGTGACAGGACAGGGTGGGTGCTCTGATGTTGATGCTGCTGCAACAGCGTGAGTGGGTGTGACAGGACAGGGTGGGTGCTCTGATGTTGATGCTGCTGCAACAGCGTGAGTGGGTGTGACAGGACAGGGTGGGTGCTCTGATGTTGATGCTGCTGCAACAGCGTGAGTGGGTGTGACAGGACAGGGTGGGTGCTCTGATGTTGATGCTGCTGCAACAGCGTGAGTGGGTGTGACAGGACAGGGTGGGTGCTCTGATGTTGATGCTGCTGCAACAGCGTGAGTGGGTGTGACAGGACAGGGTGGGTGCTCTGATGTTGATGCTGCTGCAACAGCGTGAGTGGGTGTGACAGGACAGGGTGGGTGCTCTGATGTTGATGCTGCTGCAACAGCGTGAGTGGGTGTGACAGGACAGGGTGGGTGCTCTGATGTTGATGCTGCTGCAACAGCGTGAGTGGGTGTGACAGGACAGGGTGGGTGCTCTGATGTTGATGCTGCTGCAACAGCGTGAGTGGGTGTGACAGGACAGGGTGGGTGCTCTGATGTTGATGCTGCTGCAACAGCGTGAGTGGGTGTGACAGGACAGGGTGGGTGCTCTGATGTTGATGCTGCTGCAACAGCGTGAGTGGGTGTGACAGGACAGGGTGGGTGCTCTGATGTTGATGCTGCTGCAACAGCGTGAGTGGGTGTGACAGGACAGGGTGGGTGCTCTGATGTTGATGCTGCTGCAACAGCGTGAGTGGGTGTGACAGGACAGGGTGGGTGCTCTGATGTTGATGCTGCTGCAACAGCGTGAGTGGGTGTGACAGGACAGGGTGGGTGCTCTGATGTTGATGCTGCTGCAACAGCGTGAGTGGGTGTGACAGGACAGGGTGGGTGCTCTGATGTTGATGCTGCTGCAACAGCGTGAGTGGGTGTGACAGGACAGGGTGGGTGCTCTGATGTTGATGCTGCTGCAACAGCGTGAGTGGGTGTGACAGGACAGGGTGGGTGCTCTGATGTTGATGCTGCTGCAACAGCGTGAGTGGGTGTGACAGGACAGGGTGGGTGCTCTGATGTTGATGCTGCTGCAACAGCGTGAGTGGGTGTGACAGGACAGGGTGGGTGCTCTGATGTTGATGCTGCTGCAACAGCGTGAGTGGGTGTGACAGGACAGGGTGGGTGCTCTGATGTTGATGCTGCTGCAACAGCGTGAGTGGGTGTGACAGGACAGGGTGGGTGCTCTGATGTTGATGCTGCTGCAACAGCGTGAGTGGGTGTGACAGGACAGGGTGGGTGCTCTGATGTTGATGCTGCTGCAACAGCGTGAGTGGGTGTGACAGGACAGGGTGGGTGCTCTGATGTTGATGCTGCTGCAACAGCGTGAGTGGGTGTGACAGGACAGGGTGGGTGCTCTGATGTTGATGCTGCTGCAACAGCGTGAGTGGGTGTGACAGGACAGGGTGGGTGCTCTGATGTTGATGCTGCTGCAACAGCGTGAGTGGGTGTGACAGGACAGGGTGGGTGCTCTGATGTTGATGCTGCTGCAACAGCGTGAGTGGGTGTGACAGGACAGGGTGGGTGCTCTGATGTTGATGCTGCTGCAACAGCGTGAGTGGGTGTGACAGGACAGGGTGGGTGCTCTGATGTTGATGCTGCTGCAACAGCGTGAGTGGGTGTGACAGGACAGGGTGGGTGCTCTGATGTTGATGCTGCTGCAACAGCGTGAGTGGGTGTGACAGGACAGGGTGGGTGCTCTGATGTTGATGCTGCTGCAACAGCGTGAGTGGGTGTGACAGGACAGGGTGGGTGCTCTGATGTTGATGCTGCTGCAACAGCGTGAGTGGGTGTGACAGGACAGGGTGGGTGCTCTGATGTTGATGCTGCTGCAACAGCGTGAGTGGGTGTGACAGGACAGGGTGGGTGCTCTGATGTTGATGCTGCTGCAACAGCGTGAGTGGGTGTGACAGGACAGGGTGGGTGCTCTGATGTTGATGCTGCTGCAACAGCGTGAGTGGGTGTGACAGGACAGGGTGGGTGCTCTGATGTTGATGCTGCTGCAACAGCGTGAGTGGGTGTGACAGGACAGGGTGGGTGCTCTGATGTTGATGCTGCTGCAACAGCGTGAGTGGGTGTGACAGGACAGGGTGGGTGCTCTGATGTTGATGCTGCTGCAACAGCGTGAGTGGGTGTGACAGGACAGGGTGGGTGCTCTGATGTTGATGCTGCTGCAACAGCGTGAGTGGGTGTGACAGGACAGGGTGGGTGCTCTGATGTTGATGCTGCTGCAACAGCGTGAGTGGGTGTGACAGGACAGGGTGGGTGCTCTGATGTTGATGCTGCTGCAACAGCGTGAGTGGGTGTGACAGGACAGGGTGGGTGCTCTGATGTTGATGCTGCTGCAACAGCGTGAGTGGGTGTGACAGGACAGGGTGGGTGCTCTGATGTTGATGCTGCTGCAACAGCGTGAGTGGGTGTGACAGGACAGGGTGGGTGCTCTGATGTTGATGCTGCTGCAACAGCGTGAGTGGGTGTGACAGGACAGGGTGGGTGCTCTGATGTTGATGCTGCTGCAACAGCGTGAGTGGGTGTGACAGGACAGGGTGGGTGCTCTGATGTTGATGCTGCTGCAACAGCGTGAGTGGGTGTGACAGGACAGGGTGGGTGCTCTGATGTTGATGCTGCTGCAACAGCGTGAGTGGGTGTGACAGGACAGGGTGGGTGCTCTGATGTTGATGCTGCTGCAACAGCGTGAGTGGGTGTGACAGGACAGGGTGGGTGCTCTGATGTTGATGCTGCTGCAACAGCGTGAGTGGGTGTGACAGGACAGGGTGGGTGCTCTGATGTTGATGCTGCTGCAACAGCGTGAGTGGGTGTGACAGGACAGGGTGGGTGCTCTGATGTTGATGCTGCTGCAACAGCGTGAGTGGGTGTGACAGGACAGGGTGGGTGCTCTGATGTTGATGCTGCTGCAACAGCGTGAGTGGGTGTGACAGGACAGGGTGGGTGCTCTGATGTTGATGCTGCTGCAACAGCGTGAGTGGGTGTGACAGGACAGGGTGGGTGCTCTGATGTTGATGCTGCTGCAACAGCGTGAGTGGGTGTGACAGGACAGGGTGGGTGCTCTGATGTTGATGCTGCTGCAACAGCGTGAGTGGGTGTGACAGGACAGGGTGGGTGCTCTGATGTTGATGCTGCTGCAACAGCGTGAGTGGGTGTGACAGGACAGGGTGGGTGCTCTGATGTTGATGCTGCTGCAACAGCGTGAGTGGGTGTGACAGGACAGGGTGGGTGCTCTGATGTTGATGCTGCTGCAACAGCGTGAGTGGGTGTGACAGGACAGGGTGGGTGCTCTGATGTTGATGCTGCTGCAACAGCGTGAGTGGGTGTGACAGGACAGGGTGGGTGCTCTGATGTTGATGCTGCTGCAACAGCGTGAGTGGGTGTGACAGGACAGGGTGGGTGCTCTGATGTTGATGCTGCTGCAACAGCGTGAGTGGGTGTGACAGGACAGGGTGGGTGCTCTGATGTTGATGCTGCTGCAACAGCGTGAGTGGGTGTGACAGGACAGGGTGGGTGCTCTGATGTTGATGCTGCTGCAACAGCGTGAGTGGGTGTGACAGGACAGGGTGGGTGCTCTGATGTTGATGCTGCTGCAACAGCGTGAGTGGGTGTGACAGGACAGGGTGGGTGCTCTGATGTTGATGCTGCTGCAACAGCGTGAGTGGGTGTGACAGGACAGGGTGGGTGCTCTGATGTTGATGCTGCTGCAACAGCGTGAGTGGGTGTGACAGGACAGGGTGGGTGCTCTGATGTTGATGCTGCTGCAACAGCGTGAGTGGGTGTGACAGGACAGGGTGGGTGCTCTGATGTTGATGCTGCTGCAACAGCGTGAGTGGGTGTGACAGGACAGGGTGGGTGCTCTGATGTTGATGCTGCTGCAACAGCGTGAGTGGGTGTGACAGGACAGGGTGGGTGCTCTGATGTTGATGCTGCTGCAACAGCGTGAGTGGGTGTGACAGGACAGGGTGGGTGCTCTGATGTTGATGCTGCTGCAACAGCGTGAGTGGGTGTGACAGGACAGGGTGGGTGCTCTGATGTTGATGCTGCTGCAACAGCGTGAGTGGGTGTGACAGGACAGGGTGGGTGCTCTGATGTTGATGCTGCTGCAACAGCGTGAGTGGGTGTGACAGGACAGGGTGGGTGCTCTGATGTTGATGCTGCTGCAACAGCGTGAGTGGGTGTGACAGGACAGGGTGGGTGCTCTGATGTTGATGCTGCTGCAACAGCGTGAGTGGGTGTGACAGGACAGGGTGGGTGCTCTGATGTTGATGCTGCTGCAACAGCGTGAGTGGGTGTGACAGGACAGGGTGGGTGCTCTGATGTTGATGCTGCCACAGTGTGAGTGGCTGTGACACGGTGGCTGCTCTGATGTTCATACTGCTACAACTGTGTGGGTGTTTTGACTGATAGGGCCCTTCGTTAGCCACTTCCCTTGGGACCAATGAACCCACTACCTTTTTTCCCCCTCGTCTGATGCATCTTTTACCATCCCCACCATTCCTCCTCCCTCTTTTCCCCTCCCCCCCACCGCTCACCACCAATACTCGCCGCCCTCCACCCCCACCCCCCGTCCCCCCCCCCCCCCTTTCCATCGCTCCCCCCCCCACCTCCTCCAGGCGATGGGGACGTTGGGGGACAGCATTGTGGATCCGCGTGTGTGCTTCTGGTCGCGGGAGACGGACGACAATCCTGCCAGCTGCATCACTGGGCGAATGCGAGTCAAGCGAGTCAAGCCTCCGGTACGATGAACCTGGACACGCCTGTCTAATGCAGCATAGTAATGGAGGGATTTTTGGGACTCAGTGTGTGCACTCACTGTGGAATTTCTTACCCCCGTGCCCTCACTTAAGTCTGGATCCAAGGAGGCGTTGGAGATACCAGTAGACGTGGACTACGTGTACTAACTATCATGGGTACTCCTGCTATTTCCCTTTCAGCCTCTCGCTCTGCTCTCTTCCATTTACCTCCATGCTCACAATGCAGTCCGGACCCAAGGAGGCGTTGGAGATACCAGCGGATGTGGACTATGTGTATTACCACGTGTACTCTTATGACTTCTCCACCTTCTCCGACGTGCCTGATGATGAGTGTAAGTGCGACTGTTGAGTCAAGGTGACTTGTGAGTCGGCTCAAGCGTGGGCAACGTGCATTACCCTATGACTTTTCCACCTTCTCCGACATGCCTGATGATGAGAGTGTAAGTGCGACTTTGTCACACGGCGGCACTAGATCCAAATCCCCATCATGTTCAGATGAGGCACCGTGCCCTACCCAACACTGTGTTGGCAGTTTCTCACACTGTGTTGGAAGCCGCACACGCTGTGTTGACAGCCTCTCACACTGTGTGTTGCCCCTCTTCTTCCTCCGCTTCCCTCAACTTCCACAGGCGAGCAAAAGCTGGATGACCAGCCAGATCCGGCAGCTGTCAATGGGGTTCTCACGCACCCCACTGGGATAAACGGGGTCAATGGGGAGAGTGAGAAGCTGGAGGTAGATTGCAAGGAAGAGTCTAACGACAGGCACGAGGAAGGAGGAGGGGATAAGACTATGGCGTGTAAGGAGGAGCCCGAGGGTAGGGATGAGAATGACCTGGGAAATGAGCTTACCAATGCACGAGGGGGAGAAACAAGAGAAAAGAGGAAAGAGCAGGTAGAGGAGGGGCGTGGAGGACTAGCGGGGGCGAGTGTGGAGGGTGTGGAGGGTGGGGAGGGACAGGGAGGAGGCGGGGGAGAGGGTGATATAGGGGGGGCTGCTGGAGGTTCAGGGGGAGAAAATGGCACAGTGAAGCTGGAAGGGAAGGTGGCAGGCGGGGAGGCTGAAGGCACGGCGGTAGAAGCTGTGAAGTTAGAGAATGGCGGGGCAGTAGAGGGTGGAGATGTTAGTGCGGAGGAGAAGAGGGAGAGCAAGGAGGAGGGAGACACTGGGAACGGGGGGGTGAAAGGAGAGGACGGAGATGGCCAGGAGGAGGAAGGAGCGACAGGTAAAGCTGTTGCGGCGCGCAAGAAGGGGCGGCTGTCTGGTGGTGTGGGCCGTGCTGCTGCTGTCTCCCCCGTTGGGGTGGTGCTCCCGCCTCAGTCGATGCGCTTGACTCTCCTCGATATGTACAGCGGGTGCGGTGCCATGTCCACTGGGATTGAGATGGGCGGCACTCCCAGGGGCGTCACCATTGACACGGTGAGTCACAGGGTTATGTGAACCCTTAAGCCTTAGACCTAGAGTCTGTTTGGGGACTACAGCTTGACTCTCCTCGACATGTACAGCGGCTGTGGTGCATGTCCAAACGGGCGGCACTCCCAGGGGCGTCACCATTGACACTGTGAGTCACAGGGTTATGTGAACCCTTAAGCCTTAGACCTAGAGTCTGTTTCGGGATTACAGCCTGACTCTCCTCGACATGTACAGCGGCTGTGGCGCATGTCCGAATGGGCGGCACGCAAAGGGGCGTCACCATTGACGCGGTGAGTCGTAGAGCCCCTAAAACCCGTGTATGCAGCTGACTGACCTTGCTGGACATGCACAGTGCGCGCGGTGCCATGTTCACTGGGACTGAATTGTGCGGCACGACAGTGGGCGTCACTATTGTCACTGATTAACGCGGATATGTGAACTCTTCACCTAAACCCTGAAATTCAATTCGGGATTTACAGATTGACTGTGGTGGACATGTACCGTATATGTGGTGCCATGTCCACTGGGATTGAGATGGGCGGCATGTCATGGGGCGTCACTATCGACACTGTGAGGCACTGAACGAGCTGGAACCTGAAGGTGGAAAATTACGGATTTCGTATTATACGGTCCGTTTTATACAGCCCGTATAATACTGCAGAAAAAAAAAAAAAAAAAAAAAAAAACTTGCAGAAACAGGTTGCATCGTGGCTACAACCGTCTACTCAGGGCTAAGGGGGCTAACAAATAGTTCTACAGGAACGTATGTTAAATCTTAGCCCGCCTCCTCCTCTTCCTCCTCCACCTCTTCCTCCCCACTATCACAGTCACCATCGTCCCATAAAATTAACAACACTCACGAACTACCACGGTGCACCCGAAAGTGATTACAATTGTGATTACAATATTTTTTTCCAGGTTTTGGGTGGTTAAAAGAATACGACCGTATTATACGACCGTTTTTTTGCACCAACCCAAAGACGCACCTCTGGACCGTTTTAAATCGTAATAAACGGCCGAATTCCACGATACCATATTATATGGTAAAAAAGAACCACCTTTTTTTCTCTCTCATGTACAGCATTTGGTAAAAAACTCGCGACCTCTGCTTGTAATGAGCAAGCCCATCTCATGCCTTTGCTTTGCTTGCTTCGTGTGCTGCAGTGCTGGTCCGTGGACTTCAATGCACCAGCATGCGAGAGCATGGAGTACAACCACCCACACTGCCAGGTGAGTGCGCTGATTTATAACACAGGTGTGCCAGCCAGGTGAGTACAACCACGCACATTATGAGTTCCTGGTGATACTCCAACAGCTGTCCTCCCTGTTGGACTAGTTCTGAAGCGCCCCCACGATTGCTGTTGCTGAATCATCTGCACTCCTTTGAGCTCTTCCTCCTGTCCTCCCCCCCCTCCCCCTTCCCCCCCCTTCCCTGATTCTGCTCAGGTGTGCAACGAGAGACAGCTGACGATACTCAAAGCGCTGCCCTCCCTGCTGCTGAGCCGCTGTGCCGTGGCATCGTATGACTCTTTTCCCCCTCGCCCTCACTCCCTTTTATGCACTTGCCCAGGTGCGCAACGAGACGGCCGACGAGTTTCTGGAGATACTAAAAGAGCTGCCGGCCCTGCTGAGCCGCTATGGAGTGAGCTCCGCTGGAGCCTCGGGGTCCTCTGGGTCCCCTGGGTCGGCACCAGCAGTGGTTGTGGAGGCAGGTGGGGAAGTGGGGAGCAAGGCTGTGGCGCATAAGCACAAGGTGGTTCACCACTCGCACCACCAGCAGCAGGAAGGGGAAGGATCGGGAGAGAAGGTGGGGGACGGAGAAGAGGAGGAGATGGAGGAGGAGGAGGAGGAAGAGGAGGAGGAGGTTGAGACGAGAGGGAGGGGGAAGAGGAAGAGGGGGAAGGGGAAGGCAGCTGATGCGAAGAAGTTGTCATCTGGGAACAAGGGGCAGGAGGGACAGGCGAGTGATGGTGCAGGGGGCAAGGGCACCTCTGGGAAGGGAGAGGCAAAGGCAGCGGGAGAGGAGGAGAGCAGTGACGAGGAGATTGACGAGGGGGAGTTTGAGGTGGGGCAGATCGTTGGGGTGAGGTACATTGCTCCCACGGAGAAGGGACGACCTGCAGGCATTTACTTTAAGGTGAGTTGGATTGTTTGTGCTGATGTTGCAGTCTGTCTGCTTACCTGTGTGGTTGATGCAAGAGTATGATATATATCATATCTTCGTGCTGGGCGAGTTGGGGCATGCACACCTCTCTTACCTGTCATAGCCATGCTCCTCACTGTTTCACATGCAGGTTCGATGGAAGGGGTATGGCCCACTGGACGACACCTGGGAGGCAGAGGAAAGCCTCAGGTGAGCCTGCCTAAGTCTTCCCTGGGTGAGCGCGCTCTATTATGCCACAACATGCCATGTCATACCACACCATGCCATGTTTTTCCATGCCATGCCATGCCAACCAGGAGCAGGACATTGTCATGGCGTACTAGTGACATCACATTGTCATGGCGTAATTGTGACATCACATTGTCATGGCGTAATAGTGACATCACATTGTCATGGCATAATAGTGACATCACATTGTCATGGCGTAATAGTGACATCACATTGTCATGTTGTCACAGTGTCATCACATTGTCATTGTGTAACAGCAACATCACAATGCCATGGTGTAACCATAGCAACACCTCGTCGTCTGCACAATGCCCTCACGGTTGTGTCTGCAGCTCGTGCAAGCCGGCCATCAGGGACTATCTGGTGGAGCTGAAGGAGAAGAAGCTGCTCCCTTTGCCGGTAAGAAGCGGATTGCTGCAGTTTTCCCAGGTCGTCTTTGTTGCTGCATCTCGTGCAAGCAAGCAATGAGGGATTATCTGTGGAGGTTGAGGAGAAACCGAGGAGAAACCGAGGAGAAACCGAAGAGAAACCGATTTCCTTGCCTGCAAGGCTCTTGCTGCTCTGCTGCCCACCAAAACCTGTAGTAGCTGTATTGTCCATAAGCATCCAGCTCGCCAAGGCTCTTTAAGCTTTCTTGGCAGGGCGACGTAGTGACTTTTGAGTCGACTCAAAAGTCAGCGGTATTGTCCATAAGCACCCAGCTCGCCAAGGCTCTTTAAGCTTTCTTGGCAGGACGACGTTGACACCATCTGTGGAGGGCCCCCGTGCCAGGGGGTGAGTGGGTTCAACCGGTTCCGCAACATGGAAGTCCTTTTGTCCTGCATGAAGAACCATTCTGAGGTGCCTCATATTGAATCTCTCTCTGCCCACTTTCATGCCAGGGCGACGTTGACATCATCTGTGGAGGGCCCCCGTGCCAGGGCGTGAGCGGGTTCAACCGTTTCCGCAACATGGAAGACCCGCTGGCGTGCGAGAAGAACCGGCAGCTGATCGTGTTCATGGACATCGTGGCATGGCTGGCGCCCAAGTGGGTGCTCATGGAGAATGTCGTCGATTTGATGAAGTTCAAAGACGGGATCCTGGCGAAATATGCGATCGCACGACTGGTTGGCATGGGATACAAGGTGAGAGTACGGGATTGGTTCTCTGCGTAAACCGTTGCTTCTCTATCGATTGGATCCCCTTGTCAATTGGATCTCTAAGACCCCAATTCCATCTTCCTTTCACCACCTGTTCCCCCCATGCAGTCTCGCACCGGAATCATCGCAGCCGGGTGCTTTGGAGTCGCACAGTTCCGCCTTCGAGCCTTCTTCTTCGGCGCATTGAATGGCCATGTAATGACAGCCTTTTTTCTTTGTATGCTGGTCACGTACTCTAGCTTAATAAGCCAAGGAACCTGTACCCCATTTAACACTTGTGTGTTATGCACCCTTGTGCCAAGCCTCCAATTTGCAATCATCTGAGCGCTTGCTAATGTGACATCCCCTTATTCCTTTATCTTTTCCCCCCCTCCCTTTACCCTCTTAAGGCGCTTCCAAGCTTCCCCTTGCCAACCCATCTCGTTGCTAGTGAAAGAGGCTGTGTGCCAACCCGCTGGTTGGTGAGTAATGGTTAGAGGGATTGCTAAGAGAATGTAAGTGGCTTTTTTTAGGCGCTTAAAACCGGGGTGTAGCGTTTAGGACGTGGTAACCATGTAATTGGCAAAGTCGCTGATGCCATCAACCATTCAAAATCTGTTTCCTCGAGTTTACTTGCATAACATTAGAAAAACGCTAGACGGTGGTTATAGGTTATAGACCCCTCCCTCCCATGCACACATCTCTTTGCTAGGGAAAGAGGCAGTAGGCCAACTCGTTGGACGGTGAGTGGCAGGTAGTTAGGAATACCTTTGGAGTTTCGGCTACACACGATCTTCTTCTCAATGGTTGCTGATTGTGTGCTTAGAGCCTCTCTTGGTTACCCTTACTCCAGTATGTTGACTTCACTTCTCGGGTTCATATCGTTGCAGAGAAACTTTGTTGGTTGGGAAGAGAAGTCTCCCGTGCTGAAGACGCTGAGGCCGGCGCTCGTCCTAAAGGATGTCATCTCGGAACTCCCCCCGGTGAGCTCGCTTTTCTTGCGATTACCATGATCATGTTGATGGGTGTATGGATGGGTGAAAGAATACATGAGGGACAAGGAACTGAGGCTGGTAAGTAAGGCGTAGCTTGTATGCTTAGGCATGACTTGCGACGATCTTACAAAGGTCACAATGAATGCGATAACACCACCCTCGCAATAGGCCTCGTACGTGCTACACTGATGATTGATGCAGAGCTTTTGAATCGACCCAATGGAAAAAGAAAGAATGGAGGAAAGAATGGCTCATTTGTAGGATGAGGTGCAAGTCGAATCAGCGAGCCAGTGTGCTTGGACGAACCATGAAAGACAAGATTCTTGGTGGGATGAATCATGCTCGTACTGCTGCAAGCACACAATGATTCAACGTGCTTGAAGCCAATGAAGTACGCTGGAGGGCTTTTTGCAGCCAAGCGAAGTAAGCAGTCCTTTTGAGGGGCCACAGCATTTGCATTAAAAGTTGAGCCGTGAGGAAGGTGAGTGAGTGGAGTGGAGCCCCAACTGCCAAGACCGCTATCGAGGTGAGATGGAGTCAGTTTGCCTGATAGAGATCTCTAGTAGTAATGATGTGCGACAAAGCATAAAGACCTCGTTCTGTGACAAAATTGGCATCTTGTGGCTTTCACCCAACTAATGCAGGTGACAAACGCCACAACAGCTGACGTCATGAATTACACACGGCCGCCTGCCAATAACTTCCAACGATTCATACGCCTCCCCAAGTCCGGTAAACCCACTTCTTGCTCCATCGTTCTCTTCTCAATTGGTCCTTTGTATTACATAGAAGAAGGGTACATGCAAGAACATAGGGACACGCACAAAGGTGAGTCCTAACAGCGCCGGCTCAAGTACTTGATGGAGATCTCCCACGGGCAGGGGCTCCGCTCGTCCGCCCCAAGGCGACTCCTCGGCCGCCGAGGCCTGGTTGATCTTGGTGTTCAGTGCCACCGCTTGGTGCCACCGCTTGCCCCCGTTGCAGAGTGACGGACCACTGTTGAAGGTACTCGTGGAAAAGTTTGGCAGCTTCGTGTGAAGTAGGTGCCGCGTTGTACCGCTTCTTCTCGGCCAGAACCGAAAGCAAGGAGACCAACCTCTTCACGAGGGTGGCCAACCTTTGGGCGGACGAAGCCATCCACCACCCTTGCACGGGAACGGTCTGGCTGTGTGACGTCACTGTCACGGACCCTATTTCCAAGGAGGACCCGAATGCCCGCAAGGGGACCGGCTGGGCTGGGCGGGTGGCAGCTCGAGGAAAGGAGAACAAGTACCGCCCAACTGCCCGGGACGAGTGGGTCGGCTTCTTTGCCATGGCGGCTGAAACGTATAGGCTCACCTCGCTGCTATTCGAGCGCATTGATCACAAAGACTGTGATGGGTGCCCGTTCGACCAGAGCCATCGGCACAGGGCAAGCGGGGGTCCTGGATGGGCTGGCGCTTGGGGCAGTCACAGACATGGGGCGTTGAGAACGGGAGGTCGAGGTGGAATGCGACCGCCGTGGAGAACTGGCTGGGGGAAAGACGCAGGGCAGAGGCCAGAGGGAGGGAGTGGAGCCAATCACCAGCACCTGGACCCGCGAGGGACTGGAGGTGCTGGGTGTGTCCCTGCAGTGTGTTGAGCGGCATCAGGCGAGCCTAATCGGGCAGGAGTGTGTAACGCTCCACCTGCACTTGCAGCGCTAGAGCTCGTTGCAGCTTAGGTGGGTCAGGGCAGGCGCGCTCGAGCCGCAGCAGATCGGCAGCCGAGGCGGGAAGAGCGTTCTCGAGTGAGACGAGGCACTGGGGGAACGGCGCGGCTGCAGCGGCGTCTGGGGTTATCTGCTCGAGTAGGCCGGCCACTGCCGGCGGCACCTCGGGGAGATCGTTCAGCAAGTGGGTAGAAGCCGCAACGGAGGTGAGGTAGCTCGAGCCGGCTTCCACAGCCGGGTTGCTGGTCCCAAGGCCCCCGAGGGTGGTGGGCAGGGACGCTTGGTCCCACATCCGCCGCCGCTCCGTGGACCCACGTGGCAGTGGCCGCTCCCCCCAGGCGTCCCATTCATTGGTGGGGAGCGTGTCAGGCGGGGTCGAGCGGAGCAGGTAAGTGAATCGCCGAGCGACACAGCGAGTCAGGAGCAGCAGAGAGAGCTGCGGGTCCATGTCTGAGAGGAGCGGCAGCGGGGCAGCGGCAGAGGAGAGGCGGGCGCGGATGGCAACAGCGCAGGCGTCCGGCGACCCAATCGGGCTTCTGAGTACCTTGAGGCCACCGGCGCTGGCGGCGATGCCGTCAGGTAGGGCGGTCGGTGCCAGCGAGCTGGGGCTCCAAGCCTCGCATTTCGCGGGATTATGCTGGAGCCTACCCGCAGCAACTGCTGAGGTGAGGTGACGGAAGGCAGCGGAGCAGACTGCCGGGGGGCCAAGCAGAGTGACGTCATCCGCGTAAGCTAGGATGACGACCTCTGGGAAGGCGGCAGCCATAGCTGTTAGCAAAGGGTGGAGGTCCGCGGCGAAGAGGAGCACGCCCAGCTGGTCCCCCGGGCGAACTCCTCTCGCGCTCGATAGCGGCGGGGCGCTGAACCCACTGTCGATGAAGAGGTCTGACGGCTCGCCGTAGGAAAGTCGGACGAATGGGATAAGAAATTCGAGTTCAGTCCCGCGGAGGCCCTCGAAAACGGCGGCACGCTGGATGTCGCTAAAAGCATTGGCGAAATAAATTTGCAGGGCCACATGGCCGGTGTGGATGCGAGGTAAGCCCGGGTGATGTGGATGATATCCTCGGCGCCACCAGAGATCGCGACACCAAATTGAATCGGTGCGAAATGGAGGCGGGCCGGGGCTGCGGCCAGGAAAAAGGCCGCCCTTGGCGAAGATGCGATGCAGGACCTCGCCGACCACGATGGGTCGAGTGCCGTCGGGGGGCTTGGAGAAGGCGAGGAGGCGGGAACCCGTGAGGTGCGAAGAAGCTTCGGGGCAGAGCTTGCCCGCAAGGGTAGAGTTGGTGAGCGCGAGGAGATGTCAGCAGATGTCTCCGTTGGAGAGCGCGGCGTCGCAGAGAGGATGTCAGCAGAATCTCAAAAGTAGTGCCCGAGAGGCCCGAGGGGCCCTCGTCGCAGTAGTGCCCGAGGGACCTGCGCTGACTCCGTTGGGCAGCTGCGAGAGGATGCGGCGAAAGACCTGGGCAGAGATGGACGGATTATGCTCGAGGGTGTGTGAGAGGACCCAGTCGGCAAGGCGAGGGTAGCAGCGGGGTGGCGTGACAGGAGAGCTTGGAGGGTCTCCTCAGTGGATGGGCTGACAGGAGTAGCCTCAAGGGCCTTGATTGCCTTGCGGAGGTTACCACGTTTGGCAAGACCCTCAGCACGTCGGATCTGCAGCATGGCGTGGAGGTAGGTGGAGATGGACGGCAGCTGCTGCTTCGGCAGAAAGGTCCGCCCAGGATCCACGCCAAAATGCCTCCAGTCAACGCTGGACAGCTGGCCAATCACGTTTGCGGGAGGAGCCAGGGCGGAGAGTCAGCCGCGGGAGGAAGAACATGAGTCTCCAGCCTGGCACATAATCAGGAGCATCGGCCAATCGGAGGAGGGGTGTCAGGAGACACGTGACGAACTCCTCGCGAATGTGGCGGGGGGTGTGGCGGGCTAGGGGTGGTTGGCGACTGTCACGAAGGGGGGTGAGGTCCCAATCCCCAATTTGTGCGAAAAGATCGTCCCGCGCCGCTTGCGCTGCGGGCAAAAGGAAATTCAGATCTGTCGGAGGGAAATTTTCCTCCTCGGCTCAGCCAAGGTTCGGCGCGGCTTGTCGACAGTTCGGGCGAGAATTGGGTTCATCCCCACTGTCTCCCCCAGACCACGACTCGAAAACCCTCTCCCTTGAGAGGGTATAAGTGGAGTCACCCTTATTGCTCTCCTCAGCAGCTGCAGCAGCTGCCCCGTTCTCGCCCTCCCCCTCTAGCTCAGCAAGCCGCCTTCGAACCGCCTGGACGAAGGTCGCAGGTGCACCTCTCCCTCCGCAGCGCCTGCCACCGCCATAACGGCCACGACCCCGAGCCCCTGGGGTCAATGCGACGCTCCGCCCAGCGTGTCACTGCGCTTGTAACTGCGGCGTCACCACGCTACTGGGCGGGGGGATGGCATCCTCGCATTATCAGAAGCGCGGGCGCTCGCCGGAGCGTGCGCATGGGCGCCATCGGACCCCTGATCGCGCAGAGTCGGGGCGGCGGGGCTCGGAGCGTTGGCCTGGCCAGTCCCGATGGCGCCTGAGGCGGTTGCTCCGCTGCCGCCTGCGATGCAGCAGCCGACGGTGCAGGAGTTGCTGCAGGCATGGGGGGTGCCGCCTCTTCCGCAGTTGGCGGTGCTGGCACCGGAGCAGGGCGCGGGGACTGACGGGGAAGCGTGGCAGGAAGGGGAGGGTTCAGATCTGTCAGCAGGTGCGCACCGCCAGAAGCGTCCCCGCACGGATGGACAGTCCACGGGAGGTTTAACGGCAGAAGCGCATCAGCCCCCACCGACGGAGAGGCGACCGAGGGAGACGGAGACGTTCCTGCGGCTGAATTCGGCGAGGAGCTGCATGATGTGCCTGACGCAGATACTCGAGGTGTCGTGCTTAGCGCTGAGGCGCCCCCGCCAGGAGGGGGTGCTGATGGAGCACCAGCAAGGCGAATGCCAGACACTGGAGGCAGCGGCGAAGGCGGCGCTGGTCGCGTCGTGGCCCGGGCACGCTCCGGGAAGAACGTTAGAAGTGCTCCGGTCCGCTCTGGTCCGGGAAGAGTGCTACCGATGGGTACTGCCGCGGTGGTAGCGGATCTGGGGAAGAAGATTCGGGCGGGCCGAGCATTAGAAGTGCTTGACGGCTTCGTGTCAGCACTCCGAGAGGTTGATGGAGTCGTTGCGCTCCTCCTCGACGATCTGAGCGTAGCGTAGCGTAGGCAGGCGGTTTCCGCGGCGGGGGTACTGTTGGTCCAATGGGGTAAGGCTAGCCGCCAGACCGAGAATGTGGTGCGCCGCCATCATGCATGCCGCGTGCTAGGCGTGATGGAGCCCATTACAATTTGACGTGTGAGGTCTTCTTTGTTGATGTCAAAGATGCGCTTGTCAAGTCCCCGTGTGCACTTGTCGTCCCGTAATGCGCGGCCGGCGCGAGGCGCCACCAGAATGTGAGCAAAGGAATGAACGAGAACTGAATGGGACAGACAAGGACGGGAGGGTAGTTTTGAGGCGCCTGAAAACTGAATGGGAAAGACAAGGACGGGAACGCTAAGTAGCTAGCAGGAGTAGGCTCAGGTGCACTCTTCTTCTCTCTCCGTCACCAGAATGTGCGCAAAAGAATGAATCCTTCTTTTTTTGGTCTCCCCTCCCTTGCATGTACCCTCTTGATCCCCATGCATTCCCTCTGGCCTCTTTGCCCTAGTTGTTCCATCATCCTTATGCACCCTCTCTCGCTCTTTTATATCCCACCCCCCGCTCTTTTTCTTAAAAACCCTTTCTCTTCCTTCCCTTCTCGTGTAGCCTTCCGTCCTCCTCCCCCAGGTGCGACCTCCCCGAGCTCGCCCTGGTCTTGGGATGCAAACCCCAAGCTCCTGGACCACCGCACGCACAACCTCAACGCCGACGACTTCTATCGCGTGGAAAGGATTCCCCATCGAGAGGTGAGCACTTTCGAAGATTGCTGGGAGGGTGTTTTGGGGTGCATTAGAACAGTGCTTTAAAGCTCAATGTCTGGGAGGGTGTTCTGGGGGTGCATTAGAACACTGCTTTAAAGCTCAATGTCTGGGAGGGTGTTTTGGGGTGCATTAGAACACTGCTTTAAAGCTCAATGTCTGGGAGGGTGTTTTGGGGTGCATTAGAACACTGCTTTAAAGCTCAATGTCTGGGAGGGTGTTTTGGGGTGCATTAGAACACTGCTTTAAAGCTCAATGTCTGGGAGGGTGTTTTGGGGTGCATTAGAACACTGCTTTAAAGCTCAATGTCTGGGAGGGTGTTTTGGGGTGCATTAGAACACTGCTTTAAAGCTCAATGTCTGGGAGGGTGTTCTGGGGGTGCATTAGAACACTGCTTTAAAGCTCAATGTCTGGGAGGGTGTTTTGGGGTGCATTAGAACACTGCTTTAAAGCTCAATGTCTGGGAGGGTGTTTTGGGGTGCATTAGAACACTGATTTAAAGCTCAATGTCTGGGAGGGTGTTTTGGGGTGCATTAGAACACTGCTTTAAAGCTCAATGTCTGGGAGGGTGTTTTGGGGTGCATTAGAACACTGCTTTAAAGCTCAATGTCTGGGAGGGTGTTTTGGGGTGCATTAGAACACTGCTTTAAAGCTCAATGTCTGGGAGGGTGTTTTGGGGTGCATTAGAACACTGCTTTAAAGCTCAATGTCTGGGAGGGTGTTTTGGGGTGCATTAGAACACTGCTTTAAAGCTCAATGTCTGGGAGGGTGTTTTGGGGTGCATTAGAACACTGCTTTAAAGCTCAATGTCTGGGAGGGTGTTTTGGGGTGCATTAGAACACTGCTTTAAAGCTCAATGTCTGGGAGGGTGTTTTGGGGTGCATTAGAACACTGCTTTAAAGCTCAATGTCTGGGAGGGTGTTTTGGGGTGCATTAGAACACTGCTTTAAAGCTCAATGTCTGGGAGGGTGTTTTGGGGTGCATTAGAACACTGCTTTAAAGCTCAATGTCTGGGAGGGTGTTTTGGGGTGCATTAGAACACTGCTTTAAAGCTCAATGTCTGGGAGGGTGTTTTGGGGTGCATTAGAACACTGCTTTAAAGCTCAATGTCTGGGAGGGTGTTTTGGGGTGCATTAGAACACTGCTTTAAAGCTCAATGTCTGGGAGGGTGTTTTGGGGTGCATTAGAACACTGCTTTAAAGCTCAATGTCTGGGAGGGTGTTTTGGGGTGCATTAGAACACTGCTTTAAAGCTCAATGTCTGGGAGGGTGTTTTGGGGTGCATTAGAACACTGCTTTAAAGCTCAATGTCTGGGAGGGTGTTTTGGGGTGCATTAGAACACTGCTTTAAAGCTCAATGTCTGGGAGGGTGTTTTGGGGTGCATTAGAACACTGCTTTAAAGCTCAATGGCTGAGGGTGCATTTGAGGGAGAGTGGGACCCCTGCTTGGTAAAGCTCAAAGTTAGCGATTTTTACTGTGTGTGGCCCATCCAAGGACAGATGTTTAGGGCTTACAACTAGCTTTTGCTAACTCAGAATGCACAACTTGTCTCAACTACCTCTCGCCCGGTTCCCCTTTCTCCCTCTTCCCATCCACCCACTTGCGTGGAGTGGAGTGCTGTTTGTTGACTAAAAATTCTCCCTCTAACTCCCTAGACATGAGCACAACCGGGTAATTACCCGACCCGACCCGGTTTTGCCCTACCCGCGATCGGGTCCGGTTCGGGCCGGGTCGGGTAATTTCCGGGTAATGTTTGGAGGTCTGTTACCCGAGCCGACATTTTATTACCGGGTAATTGAGTACCTGTCTGGCGGGTCGGGTATACCCGACCCATATTTAATTGAAGTCGGGTAATATTACCCGGGTTCCCCTAGGTGGCTGTAAATTTCAGCAAACCCGGAGTAACAAACCCGAAGTCGGGTCGGGTAATAAATCACCCGACATTTCATGTAGTTCTCTGGTAACGGGTATGCATTACCCGGCCCGAGTACCCAACCCGACCCGTCCGGGTAATTCGTCAAAATCCTATTACCCAACCCGGCCGGGTAATTCGTCAAAATCCTATTACCCAACCCGGCCGGGTAATTCGTCAAAATCCTATTACCCAACCCGGCCAAAATGTCGGGTCGGGTCGGGTACCCGCGACCCGACCGGGTAAAATGCTCAAGTCTATGACTCCCCCTTGGCGCCTCTCCCCTCGCAGGGAGCGTGTTTCCGGGACCTGCCAGGAGTGGTGACGGACCCTGTCACTAAGAAGTGCTCCCTGGACAAGAATATCCCCCGCCCGCTGATTCCACACTCAGGCAGTTTTCTGGTGAGAGCATAGCATTCTCTAGTGTGAGGCGCCTCAATGCCAGGAGTGGTGACGTGACGGATGGACATGTGGTGCATCCATGCACCTGGTAGTGTGGTGTGTCCATGTGCAATAAATGCTTGTAAGAGATATTCCCATCTACATGCATGTTGCCTGTTCGCCCATCACGGCATTGTCTTCTCTCGTGCCCAAACCATGCCCTCCGTGCTCTCGTGCCCAAACCACGCCCTCCTTGCTCTCGTGCCCAAACCACGCCCTCCTTGCTCTCGTGCCCAAACCACGCCCTCCTTGCTCTCGTGCCCAAACCATGCCCTCCTTGCTCTCGTGCCCAAACCACGCCCTCCTTGCTCTCGTGCCCAAACCATGGCCCTCCTTGCTCTCGTGCCCAAACCACGCCCTCCTTGCTCTCGTGCCCAAACCATGGCCCTCCTTGCTCTCGTTCCCAATCCATGCCCTCCTTGCTCTCGTGCCCAAACCACGCCCTCCTTGCTCTCGTGCCCAAACCATGCCCTCCTTGCTCTCGTGCCCAAAGCCCTCCTTGCTCTCGTGCCCAAACCACGCCCTCCTTGCTCTCGTGCCCAAACCATGGCCCTCCTTGCTCTCGTGCCCAAACCATGCCCTCCTTGCTCTCCTTCCATCTGGCTCCCCATGCAGTGTCCCGACTACGCCATTTCATTCGTGAGGGGCACCTCGTTCAAGTATGTCCTCCAGCCCTCAAAGAATGTCCCCTCTCTCCTCTAGTGAATCTCCTTCACTCACCTGCCGTGTCACTGTGCCATCTTCATGCACCAAATGCCAAAATGCAGACGAGTTTAAATGTCGGTGAGTTGATCTGCTGATGTGTCTAATTGCTGCTTCATGCCCATCATCTTTGCAGAGATAGTTCCTCCCTCCTTATTCTCTATTCCATCAGTCAGCCTTTCTCAACCTTTCTAACACCGCGGTATCAGATCAAATTCACCATATCGTACCGAGCTACATCGTGCCAATCTATACCATATCATACCGATACATGATACAATGTCGTGTGAATATATGTCGTATCATGTCAAATCATATGACGTATATACTACATCACGTCATTCTATATCATATCCTATGATGTCTGTACAATGTTGTGTCATTTCTATTCGCACTATTCCCATTGCATCAGGCCCTTTGCTCGTCTGTGGTGGAATGACACAGTTCCAACTGTGGTCACACGGCCCGAGCCACACAATCAGGTGAGTCCTTCCTGAGAGAAATACAGCAGGTGAGAGTGAGTCCTTACTGAGAAAAACACAGCAGGTGAGTCCTTACTGAGAGTAACACAGCAGGTGAGTCCTTAGAGAAACACAGCAGGTGAGTCGGAGGACTACAGTAACTGAGGGACATTGCGGGGTGACTGCCAACTCGACATGAAACAGGTTGAGAATCTGCTTTTCACAACGCGTAAATTTAATGGCAATTTGATAGTTTGGGGCCCCTATAGGCCTCCTCAGTCACTCACTCTGCCCACAGTCCCTCCTTCCCTGCCTTTCCCCCGCAGAAAATCCTTCGCCTTGACCAGGACTGGGTGCTAATCATCAGCGAGAATGCTCGGGGGGGGCTTTTTTTTGTCGACTCTGAACACTCCCTCCTTCCGTGCCTTTCTCATGCAGAAAATCCTTCACCCGGAGCAGGACCGGGTGCTGACCATCAGGGAGAATGCTCGGCTCCAGGGCTTTCCTGACCACTACAAGCTGTTTGGTGATGCCAAGGATCGGTAAGAGAATATTGAAGTGAGGCTTTTTGAAGTGTCCTCGAGAAGCATACTGATTAGGTCAAGGAAAGGCAAGGATGTTATAGAGTGCTTCATTGCAAGCCGCAGTGAACTTGCCTAGTGTTGCCAGCTCACATTAGAGTTGAGGTTCAGAAATAACAAGCCCATAGCGTTTCTGGCTTTTGTTTTTATTATTATTATTAATAATCTTTCCCATGTGGCCTTGGCATTTGCAGGTATTGCCAAGTGGGCAACGCGGTTTCAGTCCCGACTGCCATGGCTCTCGGATACTCCATTGCAGGAGCTGCACTAGGAGGCACCTCCACTGCCACTTATGGCCTTCCAAGCTCTTTTCCCTATTCTCGTTAAGCTTGCAGTGTCTGCTATTATAACTTCGACTGAGGGGGCGGGCTATTATGGTGCATTATTTTATGGCTTAGGATGTCATTCACTCATTATGGGGTATGGTACATATTTTAGGGATATGATACGAGCTAATTTGCACAAGCAATAAACGGATGGTAACACCTGCTACCAACGACAGAATTGTAGGCGAAATGTGCAGAAGTGCCTGGTCCCCTATCTCACGATTTGTCATGTAGTGTTGTTTCAAACAAATGCGACACGGGCAGCATGTTCGTGTTTTCCATTCCCAAAACTTGACAAATGTCGCCAAAATATCCCTCTTTCTTGAACAGTTTCCGCTCATCGGCCCAGCTCACAGTGCTTCTTCTGCCCGAAACTAAATGGTCTCCATGAGAAATCGCGGCATGTCCTTGGGATCATCCTGCCATTGATCTCCCCAACGTCTGTAACGAGAAATCAAGACTCGATTGAAGCACCCCAGCCACACAGAGCTTCGCCCAAAGCGCGGCAATCCCAATGGTTCGGGGTGGTATGGGGGAGGGGAGGACGGCGGTGGCAAGGTGAGATGGTTGGTGAAACGGATGATTCGGCTCAGCTACTATTGCTCACTTGACGTTCCTCCTAGTAGCATCATCATCAGGCATGGTTGTTCCTGGGTAGACCGTTACTGCGAGGAGTGCGTGCTTTGACAATGGTCCTCGCTATGGTGTAATGGTTTGGTACGTCTGCCTACTCACTCGGCCTTCATTCGTTCGGTTCGCATCCCCTTACGTAGTTCAGTGATACGCCACTGACGTCTCTGCTTCATTCACTGGGGTAGGTAAATTAGGGTTTGGAGATTCCTAGCGAGGGAACGTCATGGCCGCCACTAGTTAGCTATCAGTCACTGGTACTCTTGCCCTCGTTGAGCTGCCAATGCTGCATTTGCCGTTAGCTTCCAGCAGATATTATTTGGTCCTTGGAAGACTCAGAATAGGTCTGCGAGTCTAGCTAAAAACATTTCATGGAGTAGCTGGTAAGAGTTTGAGCCGCGCACAACGCGGGAGAAATGGACGGCGTGCGAGAGCGAGGAAGCAGCAGCCGTCGATCCCATCCGCGATCCGCGTCGCTCCGGGAAGGCGTCTACGACGGCAGGCGGCATGACGACGAGCGGGAGGAGCGGGAGGAATGGGGGGAGCGGGGAGAGCGGGGGGAACGGGGGGAGCATGGGGGGAGGGAGGACTGGGGCGAGCGGGGGGTGGTGCGCGACAAGGAGCAGGAGCGGGCGAGGCGGCGGGCGCGGGAGATGGAGCGGGAGCGCGCCAAGGAGAGAGCGCTGGAGCGACGAATCGACAGCCTGTCGTGCGGCACGAGCTCCTTTGCCGCCGCGTCGTTCGACAGCGGCTACGAAAATCCCCATGGGTACGAAGGATCCCGCGGGTTCGAAGGTACCCATGGGCACGGAGGTAGCCATGGGCATGATTACAACCCTCCTGACGGTAACGATCGCGATGCCGGACCAGTCGCCGGCAGACTCGGACTGGACTACCGTCAGGAAGCAGACGACGGTGCTGACGTGGAGCCCGAGTATCGCATGTTCGCGAAAAGCGCGACCGTCGCGCCGCCTTCCAGACACGGCGCCACGGGATTCGGCGAGTCGCCGGTGCATTCGCTCGACGTGCCACGTCAGCGGAGCTTCAGGGAGCGGCGATCTGGCCATGGCTATGAGATGAGTCACGGGAGCGTGGGGTTCGGAGAGTCACCGGTGCACGGGGTGGAGTTTCCACGTCAGCAGAGCCTGAGGGAGCGGCGAGAGCGGAGGTATTTACCTCACGCGTCGCGAGCAGCAGTCCCGCAATCCGCTAGCATTTCCCCGTATAGGCTCCGCGTCGACCCGCGCGCGGGTACAGCGGATGGACTCGTTACCAGCAGCCCCGATTTAAGAGTAAACTACGCGCCTCCGCCGGCCGTTGAAGCGGCGCTGGATCCGCGACGCCAGGCCATATCGACGTCCGCGCCTCGGAGCCGCGTGCCGGCCGCCGAATCTCACTCGTCCAGGAGCGTGCGCGAGTTTCGACGGTCACGATCGGCCGTTCCAAAAACCACGGATACCTCGGAGTTACTAGGAGGCGACTTTACCGAGGAACAGCTCCGTTATTATCTGCTTCATCATTCGCACGAAGACCCGTCCTCGTCGCCCGCGCCCTCGCAGCTTATCAGCAGCAGCAGCAGCGGCAGGGAGCCGTACACGCAAGACTACCCCCAAACTTACCCTCAAAACTTTCCCCAAAACTACCCCCAAAATCCCGAAAAAACACCGGAGCACGTGTGGGGAGGGCCGGGGGAAGCATGGGATGGGGACAGGGAGCGGGAGCGGGAGGGGGAGAGAGAAAGAGACCGAGAAAGAGATCGCGACCGCGACCGCGAGAGCGGCGGGAACACGAGCTCGAGCCACACTAGCGCAGCGAGCCACTCGAGCGCGGGGCGCAGCAGATCCAGCGTTCCACGCTCCGGAAGCAGGAGCAGGTCGGGTTCCGCCAGGCGCGGGGTTCCGCGGGTGAGCAGCGGGGGGGGGAGGGTGCAGCGCTCCGCGTCCGTGGGGCTGTCGGACTCCGCGGAAGAGGAGGAGGAGGAGGAGGACGGGGAGGAGTTTCTAACGTCGGTTCCCCCCGCCGCTATGGACGTTCTGCTGGGAAACACGGGGAAGAAAACCGCGGCTGGAGGGTGGAGAAAGTCCGTGTCTACCTCGTCAGCAGCACCAGCTGCAGCAGGGGGGCAGGGGAGAGCGGGGCTAGCACAGGCGCCAGGGCAGGGGTGGGGACAGGGGATAGGGCAAGCGACAGGGCAGGGAGCAGGGCAGGGAGCAGGGCAGGGGTTAGGGCAGGGGCCGATGGGGGGGAGGAGCTGGGAGAGGCGGGAGGATGCGCAGGCGGAAGCGATATATGGGGCGCAGGGGGAGGCGATGTATGGGGCGCAAGAAGGGGAGGAGGACGAGGATGGGGTGCTTGAGGCATATGCCGTGGACGACCTCGATGAGTTGGATGAGATGGCGGTTGATGGTGCATGGGGGGTGGAAAGCGGTTACATGGGAGGTGGAGCTCAGCAGCACGTGCATCCCATGCAGCAGCAGCAGTATGTGGGGAACCACCAGCCCCAGCAGCTTTACCAGCAGCAGTACCCTAACGAGTACCACCAGCAACAGCAGTACTACCAGCAGCAGCAGCAGCAGCAGCAGCAGCCGCTTCAGTTACGCCAGCAACACCAGCCGCAACAGTGCCAAGACCAGTCCTTTCAACAGCAACTGCAACAGCAACCTCAACCGCAACTGCCGCAGCAGCAGCAGCAGCAGTCCTTGATGAGGACCCCCCCACCAGAGTTCAGCTCTCCACGGCACGCAGACGACATGCGCCGCCGCGCCTCCTCCCTCTCCCCTGCTCGAGGGGCCATCTCCGCCTCAGGAGAGCTCTCTCCCTTCCGTGCCACTGCTGCCTCCGCTGCTGCTGCCGGTTATGGGGGTGGCGGTGGGGCGTGCGGCCAGCATGGGCGCACTGGCAGCAGCAGCAGTAGCCTTGGGCACGCGTCTCCCAGCCTGGGGCATGTATCGCCTACCACCACTGGCCTTGTATCTTCCAGCGTTGGGCGTGTGTCGCCGACCCGTGCCAGGCAGGGGCATGCGTCCCCTGGGCGAGGGTATGGCTCTGGGGGATTGGGCGACTATCCACCTGCGGGTTTGGCTGTCGGCGCTGCCGCTGCTGTCGGTGCTGCTGGTGCTGGCCCGTGTGTGGGGGAGGATGAGAGTGAGAGGCAGGCAGCGCAGCAATGGCAGCCAGGTGCGCAACCAGGTTCTCAGCCAGGTGTGCAGCCAGAAGATGTTCTGGAGCGAGGGGAGGGCAACGCAGTGCACTCGCAAGGAATGGGAGCGTCTCCCTTGGGCACCACAGCAGTGAGGAGTGCTCGGGGTAGCACGGGGATGCCAGGGGAAGGGGATGGGGGAGACAGTGGTGAGGGGGTGAAGCAGGACGGCCGAGAGAGACTGAGAGACGGCTCCCAGAGTGGGGAGGATGAGCTGGTGACTGCTGCTGCTCTGGTCAGCGGAACAGCGGCCTCCGGTGACGGCAGGGAGACTGCTGACGGATCGGATGAAGCAGGAGGAGCAGGGGGGGCAGGCGGAAGGAAGTCAAGTGAGGGTTCCTCTGCTGCTGCTGGTGATGATGCTGATTCAGGGGGTGCAGCAGCAGGGGGCGCAGCAGCAGGGGGCGCAGCAGCAGGGGGTGCGTCAGGAACCGGTGCAGGGGCGGCTGGTAGGGGCAGTGGGGGGGGCGGAGGAGGCGGGTTCGCAGGGATAGCGCTGGCTCGGAACCTGAGTCTGCAGGTGAAGAAGGCAGAGCACCAGGTCTCCCTGGATCGGAACCTGTCGCTGCGCAACATCAAGAAGCAGGGCAAGGAGTTCGTGCCCAAGCTGACAACCCTGCTGAAGAAATCAGGTATGCGTTCGAGTATGATCAAATCAAGGGAAGGCAGAGCACCAGATATCCCTGGATCGGAACCTCTCTCTGCGCAACATCAAGAAGCAGGGCAAGGAGTTCGTGCCCGAGCTGACCACCCTTCTGAAGAAGTCAGGTAGGCCTTCCCCTCCTTCCCCTCCTTCCCCTCCTTCCCCTCCTCCCCCCCCCGCTTTCCCAGACTCAAGCAATCCCACCCCCTCTTCCGTCTCCCTGCTTCTCCCCAGCACAGTAACGACAGTGGGCGCGGGCATCAGCTATGCGGGGGCGGCGGGGCTGGGCTGGGTGTGGCACACAGAAGACCCCATTTCTCTCCCCATACCTTCGCCCCCCATGTCCCCCCAACCCCTTCCAGCCACCACAGCGGGCGCAGGTATAAGATGACTTTTGAGTCGACTCAAAAGCAACCCCTTCCAGCCACCACAGTGGGTGCAGGCATAAGCAATGCAGGGGCAGCGGGGCTGAGTGTGGTAGGGGCGGGAATCAGTGTGGCTGGTGGGTCTTCGCAACACATCATTCCGTTCTCTCCCTTCCTATTCCTCCCTCCCAACCACCTCAGCGGGCGCGGGTATAAGCGGTGCGGGTGCAGTGGGGCTGGCAGACAGAAGTCCCCATTCCTCTCCCCATACCTTCTTCCCCTATTCTCCTCCCCCCTCTTCCAGCCACCACAGCGGGCGCGGGCATAAGCTATGCAGGGGCAGCAGGGCTGAGTGTGGCGGGGGCGGGGATCAGCGTGGCTGGCGCGGGCTTCAGTGCGGCAGGGGCGGGCATCAGCGCCACGGTGGGCAAGAGACCGCCCAAGCCGGGCAGATCCGCCACTGAGAAGGAACGCTCCATGCCCTCGCTGTCCATGCCAAGGTGAAGCTCTTATAGTGTGGCGAGGGTGGGGCTCAGTGTGAGGTGAGAGAAGTAACATAAGAGAGAAAAGTGTTAACTAGAAAGGGAGCCAAGAGGCTCTATAGTACAACCAAGGAGCAAGGAATGGTTGGAACGGAAGGCACTCCTATTGGCTACAAGAGTGGCCAATGGGAGAGGTAGCTTGGAGGGGAAGCAACCCCAAAGTGTGGTGGTTGCTGATTGGTGGTCGGTTGGAAAGTGCCAACCAAAGGACCAAGGCCAAATCCAATCTTGACCAACCAAATTTGTGGTTGGTGATCCCAACCAACAACCCCCCAATAACTTAAATGTCTACACCTCCTATTCTAGTGATGCATGTTGTATATAATAATAATATTACAACATGAGGGTGGGGTTAAAGCTCACTGTGTGTGTATGAGTGTGGCGGATCCGCCACTGAGAAAGAGCGCTCCATGCCCTCACTGTCCATGCCAAGGTGCGCTGCTGCTTGACCCGTCCATCCATCCATCCATGTGTGTGTGTGCCACCCATGCCAAGGTGAGCTTCATGGGGTGGGAACGAGTGCATTAAGGAAAGCTCATAAGGGTCTGGCATGTCCGCCACTACGTTCCACGCCCTCTCTCAAAACCCTCTCTCAATACCCTCTCTCTCTCAACGCCCTCTCTCTCTCTCAACGCCCTCTCTCTCTCAAGGTATGCCTGGCATCTTATGCCGGCACGGCGAGATGGCACGGCGATGAAGCATCCTTCAAAAGAGAAAACGACGTGTTCTTTCACGCACGGCTCCCCAATTTCCGTCTTTTTTGTCTGCCCTGCCTGCAGGTCTCTCACTCTTTCCAGACACAAAGACGGGCCTGAACGGCCAGATAAAACTTTTGGTGACCTGCCCGCACCCAAGCGCACACACTTCCAGTACTCTGAGCTCCAGGCAAGCATGCTCACACTCACACTCACTCTCACACTTACTCTCACACTCACTCTCACATTCACGCACAAGCTGCTAGCGATGAGTACGTCATGGTTGTCCACCCTTCGCTATTGTCCACCCTTTCTTTGATATTGTCCACCCTTCGCTATTGTCCACCCTTTCTTTGATATTGTCCATCCTTAATTTAACACTGTACACCCGTACTTCAGGGCAGGGGGCAGGGGGCAGGGGGCAGACGGCAGAGGGCAGGGGGCAGGGGGCAGGGGGCAGGGGGCAGACGGCAGACGGCAGACGGCAGACGGCAGACGGCAGACGGCAGACGGCAGAGGGCAGACGGCAGACGGCAGAAGGCAGAGGGCAGAGGGCAGATGGCAGAGGGCAGACGGCAGACGGTAGAGGGCAGACGGCAGACGGCAGAAGGCAGAGGGCAGACGGCAGACGGCAGACAGCTGATGGCAGACGGCAGAGGGCAGACGGCAGACAGCAGAGGGCAGAGGCAGTGAACTATCTTTCTTGCAGGTCATGCCGTTGCCCTGCCTTAATCTCATCTTGCATCGCCTCTTAACCCACTCCTCCCCCACCATCGCCAGCTGGCAACAGGGAACTTTGACGAGGCGAACGTGCTGGGCCAGGGGGGCTTTGGGAAGGTCTACTACGGCGTGCTGCCAGTGCAGCCAGCACAGGTGGGATAGTGGGCTTTGGTTACTGGACCTAGATCGGTGGACTTTTTATAAGGCGAATGTGCTGGGCCAGGGGGGCTTTGGGAAGGTGGACTACGGCGTCCTGCCCGGCCCGTGCAGCCAGCGCAAGTTGGGATGATCTGACCTTTGGGATTTTGAGGAGGCCAATGTGCTGGGTTGGGCGGGCCAAGGGGGGCTTGGGAAGGTGTACTATTTTTTAGGCGCCTCAAAAATAGACTCCCCGGCCCGTGCAGCCAGCGCAGGTTGGGATGATCTGACCTTTGGGATTTTGAGGAGGCCAATGTGTTGGGTTGGGCCAAGGGGGGCTTGGGAAGGTGTACTATGGTGTGCTGCCAGTACAGCCAAGGTGTACTATGGTGGGGGCGTTTGGTATTGGTTTCAACTTTCAAGTAGTGGGCAGTATTTTGGTGGGCGTTAACCGTTGGTCTCCTTTGGCAAGGTGTAGTATGGGATGGGGTGCTGCAGGGTGCTGCAGGGTGCTGCAGGGTGCAGCGAGGGAAGGTGGGCTGAAAGCTGTGGTCAGGTTAGTATAGCTCCTCTTGGGTTCCTTCCATGGGTGGCTGTTGGCTTCAGTGTGTGCTTGTATCCTTTTCAGTGTGTTGGCTTCAGTGTGTGCTTGTATCCTTTTCAGTGTGTTGGCTTCAGTGTGTGCTTGTATCCTTTTCAGTGTGTTGGCTTCAGTGTGTGCTTGTATCCTTTTCAGTGTGTTGGCTTCAGTGTGTGCTTGTATCCTTTTCAGTGTGTTGGCTTCAGTGTGTGCTTGTATCCTTTTCAGTGTGTTGGCTTCAGTGTGTGCTTGTATCCTTTTCAGTGTGTTGGCTTCAGTGTGTGCTTGTATCCTTTTCAGTGTGTTGGCTTCAGTGTGTGCTTGTATCCTTTTCAGTGTGTTGGCTTCAGTGTGTGCTTGTACGTCTGTAACCATACCCCCCCCTGGTGGTGGCAGTGAAGGTGCTGACAAAAGAGGGGGAGGGGAGCTTGAGCATATATGTATATGTAACCATATATGCGCCTAAAAGCATGAGCATACATGTATATGTAACCATGTATGCACACGAGCGTCTGTAACCACAACCCCCCCCAGGTGGTGGCAGTGAAGGTGCTGACAAGAGAGGGGAGGGGGGAGGGAAGGGGGGGGGGGGGGGGGGTCTTATGCGCCTAAAAGCTTGAGCATGTATGTAGCCATGTGTATGCATGCACATCCGTGTCCCCTACACCCCCCACCCTACCCTCCCCCAGGTGGTGGCGGTGAAGGTGCTGACGAGAGGGGGGTCGCAGGGGGATGAGGAGTTCACGATCGAGCTGGAGCTGCTGAGCCGCCTGGAGCACAAGCACCTGGTGAGAGCACAAGCACCTGATGAGCTCATAAGCACCTGATGAGCTCATAAGCACCTGATGAGCTCATAAGCACCTGATGAGCTCATAAGCACCTGATGAGCTCATAAGCACCTGATGAGCTCATAAGCACCTGATGAGCTCATAAGCACCTGATGAGCTCATAAACACCTGATGAGCTCATAAGCACCTGGTGAGTCAGACAGAACAGAGCACCTGGTGGTGAGAGAGACGTTGTAAGTTTGGTACGCCTCATGAATATTCAGTTGCATAGAGCACAGGACACATCCTGTGCACACAAATGCTCATTCTCTCTCCATGTCTTTTGCTACCCAACCGTACCATCCATCCACCTGACTGACCCTACCCTCTCTTGCTGTCCCTCCCTCACACTTACCGCGCGTCTTCCCATCTCCCCGCCTGCAGGTGAAGCTGTTTGGTTTCTGCATGCGATCCCAGCAGCGGCTGCTCGTGTACCAGTTCCTGCCCAACGGCTCACTCACAGACCACATGCACGGTGAGCTGCGATGCTGTGGTGCAGGGTGCCTGTGGTGCAGGGTGCCTGTGGTGCTGGGCTGTTGTCAATGTGTTGCAGGGTGCCTGTGTGTGTTGCTGGGCTGCTCTCAATGTGTTGGTTTGCGGATGCTCCTGTGTGTGTTGCTGGGCTGCTCTCAATGCTCCTGTGCTGCTCGTGTACCAGTTCCTGCCCAACGGCTCACTCACCGACCACATGCACGGTGGGTGGGTTGCGGCTGAGGTGTGCGGCTGAGGTGTGCGGCTGAGGTGTGCGGCTGAGGTGTGCTGCTGAGGTGTGCTGCTGAGGTGTGCGGCTGAGGTGTGCGGCTGAGGTGTGCTGCTGAGGTGTGCGGCTGAGGTGTGCGGCTGAGGTGTGCGGCTGAGGTGTGCTGCTGGTGGTTGGTGAGTTTCTGCTGTGTTGCTGTGAGTGCTCGTGCACCAATCTTTCCCCAACAGCTCCCTACCAGACCACATGCACGGTGAGCTGAATGTTGAATCGCTGATCCTCCTCCAAACGTTGAATGTAAATTTGATCCTCCTTCCTAAACCTTGTTTCTGTGGTGACGTGTCGCTGTGCCCCTGTGGTGACGTGCTGCTGTGCTGTGTTGCTCGTGTACCATGTTCTACCCAACGGCGCTCTGGCTGCAGTACCTGCACTCTCAACTTGTGTTTCCTCATGTCTCCCCCGCCCTGCCCTTCCCTCCCCACGCCAGGATTGAAGAGGGACAAGAACGGCCCCCTATCCCGGGAGCGGCGGCTGAGAATAGCCGTGGGGTCCTCGCGCGGGCTGGAGTACCTGCACTGCACTCACAGTCTCTTAGTGCACCCATCCCCCCCTCCCCCTCCTGCCCTCTCCTCCCTCTCCTCCCTCTCCTCCCTCCCCTCCCTCTCCTCCCTCCCCTCCCTCTCCTCCCTCTCCTCCCTCCCCTCCCTCTCCTCCCTCTCCTCCCTCTCCTCCCTCTCCTCCCTCTTCTCCCTCTCCTCCCTCTCCTCCCTCTCCTCCCTCTCCTCCCTCTCCTCCCTCTCCTCCCTCTCCTCCCTCCTCCCTCTCCTCCCTCTCCTCCCTCTCCTCCCTCTCCCCTCTCCTCCCTCTCCTCCCTCTCCTCCCTCTCCTCCCTCTCCTCCCTCTCCTCCCTCTCCTCCCTCTCCTCCCTCTCCTCCCTCTCCTCCCTCTCCTCCCTCTCCTCCCTCTCCTCCCTCTCCCCTCCTCCCTCTCCTCCCTCTCCTCCCTCCTCCTCTCCTCCCTCTCCTCCCTCTCCTCCCTCCTCCCTCTCCTCCCTCTCCTCCCTCTCCTCCCTCTCCTCCCTCCTCCCTCTCCTCCCTCTCCTCCCTCTCCTCCCTCTCCTCCCTCTCCTCCCTCTCCTCCTCCCTCTCCTCCCTCTCCTCCCTCTCCTCCCTCTCCTCCCTCTCCTCCCTCTCCTCCCTCTCCTCCCTCTCCTCCCTCTCCTCCCTCTCCTCCCTCTCCTCCCTCTCCTCCTCTCCTCCCTCTCCTCCCTCTCCTCCCTCTCCTCCCTCTCCTCCCTCTCCTCCCTCTCCTCCCTCTCCTCCCTCTCCTCCCTCTCCTCCCTCTCCTCCCTCTCCTCCCTCTCCTCCCTCTCCTCCCTCCCCTCCCTCTCCTCCCTCTCCTCCCTCTCCTCCCTCTCCTCCCTCTCCTCCCTCTCCTCCCTCTCCTCCCTCTCCTCCCTCTCCTCCCTCTCCTCCCTCCCTCCCCTCCCCCTCTCCTCCCTCTCCTCCCTCTCCTCCCTCTCCTCCCTCTCCTCCCTCTCCTCCCTCTCCTCCCTCTCCTCCCTCTCCTCCCTCTCCTCCCTCTCCTCCCTCTCCTCCCTCTCCTCCCTCTCCTCCCTCTCCTCCCTCTCCTCCCTCTCCTCCCTCTCCTCCCTCTCCTCCCTCTCCTCCCTCTCCTCCCTCTCCTCCCTCTCCTCCCTCTCCTCCCTCTCCTCCCTCTCCTCCCTCTCCTCCCTCTCCTCCCTCTCCTCCCTCTCCTCCCTCTCCCTCCCTCTCCTCCCTCTCCTCCCTCTCCTCCCTCTCCTCCCTCTCCTCCCTCTCCTCCCTCTCCTCCCTCTCCTCCCTCTCCTCCCTCTCCTCCCTCTCCTCCCTCTCCTCCCTCTCCTCCCTCTCCTCCCTCTCCTCCCTCTCCTCCCTCCCCTCCCTCTCCTCCCTCCTCCTCCCTCCCTCTCCTCCCTCTCCTCCCTCTCCTCCCTCTCCTCCCTCTCCTCCCTCTCCTCCCTCTCCTCCCTCTCCTCCCTCTCCTCCCTCTCCTCCCTCTCCCCCCTCTCCTCCCTCTCCTCCCTCTCCTCCCTCTCCTCCCTCTCCTCCCTCTCCTCCCTCTCCTCCCCCTCCTCCCTCTCCTCCCTCTCCTCCCTCTCCTCCCTCTCCTCCCTCCTCCTCCCTCTCCTCCCTCTCCTCCCTCTCCTCCCTCTCCTCCCTCTCCTCCCTCTCCTCCCTCTCCTCCCTCTCCTCCCCTCCTCCCTCCTCCCTCCCTCTCCTCCCTCTCCTCCCTCTCCTCCCCCTCCTCCCTCTCCTCCCTCTCCTCCCTCTCCTCCCTCTCCTCCCTCTCCTCCCTCTCCTCCCTCTCCTCCCTCTCCTCCCTCTCCTCCCTCTCCTCCCTCTCCTCCCTCTCCTCCCTCTCCTCCCTCTCCTCCCTCTCCTCCCTCTCCTCCCTCTCCTCCCTCTCCTCCCTCTCCTCCCTCTCCTCCCTCTCCTCCCTCTCCTCCCTCTCCTCCCTCTCCTCCCTCCCCCCTCCTCCCTCCCCCTCTCCTCCCTCTCCTCCCTCTCCTCCCTCTCCTCCCTCTCCTCCCTCTCCTCCCTCTCCTCCCTCTCCTCCCTCTCCTCCCTCTCCTCCCTCTCCTCCCTCTCCTCCCTCTCCTCCCTCTCCTCCCTCTCCTCCCTCTCCTCCCTCTCCTCCCTCTCCTCCCTCTCCTCCCTCTCCTCCCTCTCCTCCCTCTCCTCCCTCTCCTCCCTCTCCTCCCTCTCCTCCCTCTCCTCCCTCTCCTCCCTCTCCTCCCTCTCCTCCACCAGGCAAGAAGAGGGACGAGAACGGCCCCCTGTCGTGGGAGCGGCGGCTGAGAATAGCCGTAGGGTCGGCACGCGGGCTGCAGTACCTGCACTCACAGCGGCCGCAGATCCTCCATCGCGACATCAAGTCGTCCAACATCCTGCTCACTGACAACTTTGCTGCCAAGGTATGTTTGGTTCTCACTGTTTGTTGGTACCTCCACAGTGCGTCTTGCTGTGTTTTGAGGCGCCTCAAAACTTTCACGGTGTGTCTTGCTGTGTAAGTGCGCTCCAATGTGTTTGCTCTTCCCCCTCCATCCCGACATCAAGGCCGGCAACATCCTGCTCACAGACACATTCGCTACCAAACGTGGCGAATTCCGGTAGAGGAATTCGCGAAGCTCTTTCAGCAGACGCCCACGGTAGAGGACCCCCAGATGGGCGTGAGGAGCCTATTTTTGAGGCGCCTCAAAAATAGACTCCTCACACATGGCTCATTCTGCAGACGACCACAGTAGAGGACCCCCAGACGGGCGTGTTGGGGGCCCCTCTCTTCCACATGCCCATCCACTCTAGTCTCCCCGCTTGCCCCCACTCAACCTTTTTTGCTGACCGATAGCCGATTCTGGGTGTGCAAGCTGATCTAGGTAACCATCGTGGTGGTGGACCCCCACGCAGGATGTGTTTTGTTCTTTAGAATTCTCAAAAGCAAAACGCAGACCAACACGCGGATTCTCACTTGTTGCCTCGAACCCCTCGCTCCTGCATCAAGGTGGCGGACTTTGGGTGCGCAAAGCTGATCAAGCAGACCATCATGGTGGAGGAAGGAACCACAGACGGGCGAGAGGAGGATTCTCACTGTTTCCCCCCCCCAAACCCCCTCCTGTTCCTTCGTTAAGGTGGCGGACTTTGGGTGCGCAAAGCTGATCAAGCAGACCATCATGGTGGAGGACCCACAGACGGGCGAGATGGTGGAGCGCCTGGGGGAGAGCGTGGACGTGGCCATGGGCACCCACGGGCACATGGCGCCTGAGATCCTCATGACGGGCGAGATCAGCTCCGCCACTGACGTGTACAGGTGGGTGATGTGTGCTTATAGCGAACGGTGCTTGGAATAAGGGTTCCTGTAGGGGGAGAGTGTGTACGTGGCCATGGGCACCCACGGGCACATGGCACCTGAGATCCTCATGACGGGGAAATCCACTCCACCACTGACGTGTACAGGTGTGGGATTTGTGCTTATAGCGAAGGGTGTGCTTGTAAAGAAGGGTGGTTGTAGGGAAGAGTGTGGATGTGGCATTAAGCACTCATCACTGGCCGCCTCCCTGACTGTGCGATAAGAGCACGTCTTTAAGAGCACATGTCTTTAACTTCAATCATGCCTCATATCGCACAGTCAGGGAGGCGCTCCCTCATGCTACTCTGCTCCAATCCTCCCTACCTACCACCCCTGTTAGGGAGCGGTTCTCCGTGAGCTCATCACTGGCCGCCTCCTTGTGCATGCCATCCTACGGTGCATCCTTGTTCCACTCTCAATGCATATACCCACTCTCCTGGGCAATTCCCAGAACCTCACAATGCCCCCCCCCCTCTCCCCCCTCCCCCCCACTCTCTATCCCTCTCCTCCTCTCAGCTTCCGAGTGGTTTCACTTTGAGCTCATCTCTTGTCGGCTCCCTGTCCGCGCAAGCACAGTGCATATGAATCCCCTCCGTCCGTGTGCTACACTGCTCCAATCCCCCCTCTCCCCTCAGCTTCCAAGTGGTTTCACTTTGAGCTCATCACCGATCGGCTCCCTGCCCTTGCCATCACAATGCATGCGAATCCCCTCCTGTGTGCTACACTGCTCCGATCCCCCCTCTCTCCCCTCAGCTTCGGAGTGGTTCTCTTTGAGCTCATCACCGGTCGCCTCCCTGTCTTGGCCGATGGCCAACAGCTCGTGCACTGGGTACGTCACTGTAACAGCAGGTGTGACTTGAGCAGATGTGACAGTAGCAGACGTGAGTGTAGCAGATGGGGTGCAAATGTGACTGTCCTCATTCTCCTTTTTCTTTCATTTCCCCTCCCATGCAACCTCTCATTGTTCTTGAAGATTTCTCGCTGCCCTTCTCTTCCCCCACATTCCGTCCACAATCATTCGCTCGGTTCCCATTGACAATCCTTATCCTGTGCGCCCATTTGGGACACCCAAATGTGTGACGAGAAGCGGTGGGAGGAGAAGCGGTGGGAGGAGCGCCTGGACCCAGCCTTGTTTCTTCTGTCTTGCCGCTCTGAGGCCGTGGTCCTCAGCTCCGTTCTCCTGCCACTCCCCACTCCCCACGCCCTTCTCCCCTCGTCTGGCAGGTGACCCCTCGATGTGAGGAGAAGCAGTGCGCGGAGTGCATAGACCCCGCCGTCCTTGCAGCAGTCTCATGCAAGAGAGGGACTCTTGCAATCCTTGACTCTCTTTTCCCACCATGCACCCTCCCTTCCGTGCTGTCTCCATCACACCTCAGGTCACCCCTAGGTGTGAGGAGAAGCGGTGGGAGGAGCTCATAGACCCGGACGTGCTGGCAGCACAAGCCGGCTCCACGCCCACTGGCTCTGCTGTTTTAGCTGCTGCTGCCGCCGCTGCTGCTGCTGCTGCTTCTGCTGCTGCTGGTGAGGGTTCGAGTGCAGAGGCTGCTGGCGCTTGCACCGGGTCTAGCAGCATCAGCAGCACCAGCGCCAGCACCACCACGAGCAACAGCAGCAGCGGCAGCAGTAACAGCAACACCAGCAGCACAACAACCTGCAGCAGCGGCAGCGGTGGGAGTGGGAATGCAGGGAGTGCAGTGAGGCAGAGACCTATCAGCCCCTCTTTGATCCGCTTTGCAGAGCTCGCCCACTCATGCATCCTCTTTGACCCGCTGTCCCGACCTTCCATGGCACAAGTGGCGCATGCGCTCCATGCCATCTACCTAGGTATGCCCTGCTACCCTGCATACCATCTGATTCGGCCTTCCTTGGCCCACTCGTGCATCCTCTTTGACCCGCTGTCCCGACCTTCCATGGCGCAAATGGCGCATGCGCTCCATGCCATCGACCTAGGTATGCCTTACCATCCCACCTACCTACGTACACCATGCCATGCCAAATCCTGCCTATCAGTATTCTCCATAACACATCTGCAACTCGTGCCAAGTCATGTGATTCTCTTTCGGCCCGCTCATGCCCATACATCACCTTTCTTCCGCCAACCGCTACCTGTTGGTACACTACTTTCTTTAGGCACCTCAAAACCCATCCCCTGCCTGTTGGTACACTACTGACTTCTGCTTATAGCTTTATCACCTAGTGTGCTTGCCTCACAGGTTTTACTCAACCCTGTAACGAGCTCATAAACCCAATCATGGGCCTGACTGTCTGTACAACCCACTTTCCATATCCTACCCAACTGTCTTTCCCTTGTGAGCAGACAAGGACTACAGCTCACAACCATCCGCAGCTCAAGTGAAGAGGTCGCAATCCCATTCACACCAGAACCAGCACCAGTCCCCACCCCAGGGCCACGCGGCCACTGGAGGATCCCCCTCTTCCTCTTCTCGCTCCTCCCCCACTGCATCGGATGACGACGGCAGCAACCGTGGCGCAGCAGCAGCTAGTAGCAAGGGCCCTCAAGCCAACAGCCACAGCAGCAGCAATAACCCTAGCAGTGGTAACCGCACCAACAGCAGCGGGGGTGGGCATCCCCCGGAACCTGGTGCAGAAGGGAGTAGCGGTGGCGGTGGTGTTGTCTCTAGGCCTTATGCTGGGGTTTTGCCGCCAAGCGAAGGGTAAGTTTGGCTTGTGGACCATGGCTGTGGGTTAAGTTGGAATTTCTCTAGTTGTGATTGTATGGTGTTCCCGCCACCAATGGCTATCCCTCCCCACTCATCTGATTTCGGTATGCTCTGTCCTCTCTGCCTCCCTCTCTGTGATGGCATGGCACTCCTGGTTTCAGAGGGAGTCGAGAGGAGAAGTTGGAGATGGTGCGAAAGATGCGACAACTGTTGCAGGAAGGGAACAAAGAGGAATTGCGGTGGGATTCCTGATTCATTACCGTGCAGCCTAGGTCAGTACGTGGAATACGGTGCGGAGGCCTGGAGCTGTATGTAGGATATTTGAAATTGAAACCTATAGCCGGCTCTCATTTAGTGGGCAGCCACGAAGTATCTATAGAAATAGGAAGGCAATCAAGGTTGCACTAGTCATTATACTGCCCACTTGTAATGTTAGAGGGCTTATGCTGCTATTTTCTGTGTTTCCCTACACCATTATTTCATTTGTTATCGCGGATTTTGCTTTGACCTTGAGTGACCCGCGTTTCGTGATTGGCTTGTAAATTATCATGCTGTAGCACGCCATTCTCATACCACTTCCGAACCGACTCTTAGCAAAACGTCCGACCGTCTGGTATGTATGCGGAATCACGGCTTCCTGCGACCAAGACTTGGTACCCGAGGCACACGGAACACCCCGCGCTTTCGTGTCTTGGTTCGGGGTAACGCATCTCCACAGTTGCGCACGGGCAGACTGCTCCCACCTGACTTGCAGCGGTCACGCCTCCCCGCACCTGCGGGGTTTGGTTTTGCGGCTCTGCCCCAGCGAGCCCAACCTGAGACTGCTGTCTACTGTACCAGAGCAAGGCTTGGCTCGGGTTTGTGAATGAGCCAATCAGTGAAAGCCGCACCAGAAAATCCCCAAACCAGACCAGACCAGGCCAGCCAAGGTACTGTACACCCGGAAAGGGCAGATTTTTATTATCTCCCAAGCCGAGGCCCTGATTCTTGGTTCTGTCTCGGTGTTCTCGAGAGTCTACAGACTCGAGAATTCCCCAGTTCCCCTGTGTTGCTGTCAACGGCATTTTCGCTGGGGGCAGCGGTGGTGTGATTGGTGCTGCTGCTGTGGTGTGTGTCTGCTCCTGCTCCTGCTTCTCACGCCGGTCTCCTCCCTCCCTTGCTGTGGAGCTCGCGAAAGGATCTGCTTCTGAGTCGAGTCGACTCAAGAGCGAACCAGGCGCAGTCGCTCCTGAGGCGTAGGTGATATTTGAATCACCGTGCCGTGACCCCTTGCTTCGCTGCGGAGTTCGCGCGAGCAGCCGTTGGATCCATTTGGCCGCCATGAGCGGCGTCCTGGAGCTGACCGGTGAGCGCCTCTGGGTGTGTAGCTTGTGATAATGGTCTCATTTTGAGACGCCTCAAAAGCAATTCGAACCATTAGGCCACCATGAGCGGCGTCCCGGAGCTGATTGATGACGGCTTCTTTGTTTGTAACGGCTTGCTGTTTTAAACCGTGGTCGCTTCGCCACTATGGCGTGACCCTTCCTTTGCTTCCGCCTTCGCGCGAACAGTAGTCTGATCCATTAGGTTGGCTTGAGCGGCGTCCTGGAGCTGACCGGTGAGCGCCTCTTCGTTTTTTACGACTTGCTGTTTCAAACGGCTTTCTGACTGAAACGGCTCGGTATAACAAACGGCTTGTCAACTGAAACGGCTTGCTATTTCGAACGGCTCGTTGACTGAAACTTTTTGTTAGTATTTGCACTTCTGTTGCTCGCACCCGTGCTTCTCCTTCTGTGGTATCCTTGTGACCTGCCCGGTGCTCCCCTCCCCCTTCCCCTTCCCCTTCCGTTCCCCCCTCCGCTTCCCCTTTGCTTTGCTTTGCGCCAGTGGTGGGCGCGTCGGGGATGAAAGGCAAGGAGCTCTTCACGAAGCAGAAACGGCTCCCCTACCGTTCCCCTTTCCCCTCCCCTCCCCCTGTCCCCCCCCTCTCCCCTCCCCCTCTCCCCCCCCTCTCTCCTTCCCCTTCGCCTTCCCCTTCCCCTTCCCCTTCCCGTTGTTTTTGCGCGCGCCAGTGGTGGGCGCGTCGGGGCTGAAAGACAAGGAGCTGTTCACGAAGCAGGACCCGTACGTCGTGGTGGAGTACGGTTCCCAGCGGTTCCGCACCAAGACAGATAAAGGTGTGCGCAAGAGGCGTGTAGCCAGATCCATACATAGCGTAAAAGGCACAGAAATTTGGGAGCGGCATGGGGATAACGTAACCGGTGGGACGGGTCACGCCTGTCGAGGAGATAATGCCGTGTAACTAGCGTGCACGTTCCTTCGTAGAAAACAAATGATTTCCCTCCGGAAATATTCGTGTTTCCGGTGGTTGGGAACGGACGCTGTTGGTAGCTTCCAGTAGGCACTGCCTGCCAGCCAGTCGGCCTTCAGACATGTTTCTTAGAGAGAGCAGCAGGCTGTAGTTGGAATAAACGCAATAATCGTTTTCAGTGGTGCAGAACAGAACAGCCACCGTTGATAGTTGATAGTTTTCAACAGGTACTGCCTGCCTGCCACTCGTGGAGGAGGTCTCCGCCATAACCTGCAGCTACCTGCAGGTGTGGGCAAGTTATCAGCTGGGCCCCTCCCCCAACCCCCCCTCCCCCCCTCCCTCCCTCCTCCCCTCCTCCCCTCCTTCCCTCCTCCCCTCCTCCCCTCCACCCCTCCTCCCCTCCTCACCTCCACCCCTCCTCCCCTCCGCCGCTTCTCCCTTCCTCCCCTCCTCCGCTCCTCCCCTCCTCCGCTCCTCCCCTCCTCCGCTCCTCCCCTCCTCCGCTCCTCCCCTCCTCCGCTCCTCCGCTCCCTTCCCCAAGATGGCGGCACGACCCTGCGTTCAACTCGACTTTCCATTCCACCTGCAGCTAGTGCCCGGAGTGGAGGAGTTTTCAGCGGTCATTCGGAACGACAATCTGGGCCAACCTTGTTCTCTCTTGTTTCCCTCTCCCTCCCCTAACACACCCCCTCCTAGATGGCGGAACGACCCCCGCCTTCAACTCGACCTTCCATCTGCAGCTGTTACCCGGAGTGGAGGAGTTTTCAGCGGTCATTTGGAACGACAACCTGGGGCGGGACGACGTGATCGGCAGCTGCAGGGTGAACTTCCGCCAGGCGTTCTCCGCGGGCGTGTGGGACATGTGGCATCCCGTGTACACCAAGAGCCAGAAGTGAGTGGTGTTGGTGGGTGTAGTGTAGCTGCAAGTGTGCTTTGTATAGTTTGGATTACAACCGTTCTCTGCGGGCGTGTGGGACATGTGGCACCCCGTGCACACCAAGAGCCAGAAGTGAGCCTAGCTGATAGGTGGACCTGTCATATACATGTGGGACCCTTATACATGTTGATGCGGGGCATGTTACACTTATTTGAACCTTAAACATGCGGCACCATTATACATGTTGAGGCGGGGCATGTTACACTTATTACCACAACCCTTATACATGCGGGACCCTTATACATGCGGTACCCTTATACCTGTTGATGGGGGGCATGTTACACTTATTACCACGAACCTTATACAGGTGGGACCCTTCGGTCACTTCCCAAGTTTGTCAAACGAGTTGGCCAGGCATGCCATGATGATATGTTACACTTTCTGTATACCAGTACTTTCCGAGCGCCTTTTTTTTTTATCAGCGTCCGGCCTTAACTCTTTTTCTCCGTGCTGTCATTCGTTACAGGCAACGTGGCAGCCTTCATCTGATCATCAAGGCCCCAGGGGTAAGTGCAACCCCTCCCCCCCTTCCCCTTCCCCTTCCCCTTCCTCTTGCCCTTCCCCTTCTCCTTCCCATTCCCCTTCCCCTTCCCCTTCTCCTTCCCATTCCCCTTCCCACTCCCCTTCCCAATCCCCTTCCCATTCCCCTTCCCACTCCCCTTCCCAATCCCCTTCCCATTCCCCTTCCCATTCCCCTTCCCACTCCCCTTCCCATTCCCCCACTACCCATTGTGTGGTCATCCTGGATTCAATACGTGCGCTTCTCACTCACATGCCGTTTCCACTTGCTCTCCTCTTCCCTCTCCCATCCCTCTCTCCTCTTCCTCTCCTCTCCTCCCCCCCCCCCTTCCCTTCCCCCCCATCCACTATTTCCTCTCCCCAGGCCAGGGCACCCGCAGGATATCCCCCTTCAGCGTACCCCCCTGCACCCTACCCAACCGCACCATACCCCGCACCAGCACCCTACCCGACCCCTCCCAACCCCTACCCTCCTGCCCCCGGATACCCCGCACAACCCCAATCCGCTTATCCGCCCCCATCCTCCTCCGCGTACCCTCCCCCGTCCTCCTCCGCCCCTCCCCCATCCGCCTCCCCCTACCCCCCGCCTCCTCCTACCCGGCCCCCTCCCCTTATCCCCAGGGCCCCCCCGCCCCCTACCCTACTGCCCACACCGCTCCCCCTGCCTACTCCAAGCCTCCCAGCGTTTCGTCCTCAGTTAACACTGTGCTGGGGGCGGTGGGGGCACTGGTGGGTTCAGCAGCAGCATATGCTAGCCATGGGCATGGGCACGGGCATGGGCATTACCCGCCGGCCCCATATGGATATCCGCCCCCTCCTGCTGCTCCTTATGGGTATGGGGCGCCGCCTGTGGTGGTGCACCACCATGGGCACCACGGGTATGGGCATCATCACTACAAGCACAAGTACAAGCGCAAGGGGTTCTTTGGCCGGCGCAAGGGGTTCTTTAAATGAGAGGTGTGTGTTGTGGGAGGAGCCTTTTTGGGTCGTCACAAGGATTTCCCTGCGGTGGGGAATCGTCAAGGGCATCTGTACCACAGGCACCTTCACAATTTAGTTTGGAATACACTTTTAGTACGCGCATGGAGGCCTTAAGATTAGATAAGAGAGCATCATGAATTGTATGTAACAAAAGTCTTTGAATACATTAGTCAAGGTGCATCCATGTTTCGCAAGTATTGAAAAAAAACAAGAGGCGACGAGATCGTCTAAGGGTTGCGGAGCATTTCATGATGAGACTTTATTATACATAAAATGTTTTATTTCCATCACAACAAACATTTGATTTTTATTTCACAAACTTGCAATAGGGTTTGCAATAGGTTGCTCCGCAACCCAAAAAAAAAAACAAAAAAAAGATTGCAGGTTAGTGTAATGCACGGGAACGGTGCATGATTCGCGTTGAACACCAGAAACCGAAAATGAGAGACGGAGCACTTGGGAAACGCCGAATTGGAGGGCAGTGCAGTGGGCAGGTTTCACCTGAGCGGAACTTATTCACGCCAGGTTGCGCACAACACGCCGCACGTCGCGATTCGCAACAATTTTCTATTTCCGAAACCTCCTGAAATCCGTGGGAAAGGCAACCTGACGCATGCACGGACCGCGAAACAAAAATTGCGTGCTGGTTTCGCATGGTGGTTGTGGCGTGTACAAATTACTTCGTGGCCCTCACTCCTCCATCATCAACCGGACAGGAGACTTCAATTCGGAAGGAGTTCCACAGATCAACGACAACTGCTATCAATCCGTGTACTGGCACTAGTCCCGTCCCTAGCAATCCATTCGTCGAACTGAGCTCTTAGACACAGGTTCGAGCCATGGCCCGTCTTGCATTCCTCGTCGTGTCCCTCGCGGTCCTGCTGGTGACGGCCTCCGCAGAAAGCGTCGGCACCGGCCCCAAAAACCCGTCGGTCTCCCTGGAGAAGGCCCTCGGGTCCAATGGCGTGGCGACTGACGTCCCCAGCAACATCGAGAAGGCCGCTGCCGCCGGCAACCTGGACAAGTTCGAGGGTACCACCGTTGTGAGCCCCGCCACCGACTCAATGCTGATGGTGGACGTGAAGAAGGCCGGTTGGAACGCGATGAAGTGCCACAAGGACCTCGGTGCGCCCGGGCAAGGCGCGTGCACGCCCGCCAACTGCAGCAAGGGCGGCATCCCCGCCAAGTGGAAGACGTCCAACCTGCTGAAGAACAAGCTCGGTGTGGAGGTTTACGTTAAGGGCAACCCTCTCACTCTCAAGAAGGCGTCTCCCCAGACGTGCTGCAACACGTGCGCGTCGTACAAGAGCTGCACGTACTGGCAGTACATCCCCGACATCACCATCGACGGCAAGAAGTCGGACGGCGCATGCTACCTGGTGCACGACGACATCGACTACACGTGCGGCGAGCTCACCGCGCAGTACGCGACCGAGACGAAGCCGATCGCGCTGCAGGTGCGCACGGGCGGTGAGTGCAACCCCGCCGCGAACATCGTCAACGACCCCCATCTCGTGGGCGCGTTCGGCACCCACTTCGACTTCAACGGCCGCCCCGACAAGGCTTTCTGCCTTCTCACCGACCGCGACCTCCACGTGAACATGCTGCTCCGCGGGTACTACTCGGACGACACGGAGAACGCGGCGCTGGTGGTGGACGGCAAGGCCGTGCACACGTGGATCAAGGAGCTTGGACTCGTGTGGTTCGCCAAGGGTGCCGACCACAAGGTGCGCCTGGCTGCCCGCTCCGGCAAGCAGCAGGAGCGTGGCGACGGGTTCATGAAGACGATCGAGATCGACGGCGAGGAGATCCCCAAGATGAACGTTGGCGACGAGGTGACATCCGAGGGCGGGCTCACCCTGCGCTTCACGGCGCTCGAGAAGGAGGGTCCCTATGATGTTGACTACTACACCCTCACCATCGATGGCCTCGTTTCCCTGGATCTGAGGCTGCGCGTGGCGAACCCCAAGCTGCAGACCCCCAACGAAGCCGAGGCGCACATCAACGTGGGCATCGTGGAGCTGGAGCACACCGACGACGTGCACGGCGTGCTCGGCCAGACCTACCGCCCCGACCACGCTGCTCGCGCCGCCGACTTCCAGCGCCTGATTGCGAACCTGCACCGTCCGATCTCGTCCGACAGCGAGGAGGGCGTTGGGTTCCTGGACGGCACTCCCCGGTCGTACGAGTCGAGCTCCGTGCTGTCCGTGGACTGCGCGCACACCGAGTATCACCGCGCCAAGCAGCTGAGCCCCGTCGAGGAGTTCCCCATGGAGCCTCTCAACTAAAGAGCTTCGGTTGAGCAGACTCGCGGCTTCGACATGGTGGGCTGTCGGTGGGCTCGGTAGTGTGATCTTAGGTGGGTTGTTGTAAGGCTCATATTCGAGGATACATGTTGTCCACCTGTAATTGTATATTAGAATCCAGATTAGCAGGTGTAATATTATGAATTAGCCAGCATTATTCCAATGGGGATATCTGTCTGTGGCTCATAAGAACTTGTGATCAAATAGATGCTGGATTATGATTGTAAGAGACCTTAGGTGGGTAATTCGCTTACACGATGGTTGTCTCACCATAACTAAACATCAGAAGGGAAAGTAGCCTAGTTAATAGCTGCATCAGAAGGTGAAAAAAGTTTCAGCCAGCCAAAGAGCCTTCTGTAGGTAGAGAAATTATGAGAGGAAGTAAAGCAAGTTTTCTGTGCAATAGCACACCATACATATTCCTACAAAATTCACTCCCGCAAGACTACTTATCCCCGGACCAGAGCACAGTCATGTATCCACCAAGCAGGTAACTCTTGCTCCACATCTTTCCCAAACGAGGCTGACAGCAGCAATGGCGAAGTCACTCGTCCGTCCCAAGGACTGAAGATTCTTGTCACTGCTGCCCCCTGCAGCACCCACCTCTGCTGCCGCTGCTGCTACTCCTGCAACTGCTTAGGCTTCCAATCCAACCTGCCCTCAGAATTCTTCCAAGTCATCCTCGTCATCCTCAAACGAGAATACAGAGGCATTGGCAGTGCTGGCAGCAGCAATGGCAAAGTCACTCGGCGGGCTTAAGCACTCGGCTTAACCTTGGGCTCCCCTGCACCCATCTGTGCTGCTTGCTGCTGCCACTGCTGTCGCTGCTGCTGCTGCTGCTGCTGCTGCTGCTGCGGGTGCTTCCAGGTTCTCAGGTTCCCAACCTGCCCTCAGAAGTCTTCCAGGTCGTCCTCGTCATCCCCAAACGAGAACACAGAGGCATCAGCAGCGCTGGCAGCAGCGATGGCGAAGTCACTCGACGGGCCAAAGAACTGCAGGTCCTTGTCTTTGGGCTCCCCTGCACCCGTCTGTGCTGCTGCTGCTGCTGGCTTGGCTGCTGCTGCACCAACAGCAGGACTGGCCAAGCCAGTAGCAGCAGAACCAGCACCCGCAGCCACAGCAGCAGAACCAGCAGCACTGGCAGTGCTTCCTGTAATCCCGGTCGATGCCCCGGCTCCGGCCCCTGGACCAGAGGTGTTGCGCAGAGGGCTTCCCATGAAGAGTGCCGAGGGGTCCGCTGCCACAGCAGAGATAGAGGGGATGGGGCCGGGGCCGGGGCTGGGGCTGGTTACCACTTCCTCGTTGCCAAGTGTTACTGGGTTGGACGGGCCCCGGAGGGGCGATGGGGCTCTCCCAACCACACCTGCTGCTCCTGCTGCTCCTGCTGCTCCTGCTGCTCCTGCTGCTGCTGCTGCTGCTGCCAGGGAGCTCAGGCTAAGGCCGGACCCGCCTGGGGATCCTATCCTCCCCACTGCTGCTGCTACCCCTGCTGCCCCTGCACCCGCGGGCGAGGCAACGCCTGGAGCCTCCTCAAGTCCAATCAGAGGAGGAGTTTCCCGTCCCTTCCGCACCCTCCCTCCTCCCCCTCCTCCCCCTCCTCTCTTCCCCGCCTCCTCCTCCTCCTGCTCGTCCTCCACCTCATCATCACTGTCACTGAAGATATCTGGGTGCATATCCTCGTCCTCCTCTGCTCTTCCTCTCACTTGCTCCGAGCCCCTACTACTCCCCACGGAGTGTTTTGGCCCAGAGTTGGCAGGAAGCCCTGCACCAGCAGCACTGCCAGAAGCACCGCCAGCAGCAGCAGCAGTAGTGCGAGAACCCGCTGAGACTGACGAGGATGCTGATGATGGCTGCTGCTTCGCCTTTTGCTGCTGCTGCTGCTGGGGAGCTGCTTGGGGCTTAGCTGTTGCGCCCATCATAAAGCTCTGGAAGGATGCCGCCAGAGAGAAGCCCGAGGTCGCTGGGGGTGGGAGACCGGGGGGAAGAGAAAGGGGGAACGGGGGGAAGAGAAAGGGGGAACGGGGGGAAGAGAAAGGGGGAACGGGGGGAAGAGAAAGGGGGAACGGGGGGAAGAGAAAGGGGGAACGGGGGGAAGAGAAAGGGGGAACGGGGGGGAAGAGAAAGGGGAAACGGGGAGGGGGAGGATTTTTTAAGGCCGGCTCATGAGGCTCTGGAAGGAGTCTATTTTTGAGGCGCCTCAAAAATAGGCTCATGAAGCTCTGGAAGGAAGCCGCCAGGGAGAAACCCGAGGACGCTGGGGGTGGGAGGGGGGTGGGAGAAAGAGGAGAAGGAAGGGAGTTGCTTGGGGCTTATTAGTTGCGCCCATCATGAAGCTCTGGAAGGATGCTGCCAGAGTGAAGCCTGAGGATGCTGCGGGTTGTGATTTTAACCGGTGCCATGCCGCCGCATATGGAGAGTTGACAGCTGTTTATCAGACGCACCCTTAACAGCAGCAGGAGGTGCAGGCGTGGAGGAAGCCGACGGCCGAGAGCCTGCAGTAGCAATGCCTTTCCCCTTGGCATCTGACGCTCATTTCTCTTCCCAACTCACTCACCCTTGGTAGCAGCAGCCGCAGCAGCAGCAGCAGGAGGTGCAGGCTTGGAGGAAGCCGACGCCCGAGAGCCTGCAGCAGCAATGCCTTTCCCCTTGGCATCTGACGCTCATTTCTCTTCCCAACTCACTCACCCTTGGTAGCAGCAGCCGCAGCAGCAGCAGGAGGTGCAGGCGTGGAGGAAGCCGACGGCCGAGAGCCTGCAACAGCAATGCCTTTCCCCTTGGCATCTGACGATCTTCCCTTCCCTCCGGCTGCCGCAGCACTACCAGCCGCGGGTGTCTTCTTCTTGGGTTGTGGCAGGGGAGCGTCGTGGTCCAGCAGAATGAGCTCCACTAACAGCCCGGGCGAGGGCAGGCGACGCTGAGGGAAGAGGCGTGGGGAGGGGGGGGGGGGGGGGTGGGGAGGGGAACCGGAGGACGGGGGGGGATTTGCATGTAGGTTCGCTGGACAAGGACAAGCAGGCAGGGGGCGTCGTCGTCCAGCAGAACGAGTTCCACCAGTAGACCAGGCGAGAGCAGGCGACGCTGGGGGAAGGGGGGAGGAGGGGGGAGGAGGGGGGGAGGAGGGGGGGAGGAAGGGGGGAGGAAAGGGGGAGGAGGGGGGGAGGAGGGGGGGAACAGAGGGGAGGAACAGTGGGGAGGAACAGAGGGGAGGAACAGTGGGGAGGAACAGTGGGGAGGAACAGTGGGGAGGAACAGTGGGGAGGAACAGTGGGGAGGAGTTCACATGTTCGTTTGTTGGACAAGCAAGCAGGGGGGCGTTGTGGCCCGCCAGAATGAGCTGCACCGGCAGAACAGGAGAAGGCATGCGTCTAGTTTTGAGGCGCCTCGTGATAGGAGTCTAGTTTTGAGGCGCCTCGTGATAGGAGTCTAGTTTTGAGGCGCCTCAAAACGAGCTGCACCGGCAGACCAGGAGAAGGCACGCGGCGCAGGGGGAAGTGAGAAGGGGGGAGTGAGAAGGGGGGAGTGAAGTGGGCTAGACAACAGGAGAGGTGAGGTGCAACACAGGCTTGGGTTCTGGAAGCGGGGCGCGGTGGTGCAGCAGAATGAACTCCACCAGCAGACCAGGAGAAGGCAGGCGGCGCAGGGGGGAGCAGGACAAGGGGAGAAGGACGATGGGTGGGGAGCTGGGCTTGGTTGTGACAGGGGGGTCATTTTTTAGAATACTCAAAACTGACTCCACTCTAGCGGGGAGGCTGGGCTTGGTTGTGGCAGACAGGGGGCCGGAGGGGCAGAGAGAGCTCTGGTCAGGTCGCAGAAAGAAAGGAAGAAAGAAACGGAAAAAAGGGTCCCTTTTGGTGTAGTCCCTTACCTTGTCAAAATTGTCGAAATCATCGCATGGGATGACAAGGCGGTTGGCAATCATGCCAGTGTTGAGCCAGCTGGGGAATAATAAGGGGAAAGAGCAGAGGACGGACGATGGGGAAGAGGTAGGGAGGGGGGGACACGGAGGGATGACAAGGCGGTTGGCAATCATGCCAGTGTTGAGCCAGCTCGGGAAGAATGGAGGAGGGGTCAGCAGGGGGGGGGCGAGGAGGGAAAGGGGGGGGGGAGGTGGGGTGGGTTTGGATGGTCGAAGGAGAGGGGGGGCGGCAGAAGGAGAAATTGGGGAGGCAAAAGAATCACAGCATGCAAAGGGGTAGATGTGTCGTCAGGCTCAAATCGTTCTCGACGGGGGCCAAGCCACACTCCGGCCAAGAGCACCACCGCCCACTCCTTCTAAACACTGCCCTTGGGGAAAAAAAAAAAGAAAAAAAAAGGCTTTCGCACCAGTAAAAATCCCCGTTCCTATCGATGAATTTCAGGCAGAAATCGCCCTCCACAGGTGCCAAGCCCCGCTCGCCCGGCAGAGCAAAGACCACCACGCCCTCCCTCTGCGTCGACTGGTGCCACATGTCCTCGGGCTATTGGGGGCACAGCGAGGGTGGGGGGGGGGGGGACGAACCGAGTAGCATGACGAGATTGTGGTGGATGAGCACGAGAAGAAGAAGAAAAAAAAACGAAAAGAAAGGAAAGGAAAGGAAAAGTAAGAAAAGGAAAGGAAAAGAACAAAGAAAAAAGAAAAAAGAAAGCAAAGAAAAAGAAAAAGAAGGACCATCACGCCTCCCTCGGCATCCCCTGGTGCCACATGTCCTCCGGCTAGTGGGCGGGAGGGGAGGAGTGGACAAAAACGGGGCGGCAAAAAGCAAGGTGCCTAACACATGCATGCTCCTGGGTGTTGAGTGCTTGGAAGTTGGACTAATGATGGTCAACACGACGGGTCCTTCGTGAGAAGCAGGAATCGAGCGAAGGGAATCGAGCAGCAAGAATCAAGCAGCCGGAATCGAGCAGCCAGCTCAACTCCAAAGTTGAGTCACCATGAGATCTCGAGTCTTTGGGTGCTTCCTCGAGTTGAAGAGAACCCCTGCCAGCCAGCCAGCACGGAACCCATGGCATTGGACTGCTCTTAAAAACGCAGGAGGGTATCAGAGGGACTGGGTGACGACAGGAGGATGCATCAGCAATCCGGGTTGAAAGCTCAAAATCACCGTTGTTGAAAAGGGAGAAGAAGAAGAAGAAGAAAAAGTTCAAAATAAAAACATCAATTATTTGAAGCACTGCAGATCACACAACACAGCCCTTCTCCGCAGATGCCTTTGTCTCACAGGGTGACATGACAAGTGGACGCACCTGATTGGTCGGAGACAACAATGGCAGGACGCACCCAGTACGGGCAGCGATGGATGCGGATTCCGCGAATGTGACACCTGCCGCAACGGGATTGGATAAAACTTGCTTGAATCCGGTCCGGTTCGGAGAGGTATCATCGTCGTAACCATATCGCACAGGATTGGAAAAACTTTGGAGCCAGCTCAAAGCAGTCGTATTACACAAGATGGGATTAAGATGAGCTGAGGTTGACTGCACAGGGCGTGACAGAAGATTCTTGTGCGCAGACTTTCTTTTGAGGCGCCTCAAAAGTCTCACACAACTGATTTGGCAGGGTGTTTCTGCAGACAGTGTGAAAATTCTAGAGAACACCCGGCAAAAGGTGTATTCTGAGTCGACTAAAAAAACATATAGAAAACACTGCAAAATGAGCTGGGGTGGATTGATTGCATCGGGTTTGGCAGAGGATTCCTGTGTGCAAACCGATCGATCCCGTGTTGCTTGCTTACTTGCGTGGGGCAGGGATGATCCCATGCCGCATCCTGAGCACCTCCTCAAAGTACTTCACATAGCGCTGGTGTGATGGAGGGCGTGGCGTGGGAGGAAGGAGATATGGAAAGAGACGTGGGGGGGGGGACGGAGGGACAGAGGAGGGGCAAGCAGGCAGCAGTAATTTCGTGCGTCATAATGAGCACCTCCTCAAAGTACTTCACATAGCACTGCTGCGATGGAGGAGTGTGGGAGGAAGGATATATGGAAGGAAGGCAAACGGAGGGATAGAGGAGGGACAGGCAGGCCCGCGGGGATGATTCCGTGCCGTTTCGTTTTGAGAGGACTCAAAACGAAAATACCAGCACACGGAAACGGAGGGATAGAGGAGGGAGGGACAGGCCCGCAGGGAGGATTCTGTGCCGTTTCCTCAAAACCTCCTGCGATTATTTCCCAGATAATTCAACGCTATGCGAGGGTCTCCCCACGTAGAGCTACTTTTGAGGCGCCTCAAAGATAATTCAATGCTATGTGAGGGTCTCCCCACATAGAGCTGCCATGGGGGTGGGGTGTGGAGACCCGGGATATTGGAGGAAAGAGATACAGGGAGAGATGTGAGAGGAGATGTGAGAGGAGAGATGTGAGAGGAGGGATGTGAGAGGAGAGATGTGAGAGGAGGGATGTGAGAGGAGAGATGTGAGAGGAGGGATGTGAGAGGAGAGATGTGAGAGGAGGGATGTGAGAGGAGAGATGTGAGAGGAGGGATTTGAGAGGAGAGGAAGGTACAGAGAGGGATGGGAAGACTAAGGGCGGTTCATTCAGTGCTGTGCCGAAAATGACGACTAAATGAGAGTCAGGTGTAGTTAGTAACTAAATGAGAGTCAGGTGTAGTTAGTAACTAAATGAGAGTCAGGTGTAGCTAGTAACTAAATGAGAGTCAGGTGTAGTTAGTAACAACTTTCTGGCAAGCCCGCAGGACGATGAGGACAGCAGCGGAGACCTTTTGGCTGGGCAGCACAGACCTTTTGGCTGGGCAGCACGAGCGCCTTGCCATCCGTGCATCTCTTGGCATTGAAATAGTTGATGGCCTCATCTGCCGTGGCGTAGTACTGTGGTGGGAAGACGAGAGGAGGGCCAAGACAAGGAGATGGAAAAGATGGGAGAGAGATGAGAGAGAGGGGATGAGGAATAGTTGATGGCCTCATACGGCCACGTAATCGTCTGCTGTGGCGTAGTACTGTGGTGGGGAGACGGGGGGAGAGAGAGCATAAAATCGGGGAATTTAGAGGAGTACTGCTCAGCATGTTGCTACACCATGAAGCACGTTGCACTGAAGGGGTACTGATGGGGAGCACTGGAGGAGCTCTCATGAGGTAAAGTCGAGCTCTCATGAGGTAAAGCTGAGCTCTCATGAGGAAACGTTGAGCTCTCATGAGGTAAAGTTGAGCTCTCATGAGGTAAAGTTGAGCTCTCATGAGGTAAAGTTGAGCTCTCATGAGGTAAAGTTGAGCTCTCACGAGGTAAAGTTGAGCTCTCATGAGGTGAAGTTGAGCTCTCATGTGGTAACGTGCGGCTTGCATTGGGTAACGTGATGCTGGCACGAGGCATGGGGGATACTGGGGGACTCACGTTGAGGAAGAGCAGCAGGGAGGACACCATGAGGCCCGTGCGACCCAGTCCCTCCTTGGAATGGATCACGAGCATGCGATCACTCCACTCGATGGGGCTGCTGTCATGGTGGGGCTGACTGCTGCTCTCATGGGGCATGGCTGGTGCAGATGATGACGATGATGATGGTGCTGCTGCTGATGATGCTGCTGATGTGGATGGCGCTGCTGCTGCTTCTGAACTGCCCCCCGGAGTAACACCATCGCCATTGGCACTGCCACTGCCGTCCTCTGCCCCCATCTTCTCAACCACCTCTCCCATATCAGTGCCCACCATCTCCTCCGCCTTTCCCTTCCCCTCTCTCTTTCCATCCCCCTTCCCCTCCCCTTCCTGCTTCCCCTCCCCTTCCTCCTCTCTCGCCCCTTCCCCTGCATCTCCTCCACCCTCTCCCTTCTCCTCCTTCCCTTTCCCTTTCTCCTCCTGCTTCCCCTCTCGCTCCCCCCCTTCCTTCCCCTCTCCCTCCCCCCTCTTCTCCTCTACCTTCCCATCATTCCCCTCCCCCTTCCCATCCACCCCCTCCTTCTCCCCCTCACTTCCCCCCTCCCCTCGCCCCTGCCCCCCCCCCACCAGCCTCCGCTTATCCTCTGATGCGCTCAGCCACGCCCGGGCAGTTAGGCAAAAGTTCAGGATGATAGGCAACGGCGGCACCTGCCCCTCGGCGATGGGGAACGCTCCAACCCGCCCATGGAAGACAGCAGGGTCGTACTGGTACAGCGGCTCTGTGCACAGGTTGATGATCATGTAGCGACCCTGGGATTAGGGTTAGGGTTAGGGTTAGAGGGGGGATGGGAATGGAGGCAAGATGGACCCTGGGTTAGCAGGTGATGCCCCCACGCGCCCATGGAAGACAGCAAGGTCGTACTGGTACAACGGCTCTGTGCACAGGTTGATGATCATGTAGCGACCCTGGGATTAGGGTTAGGGTTAGAGAGGGGATGGGAATGGAGGCAAGAAGGGCCCTGGGTTAGCAGGTGATGCCCCCACGCGCCCATGGAAGAGACAGCATTGTCGTACTGGTATAGGGGCTCTGCGCACAGGTTGATGATCATGTAGCGACCCTGGGACTAGGGTTAGGGTTAGGGAATAGGGGGGTGAGGAATAGGGCAAGAGGGCAGGGGAAGAGGAAGGAACCAGGGTTACAACTTGACGCCCCCACCCGCCCATGGAACACTGAGGGGTCGTACTGGTTAAGGGGCTCTGCGCACAGGTTGATGATCATGTACCGATCATGGGAAAAGGTTTAGGTTAAAAAGTGGAGAGGTGGGGGAAGGGGAGTGAAGCAAGAAGGAACCTGGGCTAGTATGTGCGGCCCCCACCCGACCCTGGAATGATGTTCAAGGGGGGAGAAGGAATCAAACAAACAAGCAAACAAACAAGCAAACCAAGCATGCGCAGAAGCAAAGAAAGGAGCACGCATGGACCTTGTGGTATGTCTCGAGGAAGTGAAGCACGTCGGTGACATGGTTGCGGTACAGGCCCTGGCCACAGGCAGCACGGAGAGAAAACAGATAAAATACAGAAGACGGAGCGGAACGGGGGATTGGAAAGAGGGGGAAGGGTGAGTTCCGGGAGGGGGGGGGAGGGGGGAGGAAGGGAAGCCGGTGGAGGGGAAGGGAGGGGGAGGGGGTTTAGAAATAGGCAAGAAGATAAATTAGAGGAAGGTAGAGCAAGGAATCAACGGATGCTATGAGCGGAGCAAGGAATCAACGGATGCTATGAGCGGAGCAAGGAATCAACGGATGCTATGAGCGGAGCAAGGAATCAACGGATGCTATGAGCGTATACACCAGCCAGTGCACTCCCGCGGCGTGCACTAAACATCCATCCACGTGCACCACGTGGCCATGCATACATGGACCAATGCACACAGCAGTACATGCACTCACACATGACACGCCCTCAGCGCACCTCAACCATGCTCATGATGCCCGCATTGGCATCGCCCCCAGCGGGGAACCCCATGGCGATGATGCCCGCAGTGATGTATGTCACGTCCAGGTCGAACCCGCGCTGCTGAAACCGCCTCTTGCTATGCCACCCCAACCCACACGTACAGCAATACAGGCACCAACACAGGCACCGCCAACAAATGCAAAACACACATATACCCCCAGCTCACCTCAACCACGCTCAGCTCACCTCAACCACGCTCAGCTCACCTCAACCACGCTCAGCTCACCTCAACCACGCTCAGCTCACCTCAACCACGCTCAGCTCACCTCAACCACGCTCAGCTCACCTCAACCACGCTCAGCTCACCTCAACCACGCTCAGCTCACCTCAACCACGCTCAGCTCACCTCAACCACGCTCAGCTCACCTCAACCACGCTCAGCTCACCTCAACCACGCTCAGCTCACCTCAACCACGCTCAGCTCACCTCAACCACGCTCAGCTCACCTCAACCACGCTCATCTCACCTCAACCATGCTCATGATCCCGGCATTGGCATCGCCCCCAGCGGGGAACCCCATGGCGATGATTCCCGCAGTGATGTACGTCATGTCCAGGTCGAACCCGCCCTGCTGAAACCGCCTCTTGCCATGCGACGCCAGGTGCTTCGCCTGTGCCTGAATCGCCTTGGCAGCACTCTGCGACCTTTCCACCAGCCCCTTTGTCCGGTCCTGTATCACCTTCCCCCCATCCTGTAACACCTTCGTCCCTCCTGCAAGCCCCTTCTTTCCCTCCTCCACCCACTCCATCGTCCCTTCCACTATCTCCTTCCTCCCTTCCTCCACTAACTCCTTAGTAGCCTCCATGAGTCCCCTCGTCCCCAGCACAAACCCCTTAGTACCCTCCCCTACGAGCTCCTTAGTCCCTTCAACTAGCCCCTTAGTTCCGTCGGCTAAACCCTTCTTACTCTCCTCCATCCACCCCCTTGTGCCCTCCATAAACCCCTTAGTGAATGATCCCAGCACTTGGCTCGCAGACGCGGCTGCTGCTGCTGCTGCCGCTGCCGCCGCTGCTCCTGCTGCTGCTGCCTGTTCTTGCGCCTGTGCCTGTGCTCGTGCTGTTGCCTGTGCCTTAGCCAGCTTTTCAGCCTTCAGCTGAGCCTGCCTCTGTGCTTTGGCCTCTGCCTCTGCCTGTGCCTTTTGCTCCCCTGCCTGCCCCCCCGACTCCTCCTCTTCTGTGGCAGGCGCTTTCCCCTTGTCAAGCGACCTCGCCCTAACGCCTTCTCCTCCTCCCTCTATCCCTGCCTCTGCTCCAAGCCCACCTCCAACATCATCGCCACCAGGAGCAACAGTATCAGCTACAGCAGCAGGAGCACCAGCAGCACCAGCAGCAGCACCACGTCCCTTGCTCTCCTCCGCCTCTTCCTCCTCCCCGTCGCTGCCCAGAGCATCCATGACAGCAGCAAACGCAGCCTCCGTGTCCTCATCCGCGTCCTCCCCTGCTGTCGCCGCCCACTCTAGAATCTCTGCCACCAAGTCATCGCCAGCATCAACATCCCCCTCCCCTACCTCCTCCTCGTTTTGAGGCGCCTCAAAACCATCCCCCTCCCCTACCTCCTCCTCCTGATTTCCGTCCTTCTTCTCAATCCCCCCTTCCTCCTGCTTTTCCTCGTGCTCCACTTCCTTAAGTTCTGCAACTTTTTCCGTTCGTCCCTCCTCCGTTCTTTCTGCATTTGTCCCTTTGTCTTCTTCTCCCTCCCCTGCTCCTTCTCCCTTTGTTTCCTCTTCTATTTTGCTGCCTACTGCCACCACTGCTGGTACGATTGCTGCCTTTCCATCCACTTTTCCTTCTCCCTTCCCTCCTCCCCCCCTCTCCCCAACACTCTCGCCAGCAGCAGCAGCAGCACCCCCAGTCGCTCCAGCATCCCCCTTTCCAACTGCCCCTGAACCCGCCCCAAGCCCCCCTCCTCCCCCCTGCCTCTCCCCCCCTCTTCCTCCGCCTCCACCTCTCCCTCTACCTCTCCCGCGCCCTGCACCAGAAGCAGCAGCAGCAGTCGGAGCAGGAGCAGCGGCAGCAGGGGCGGAGAACGTCTGCCACAGCGACTGCATTCCAGCGGCTGCTGCCGCCGCTGCCTCTGCCGCAGCCTGCCTGCCACTGCCGGCACCGCCGCTGCCGCTGCTGCTCTTTCCCACACTTGTGTTGCTGCTGCTGCTGGTGCTCTCCCCAGGCGTTCCCTTCTCAGAAAGCGAGCTGAAAAATGACCCCAGGGCCGCTCGTGCATTCTCCTGCAGCTTCTCCGCGCTCTTGAGCACCTCCTTGGCTGACTCCCGCATGGCAGCAGTGTCCACTGATGGCACTGACGACCCTCCCAGTCCTGCTCCCCCTGATGCACTGCGCACTACGGGGGCTCCTCCTGCTGCTACTCCTGCACTTGCTGCCCCTGCCGCTCCTCCTGCCGCTCCTCTCCCGCTTCCTGGTGCTGCAGCTACACCACCTCTCCCTGCGACTGCGCTTCCTTGCGCCACCCCTCTACCACTACCCCCACTATTGCTTCCTCCCCCACTGCTTGTTCTCCCTGCTGCAGGGCTTGGCGAGGAGTCAGGCGAAGGGCTGGCGAGCGACGAGCGCAGGGACTGGAAGCCCTTGGAGAAGAGCGAGTAACCAGGTAACGCCTGCGCCTGCTCCAGTAACGACGGCGGAGGAGCAGATCCCTCAGCGGCGTACCGCCTTGCGGCGGCAGAAGCCGGCTTCGAGGGCGCGCTGCTGCTGCTGCTGCTGCCCGTTTTTGTAGGCTCGCGACCTCTCCCTCTTCCTCCTCTTTCCCCTCCGCCACTCCCCCCTCTTCCCCCTTCGGCCCTCTTTGAACCGCTTCCTCTTCCCGTTTCTCCTCCTGTTCCGCTCTCATTTCCGCCTTCCCTGCCGCCAGCGGTTGCGTCAATTCTTTGACTCTGCTCACTGGCGTCGCTGTGACTATTCGTTGCAGCAGAGCCAGGCAACGTGGCTGGATCACGGCCGGAATCAGCTGACGTGGCAGCTGCAGCAGGGCCTTCCGATGGAGTATCCGTCACTGTTGGAGCCACGTCAGAAGGAGCCGGCCGAACATCGGAACCGGCAGAAATGGGGCCACTTGCGTCTCCTGCTGACGTGGCTATAGGTGCGGCTGATGTACCTCCTGCTGCGGCTGGCGATTGGTCAGACTCAAGAGTTACCGACGTTACCGGGTTACCACTGTCCGCCGCAGATTCCGTTGGTTCCGACGTAAGTGCCGAGTCCGAGACAGGCTCTGCATGCTCTGGTGCAGGCATGTCTAGTGCAGGCATATCTGGTGCAGGTGTCTCCTGTACCGGAGTTGTCACATCTGATGCTGGGGTATCCATCGCAGAAGGCTCGTGCGACGAATCCGCAGCAGACGAATCCATGGCTCGCGGTCAGTCCAAATTTGACGGCAGGGTGAAAAGAATAACACAAGAAAGCTTGAACTCCGAAAGACTTGAATGCGAGAGTTGAGAGGGTATGGTATGTCAATAACGTCTTGAATGTGCGGTCGACAAACTATGATTCAAGCTAAGCTGCCTTAGGTAGCTGAGCCAAGTTGCCAGGGACTCCGGAACTGGATACTGCATTCCCACCTATGTGGGAGATCCCAAGGTCGGGGGAAAAGTTTGCAGGCATGCTACATGTACGAAAGTTAGCGATTTTTTCTCGTCACTGTAACAGGGGATCTGGAAGGTTGGTGTCAGCTGATCAGTTCCCTTTGGATTCAAGCTTCGTTACAGTAATCCCGATTTCGGATACTATGGCTGGAAAATCTGTAGCCCACACAGAATGTACTCAGATTAACTAAACCCACCAGCAAGCAAAGGTAGAATGTATTATTGCTCGCATTATTTGGTCTAGCTACTTCTCGCTCTCTCCATTATGCGTCGTGAATTGTGATCCTGACGACCTCTTAGTCGTCACGAGCTGACACGACTTGCGATCAATGCGGGGTTGCTGACGATCATCTTATCTTCACGGTCCGAGAATCCGAGATTCACCATCTCGAGTGCCCCGAGGTGCCTTCTGAGTCTATTTTTGAGGCGCCTCAAAAATTGACCATCTCGAGTGCCCCGAGGTGGCTTCTGAGTCTGCTCGAAAGTGATCCTAACCGAAAGTCTTCACGGTCCGAGTTTGACCGACTCGAGAGTGCACCGATCACCTCTCGAGAGGGATGGCGCTCGTGCTTATCTGCGGCCAGCCGTGCAGCGGCAAGTCCACAGTAGCGAGGCAGCTTGTAGCGGCTCTCGAGGCTGCTATTAACGAGCAACAGAACAGCTCTCCCAGCGATAGAAGACTAAGTGTCATCCTCCTAGGCGAGGAGCAGCTCCACATTGGCCGAGACGATGGCTACCAAAGTAAGTCGGATTTATAAGTGGGACTTTTAGGCCTTAGCGACGGGCGGCTAAGCGTTACTTTTACTAGGCGGAGAGGAAGGGCATTGAATTGAAGAAGGAGGCTCAATGTAGTCTTACTAGGCGAGGAGCAGCTCCACATAGGCATTGAGTTGGTTGTTGAGAATATTCAAAAATCAACTCTACAGGGCGAGGAGCGGCTCCACATAGGCCGAGACGACGGCTACCAAAGTAAGTCGGGCCGTTGACGGCTTAGGACGCTACTAGTGCCAGTGGCTTTGCGATCTAGACACTGGGTTACGCGTTTTTGTGCTAAATCTGTCAATTGTGCAGAAATGGTGGCCGAGAGACCTTGAGTAAACTCAGAAGTCGCCTCGGACTACTGAAACGTGTTTGCTGCTTGTTTTGTTACATCTGTGCTACACCTGTCAATTGTGCAGACATGGTGGCCGAGAAGAACGTGCGGGGATCGCTGCGATCTGAAGTGGATCGTGCGGTCGGCAAGGATCGAATCGTGATCGTCGATTCGCTAAACGCCATCAAGGGTTACCGATACGAGCTGTGGTGCCTGGCTCGCGCTGCTGCCACCAAATACTGCGTGGTGCGTGCGATATGTACAATCGGTGTGGTACCTCGCGGTCTGGGTCGGTGCTGTACCTTTGTGTGTGCTAAGTGCGACAGATAGCACATCAGTGTGTAATAGCACGTCCTGGTGCCATCTGCATGCTGCGTGCGTCTCGCCGCCGCCACTGCATCCCTCTCCATCCCTCTCCATCCCTCTCCATCCCTCTCCATCCCTCCTACCATTCCTGCCTGTGCATTGTGACGTGGCAGCAGAGACAGCAAGGGAGTGGAAGGGCAGACGCAAAGAGGCAGAAGAAGCGTTTGGGGGGGGTCGCAGAGAAGCAGATGAATAGTTTGGGTCCTCTCTGAAGCTTCACCTCCCACTCCTTCCCCTTCATTCCTGCAGGTGCATTGCGACGTGGCAGCAGAGACAGCAAGGGAGTGGACGCCGAGAGGCAGATGAATAGTTTGGGTCCACTCTGAAGCTTCACCTCCCACTCCTTCCCCTTCATTCCTCCAGGTGCATTGCGACGTGGCAGCAGAGACAGCAAGGGAGTGGAACGAAAGGCGTAGAGAGGCAGGCGAGCCTTGCTACTCCCCCCATGTGTGAGTGTGACTCCGCATTCCCCCCCCGTCCATGCAGAATCTTCATTTCAGGATCCCTAGGGTTTCCCTCCAAGCTTTCCTTGCTTCTCTTTTTCCTGATGAATTTCTCCCCTCCATCCCTCCCCCCACCTCTGCTCATTCTCCACCAGCCTGATGCCTCCTCCCACTCTTCCTCGCCCTCTCTTCCATTCCTCTGCTGCAAACTCAGGCTCGAGGATCTGTTGGGCCGATTCGGGAGGCCTGAGGACCTCCCCTCCTCCCCTCCTCCCCTCCTCCCCTCCTCCCCTCCTCCCCTCCTCCCCGCCTTCCCTCCTCCCCTCCTTCTCCCTCCCATCCCTCTGCCCCGCTGTCAGGTTGGACGATCTGTTGGGTCGATTCGAGAGGCCTGAGGGGCGCAACCGATGGGACTCCCCTCTGTTTGAAGTACACCCTGCTTCCGGTATGTGATACAATGCATGTGCCGTTAGCAGACGTGATTGTAACCGTGTCTCTCTTATGAAGCTGCATGTGTTTGTCTGTTTGCCTTTTCTCTTCTCAGCCTTTCCTGCTCCCTCTCAGTGTCTTCTAACAGTGCACCCTGTCAGTGCCCCTTGTCACTCCCCCCTCCCAGTGCCCCCTCCCAGTGCCCCCTCCCAGTGCCCCCTCAATGCTCCCTTCAATTCGCCAACTCAGTCCTCCCTCCCAATGCCCCCCCCCAAAGCCCCCTCTTAGTTCTCCCTCTTGATGCTTCCTCCCAATACTATGTCTGCCAGATCAAGCAGCAGAGGAGGCAGAGGGGATGACAGGGGAGGTGGTGGCACTGCTGGTGGGAGGAAGAGGAGCAGCTAGCGGACAGGGGCGAGCAGGTCGGGCCCTGCAGCCAACCGTCGCCACACAAACAGTGAGTTCTCTTCCAAGCAATCAGTAGCAATTGTCGGGAATTGGGATTACACATACCCATATAAGCAAGGAATTCAGAGCAATAACTGGTGTGGAATTCTGGCCAGAGTGTACCAGTAAGTTCTTCTTTGCCTTGTCTCTCCCTCTTTGTGGTTGCAGGCTACACATTCAGATGCCAACGTGCTTTATGTAATGGACCGAGCCACCAAGGTATGGGACAGACAGGGCCACCAAGTTATGTCAGTTTGTTGGTTCAGCCACCTGTAACCATATGATGCCATGACTGCACAGAAGCATCAACGTACCATTGTTCAACCCCCCCCCCCCCCCCCACCTCCCCTGTGTTTATTTCTTCATTTTCTGACCTCTTGCTTGTGCAGGAGGTGGTATCAGCTGTAATGGATGCTCAGGCATCGCTTGGAGGTGCCACATCAGCATTCACTGTAGATTTGGGGGAAAACAATAAGATCGTGTTGCGGCGTCCTATTGGTCTTCCAGAATTGCAACGGTTACGTAGGACATTTGTTCGTCTTGCTGGGCAAGCTGCTTTATCTGGGAATGCACCACCCAAGGATGCATCGTCAGCAAAGAGGTTTTTTGCTGAGTATATGGTGAGAGAGGTTACATGATGTAATTAATGCTTCTATTCATGAGTGTTGGGCTGAGAAAAACCCTTTAGGATCTTTTGCAGAGACTAAGTCCCAGCTGTAAAGACTTGAGACTTGGAGTAGTGCAGCGGAAGTTGAGACAGTTGAACCCTTGTACTAGTATGTGAGAACAAGTGATTGATTAAAGAAACAAGCATACAGCAATATATAGAAGATAAGAAAGCAGTTGCAGAGTACAGTTACAGGAACGGTTTATCGAGTCGCATAGCGACTCGATTGCCGCTTCGGTTACCATCCGTGATGCTGTAACGGTCAGTCGCAACCTCCAGTTGCGACCCTTTGAGTCCCAGACCCTTCGTGTTCTTTGTCCGCCCCCTCGTGTAACCTCCGTTGACTCGCGTACCCCTTGCAATCTTCCTCGAGTGTAGTGTTACACTTCAGAAACGCTTAAGTCTTTTGATGTACTTTCAACACTCCCCTTCGTTTCTGGAGTGCTGACTTGTTCAGGTCCGATGACGTTTGTTTGTCCGGTCAGCACCATGCAGTAGTCGAATTTTGCCTTCGCCAATTTCTTCGTCAAATAGTCTGCGGCCATTTCTGTCGTCGGGCAGTAACTGAGTTGAAGTCTCCCCTTCGCGATTTCATCCTTGACGAAGAAGTACCGCAGGGCGATGTGCTTGGTTCGGTTGGCGAAGCCGTCCTTGTTTGCGATTTTGATCGCAGATTGGTTGTCGCAGAAGAGTGAGAAGGCGGGCAGGGTCGCGATCTTCGCTTCCTCGAGTAACTCTCGCAGGTAGAGTCCTTCCTTGGTCGCGGTACAAAGGGCGATGTACTCTGCTTCAGCAGAGGATAGTGCGATTAACTCCTGCTTGCTCGACTGCCAGGAGATAGTTCCGATGGGTTCTAGTCGGTAGATGTAGCCCGTCCTAGATCGTCGATTTTCCCTATCTCCCGCGTGGTCGGCGTCGACGTATCCGAGTAGTTGTACGGACGATGTTGTAGCTTTGCTGTAGGTAAGTCCGATCGTCGGCGTGGAGATGAAGTAGAGTAGTGCCCGGTTGAGCTCCTCGAGATCCTCCTGTTCCGGTTGCTTCAGATGCGTCGCCAGTTGACTTGCACTATAGGACAGGTCGGGTCGGCAGGTTACTGCTGCAAATAGTAGGCAGCCGAGCTTCTGTTGATACTCCTGGATTTGCTTCGCGGGGAGTTTTGCGGAGGCGCTGTTGTTGTTTCCGTAGCGGTAGGGAGTTGAGGCGGTAGCCGGTGTTAGTCCGAATTTCTTCGCGACAGTGCCTGCGTACTTTCCAGCGTGTAGGTAGAACGCCGAGTTGTCTTCGACGATATTTAGCCCCAAGTACTGGGTCACTGAGTCGGACACTGTGAGCGTCAGGTCCCCTTTCAGTTCCCCTTCGAACCGGGTGACGATGTCGGTGGTAGAACCGATGTAGAGCAGGTCGTCGACGTAGACGATGAGCAGAATGTAATCTCTTCCCTTCTGCAGTCGGTACATGCCTTGGTCATGTGGTAGCTGTAGGAAGCCGATTTTTACGAGACGGCTGTGAAGATGCTGCTGCCAGAGCCGCGGGGCTTGCTTGATCCCGTATAGGGATTTTGTCAGTCGGCATATTTTCGTGGGGTCGTCGATGAATCCGTGGGGTTGTTCGACGAAGATCTCAGCGTCCACAGGTGCGTATAGGAACGCATTCGCGACATCGATTTGGCGTAGTGGTAGTGTTTTCGTGGCCGCGACGGCGAGTAGGATGCGTAATGAGGTGTGACGGGAGACTGGAGCGAAGGTTTCTGTGTAGTCGGTTCCGTATCGTTGATCGAAGCCTCGTACGACCCATCGAGCTTTGAATCGTTCGATGGAGCCGTCTGAGTTGGTCTTGATGCGGTACACCCATTTCCCCGAGAGAACGTTCTTCCCGTTGATGCTCGTTGCAGGTACCAGTTTCCATGTTTCTCGGTCTTGCAGAGCTTTTAACTCCTTTTCCATTGCTTCCTTCCATTTTACCTTATGTTCCCCCCCCAGAGCCTGCGACAAGGTTGAAGGCTCACGCGCAGAAGGCGGCGGCGGATGCTGGACGGAGACCCAGAGGCCTAGAATCTGGAGTCCCGTTGGTGTGTGTCGAGGGGAATTGTCATTCCCGGAATAAGCTGCTTCGTCACCGTCTTCGGGGTCAGGTAAGGAATTGGGGCCGATGCGTTCCGAAATATTCGTGTCGACGGGGTGAGGTGTAGCGTAACCTTGGTCGGCGAAGTGGTAAAAGGTGTCGAGGTTGTTGCTATCGAGGGGATTATCTTCATCGAGTGGAACAGGTACGGAACAGAATGGGAGTGGCCCGGCAGCTTCCGAGGCTCCAGGTACGTCTTCTTCTGCTGCGTCAGCTTCGGCAGCACGATCGGCAAAGGAACGAAGTCCCGAGAGGCCGTCGGTGGGGTCTTGTGTGTTGGCAAGGTTGTCCAGGTAATGCTGCAGAGTCAGTCGTTCGTAGAAGATAACGTCTCGTGATGCCACCGTGTTTTTGTCTTGTATGTCGAGAATTTTCCACGCGTGAAAATGTTTCGCGATGCCGAGGTGGAGTCCCCACCGAGCTCGTTGTGTGAAGCGTCCTGCTCGGGCTGTGTGGGGTCTGTACTGTACCATGCAGCCAAAGACTCTGAGTAATTTTGTGCTGCCCCTTTTTCTTGTCCACAGCAGGTGCGGTGATGCGTTGTTGGGAAGTGATGACGAGGACAGCAGGTTGTGCAGGTGAACAGCATGTGTCATCGCGTCTGGCCACAGTGTGGTTGGCAGTCGCATCCCCTGAAGCAGTTTTCGCAGCGTCGTCTGCAAGGTCCGATTCATGCGTTCTGCTACCCCCTGCTGTTGGTGAGCATAGGGCAGGGACACCAGGCGTCTGATTCCCCTTTCCGCCAGATAGGTCCTGAAGCGTTGTGACTGGTATTCCAGTGCACCGTCTGACTGGAAGCTCTTGAGTTTGAGTCCTGATTCTCGTTCGGCGATGGGGAGCCATGTTGTGAAGGCTTCGAAGGCTTGGTCGCGCGTTTTGAGATTGAAGTGCCAGACATATCTGGTTGCGGCGTCGATGAAAGTGATGACGTAGTTAAAGTCGGCTTCTGCGTCGTCTCGAGGCATGTTTAAAATATCGCTGTAGACTTTTTCCATCGGAGCGTAAGTAGGTGCGCTTGGGTTGTGATGGGATGAAAAAGGTTGATGAGGAAGATCTGCTTCGGGGCATGTGAAGCACCGTGCGCGTGGTCGTCGAAGTTCTTGACCGCTCGTCGTCAGAAGGGCGTTGCGTTCTAACACCTCTGCTTGGATTGTTTGAAGTATTGTGCTGTTTGCAGGGTGTCCGAGGCGTTGGTGCCAGATGTCGTCGGGAGCACGGTGACCGGGCGAGCGGTGGTAGATGTCGGCGTTGGAGAAGAACGCGACGACCGAGGCGGGACTTCGACAAGCTTCTCGTGTGGCGGGCATAAGTTGGTCTGCTTCCGTTGGCGGTCCTCGTGTTGATGGTGGTGGTACTCGGCTGGGTCCTGCTGCCGATACTGCAGGTGATGGTTTTGTTGGGACACTTGCGGGTACTTGTCTTTCTTGTCTGATAACTGCTAATGCTCGTGTTCTCTCTGCTGCAGGTATGGTGTTGGAGTGCCAGAAGCCGTCACTGTCGAAGTCGGGATCAAGATCCGGCGGGTGAGTCCAGGCGGCGAACGATACGATACCGTCGCTGTCGGCAGTGCCGCGGTCGGGGACGAAGTCCAACACGAAGACGCCGGACTTCAAGAGGGCACGACCGATGAAGAGGCCGCCCTTCCCGTGGTAAAGCCGGAACTCGTTGGAGTAAGAGTCGCACTCCAGGTGAATCCCTTTGGCCATTAGTTGGCTTACGCTCAGTAGATTGTATCCCAGGTTGTCGACAATGAGCACTTTGTTGAGCTGCAGTATTACGTTTGTTTCCATGGATTGTAGCTGAACCACGCCTTGTCTGTTTGTCTTCAGGTTTTCGTTGTTGGCGACTGTGATGACGACGTCGCGGTTGAGTCGTTTCTCCTGTTGCACGAAGCGTCCCGAGGAGCACATGTGCTGACCGCAGCAACTGTCCAAGAACCAGGTGTTCCGCCCGGTGGGTTCGGCGTTAGCGACTGCAGCGTATGTCGGGTTGACCTGAAGTCCTTGCGAGCGCGGCGGCGGGAATTCCTCTTCGTCTGGTGCGTAAGTGGGTGGTGAAGCGGGTGCGCAGTTGTCGATGTGTACCATGCAGTTGATGATGTTGGGTGTTTGTTGTGCAGATGTTGAAGAGCGCCTTGGAGGACTTGCTTGAGTGGAAGCGACTTGTGGGTCTGCTGCACGGTAAACGCGAGGGCGGTTGCAGTTGACCTTGGAGTGCCCGGAAGTCTGACAGTTGTGGCAGAACGGCGGCACGATGGTGAGTCCTCGGTTGTCGCGTTGATCTTGCTTGCTGCGTCGGTTGTAGTTGTTGTCATTTCTTCTTTGAGTGTAGAAGACTAACTGCTGTTGCTTCCTTGGTTGTCTTTCCTCGAACAGATCCATCTCCTGTTGTTCAGCGTGAAGCTCGGCGCAGAGGTGCATCTCCGAAATTCTTCCGTGGGCTCGAAGAAGTGATCGTGTGGTTCTCCATTCTGGCCCGAGCCCGGCGAGGACAAGTGTCACGAAGCTTTCTTCAGTGATCGTTCCTCCGCACCGAAGCAGGCGGTCGCGGAGGGTCTGGCAGCGACTCATATACTGCATCGCCTTTTCCCCGGTCTTCATCTGTATTGTTGTCAGCTGTTGCATGAGTCTGCTTTGTGTCACGCTGTCGTTTGCTTGGTAAAGGCATTTGAGGTGGTGCCATGCGAGCTCCGCGGAGTTTCTATAACTCCGATACGTTCTGATGCTCTGCTGCTCTTGTGGTGACAGGTTTCTCAGGAGTACCGTGTACGCCAGCAGCGACTGATACGTGAAGATCTCTTGTTCCTTCCCAGTGCCGTTGCTTGGGAATGGCAGGGACCCGTTGAAGTATCCCAGAAGATGCGCGGCCTCCATCAGCAGCTCGAACTCGAAGCTCCAGGTAAAGAAGTCGTGTCCGTTGAACGGTGAGGATGTCTGAAGTTTGATCACGTGTGAGAACTGCGCCTGTAAACTTAAGATTTCATTCGGTGTTTGTTGTGAAGCAGCTGCTGTTGGCTGGGCACGGGGCGGCATGAATTCGAACGTCCCCGGCGAAGAATGATAAGGCGCAAAGGTAGGCGCTTGATTGTGTCGCCCGAAGGATGAGTTGTCGAGGCTCATCGGCGCTAATCCCATATTCCCTCCATTGCTCTGTGTTGAGTGCGCAGGTGTCCTTGTCTGCTGCTGCTGATCGAAGTGTGACATGAAGCTGAAGAATCTCTCCATGAGATTCGGGTCCACACTTGAAGAGGGAGACGGGGTCACCATCTCTGGTACTCTTCCCGTTGTTTCTTGAGCAGTCCCGGTCTCTGTCTGCAGTCCTGAGGTGTGCAGACCAGAGTTGCCGTGTTGAGTTTCTTGGGCGCTGGGTGAGCCCGTAGAGACTTTCTTGCCCTTGTTGTCCATGTCTTGTAATCAATGAAGTCGTTGAATTGAGTTGAGTTGCAGGTTGTTGATAGGACGTAGTTGCTGGGAGTTTGGTCTCTGACCAGCTCTCATACCATGTTGGGCTGAGAAAAACCCTTTAGGATCTTTTGCAGAGACTAAGTCCCAGCTGTAAAGACTTGAGACTTGGAGTAGTGCAGCGGAAGTTGAGACAGTTGAACCCTTGTACTAGTATGTGAGAACAAGTGATTGATTAAAGAAACAAGCATACAGCAATATATAGAAGATAAGAAAGCAGTTGCAGAGTACAGTTACAGGAACGGTTTATCGAGTCGCATAGCGACTCGATTGCCGCTTCGGTTACCATCCGTGATGCTGTAACGGTCAGTCGCAACCTCCAGTTGCGACCCTTTGAGTCCCAGACCCTTCGTGTTCTTTGTCCGCCCCCTCGTGTAACCTCCGTTGACTCGCGTACCCCTTGCAATCTTCCTCGAGTGTAGTGTTACACTTCAGAAACGCTTAAGTCTTTTGATGTACTTTCAACAATGAGCACCTCCACAACGTGGTTCTGCTCGTCCTTTATTACGGTTTGTCTGCAATGGGCGTTGCAATATTCCAATAGAGGAAGGGACTATTGAATGATATTGAGACACATACAGGTGACAATAAATGCAGGAATTTAGATTGCGTGAAATGTCTACACTCCAGCTCCTTGATCAATTTGGTGGCTTCCCACCACCACCCTAGACTTCGTCAGGCGCACCCCTCGGGCAGCCCCTCCAACTTTCCTTGGCCATGTTTCCTTCGCTACGGCATTCCCGCTGGGCTTGTTCAGGGTTCAGCCTCGCTGCCTTTCCCAAAGCTTCCGCCATAGTTTCCGCCAGGGTTCCCGCCCGGCACTTCCAATCGGTGCTGTGCTGCTAAACCTCCCCGCGCCGATTGCGCCCACAGTACAGAGGGCCTTCCCCTTCCCCCCTTCATCTCCCCCCTTCCCTCCCCTCCCTCCCCTCACCTCTCCCTCCCCTGACCTGCTCCCAGCACCTTTGACCTATTCTAGGTATTATTGCTCCCCTCTTCTCTCCTCTACCTCCTTTTCTGCCCTCGAGCCAGAATCCTCCCTGGCCCCATAGGCCTGTGTTGGTGCCGCGCTTTACCCTCCGCACCATAGACGGTATTTCCATTAAGTTGCTAGATTAATCGCAGAGAAAGCAGGGCAGGATGGTGGCCACAGGAACAACCGTGAAGGACGTGTCGCCGCACGCGTTCGTCAAGGCGTATGCGGCTCACTTGAAGCGCACAGGCAAGGTGATAACCGTGACTGCAACGAGGGTGATTTCGGGGAGCTGTGACTATGGCGTGGGGCAGAGGCATCCCCGTAGGACCGTGGACCGTCGGGCGTGAGCTGAACGTTCGTAGCGAGGATGAGCCACGCAGGAAGTCGAAGGGTGCCGGATTAACAGTTTGTAGTAGTGACAGGGTTAATATAGCCACGCCTGATGGTTGAGGTGCGGGAATTTTTCATCAGTGGCGAATATCCGGGAGACGGTGACGATCAGGGAGTGGTTGGCGATAGTAGCCGACAGGTTCCACTTAGGTTTTAATGGCGCGAGGGTCGGAGGCCTAATCGTGAACGGGATTTCCAGATGACTCGAGTCGACTCAAAAGCGAAGCCCAATAGCGACTCACTAGCGGAGCCTAATAGCGACCCAGTAGCGCGATACCCAACAGCAACCCAATAACGAAGCCCTAGTTGTGGATGGGAATGCTAGCTGACGCGCCTTCGTATCTCCAACACGCTTCGCGTTTGCTTACACATGGCCTCGGCTCTGATAGGGATGGCTCATTCTGTGCGTGTGGATCAGGCGGTGTTTAGGCGCTTCAGAAGTCTGTTTTGAAAGGGATAGCTCGTTCTGTGCGTGCGGAGCAGACGGTTTTTAGGCGCCTCAGAAGTCTGTTTTGAAATGGATAGCTCATTCTGTGCGTGCGATCAGTCGGCGAAGCTGCTGCGGCAGGTCGTGAGGCGGATTCAAGGTGCTGCTGCTGTCGACATTGCTAGGGTTTCGCGTTTCTGAGCTCGTCGTGTTGGAATAACGGCGTGTGACCATGCGCGATGCAAAAATCGGGTGTGCTCGTACGCGTTAGAAGAATCGCAGGTGTTTATACGCGTTAGAAACATCGCGTGTGCGTGCGCGTGTTCTTATGCAGTTCATGGGGTGTCGATATCGGTCGGCACCTTTGTCGTTGGTAGCAGAAACCCGTTTTCCTAAGCTGGATGCGCAGAAACCGGGTTTCCGGTGTACGCGACACGTTTCCTGGCGGTAGATGTATAATGCCACCCTCTCTCTCATCCACGGCTTCCCCCCACTCCGCTTTCTCCGCTCTTCAGTTTCCCGAGCACCCTCCCTCTCTCACTCTCTCCCGCACATCCACTCTCCTCCCTCCCATAATTTTCTCCACGTCTCCGATTCCATTTCTTACTTCCCCTCGCTCCCTCCCTTCTCCGCCTCATCTCGCTCATTTCGTCCGCATTTAAGGTCCGGTTTTTCCTGCTCGCATCAGTTTTTTCAAACCCTTTCTTGCTCACCCCCTCCCCCCTCTCTTCGTTCCCCCACTCCCTTCCCCCCCTCTTCGTTCCCCCACTCCCTCCCCTACATCACCCCATCAGGTGGAGGTCCCCACATGGGCTGACATCGTCAAGACAGGAACCTTCAAGGAACTTGCGCCCTATGATCCCGATTGGTACTACATCCGCGCTGGTGCGTATCGCCTCCGAGTAATTCGTTCAGTGAGAACAACAGAAGGCAAACCATGGCTCCATGGTTGCCTTTCACACGCCCTGTCGCTCTCACTCTCATTCGCTCACATTTCCGTGTCTTATGCGGTTCAAGGATCGCTCCCATCAGTTTGTAGGGTGTTTTTGAGAATTCTCAAAAACACCCTCACTCTGATTCGCTCGCATTTCCGTGTCTTATGCGGTCCAAGGATCGCTATCATCAGGTTGTAGCTGCTGGGCCGTTCTTTCCGTAGCATGTGGGTTGCGACTGGTTCTTAGTCGCTGCAGAGGGACCAGCTTGTTAACAGCGTTTAACAACCTTTTTTTATTGATAATTGTAATCCAATCACCTGCGATCAATCGTCCTTGCTTGCATTTTTCTAATGTTCCGTGTTCTTGCCTTCCTTCCCGCCCCTCGTCCCTCGTGCAGCCTCTATGGCTCGCTAGGTGTATCTCTTGCCTGGGCTTGGAGGCAGGCCCGCCGCGTTGCTGATGCTCCGTGTTCTTTCTCCCTGCCTCTTGCCTTTCTTCTCTGCTCGTGCCTTCCTTTCCGCCTCTTGCCTTCCGGCCCCTTATCCCTCCTGCAGCCTCCATGGCTCGCAAGGTGTACCTCAAGCCCGGGGTTGGAGTCGGTGCGTTCAAGAAGATCTACGGTACGTGCATTTCCAGAGTCTGTTTTGCGCCCTATTATGTTTGGCGCCCTATTATGTTTTGCGCCCTATTATGTTTGACGCCCGATTATGCTTTGCGCCCTATTATGTTTTGCGCCGATGCTTCCTCTTCCCCCTCCCCCCGACCTCGCACTCTCTGATTCGCCCTAGTGTGCGGGGCTCGATTCTCAGCTTGTTTCCGTCCCTTACTTTTTCCAACTCCGCTAACCCCTCTCCCCTCCCCCCCCCCCCCCCGCCGGCCCCCTTTCCGCTGCTTCTCCGCTTTCCGCCCTGCAAACCCTTCCGCTTCTCCCGCATCTCCGTTGTCGCAGGCGGGCCTAAGAACAACGGCTCGCGGCCGTCGCACTTCCGCAGGAGCAGCGGGTCCGTGGCCCGGCACGTGCTGCAGCAGCTGGAGTCGATCGGCATCGTGGAGCAGGACGCCAACGGGTGAGTGCCTGTCATGGGCCTCTTGCTGGGGTGAGTAGGATGGGTTGACTTGTGAGTATGCCGGGGTGACCTGTGAGTATGCTGGGGTGACCTGTGAGTATGCTGGGGTGACCTGTGAGTATGCTGGGGTGACCTGTGAGTATGCTGGGTTGACTTTGAATGGGAGCAGCATTCACCTCCGTGGCTCGCCACGTGCTGCAGCAGCTGGACTCGATCGGCATTGTGGAGCAGGACGCCAACGGGTGAGTGGATGTGATGTGCCTCGAGCTGGGTCTGCTGGGTTGACTCTGAGTGGGAGCAGCAGTCACCTCCGTGGCGCGGCACGTGCTGCAGCAGCTGGAGCAGGACGCCAACGGAGGAAGTGACTGCTGTTCCCACTCCCATCGTGGAGCAGGGTCTCAGCGGGTGAGTGGCTGTGTTTGAAGGGGTGAGAACGCAGGGCATGAACGGGTGAGAGCAGAATGCCAGCGAGTGAGTGGCTGTGTGTGTGCAGAGAGGGTGAGAGCAGGAGGCTGACGGGTGAGGGGTTCCAGATAGACAGAAGGATGCAGAGGATGTTGAAGGATGAGCGCAGGATGCAGAGGGATGAGAGTAGGATACAGAGGGGTGAGAATAGTTTTGCCACTGTCTTTTGTGCAGGATTTGTCAGGTGAGTGCAGGAGCATCACTCCATGGGAAGGTTCTCTGTTTGGCCCTGATTGATCAGGCTTTTCATCTGTCCACCTCCACCCCTCGGAAACTGGCCATGGCTATTAAATTTATTTCACCTTCTTCCTATATTGTCTGCAGTGGGCGTCGCATCACCTCGGATGGGCAGCGTGATCTGGATCGCATTGCTGGCCGGGCTGCTGCCGCTGCTGTTGAGGGTGCGGAGGAGGAAGAGTAAACTGCTCGCTCTGCATCGTGCACAAGCCTGTTGTGTAACAAAATTTAGAGCGCTTTTGAAATGTCAGCTTCTTGTTCCATGTGAGATGCGCAATGTCAGCTTCTTGTGCATTGAAATATGATGTGGAATCAACAGTACATTTGAAGCTGCAATGCATCATCCATGGCTCAGTAGAAGTTCATCTACATCCTATCTAGAACCATGATAAATGTATGTCTAGCACGAGTATAACATGCGTCCGAAATCAGTTTCCCGAAATGGTTACGTGTTGCTGAGGATGCTGAGCCTAAACCGGGTACAGCCCGAATTGTTCCACCTTCGCTGGCTCTGGTGGGATGCAACATCAGCAGCTAACAGAGACAACAGCACCAGAGAAGCAATACAGCAGACACACACCCAGACCAGACTCGCCAGAGCAGTAAGGTTGCCTAGTTGAGCCTAGATTACTCCAGGATACTAGGCCGGATTTGATCCGAAGCTCCCATTCGGAACAGGCGCATATTGCGAAGGCTTTTATTGATCTGCTTTTTATAAGCTTCTGACAAGATGCAGGGCGCCGAAGTTTCGAAGCAGGTGCAGCAGATGGTGGAGTTTATTCGCCAAGAGGCCGAGGAGAAGGCTAACGAAATCGGTGTTGCTGCGGAAGAGGTATAGCTCGAGAGTACGGGTAGTTACTACCTCTCTAATCGTCGAGCCACGCTCCAGATCCCCATCCGGGGTTTTTTTCTTTGGCAACGCACTGATCGCGCTGGATCCCTAATGCGTTCTATTCTTCCGTTATTTTATTCAGGAGTTCAACATTGAGAAGCTGCAGCTCGTAGAGGCGGAAAAGAGAAAGATCCGTCAAGAATACGAGCGCAAGGAGAAGCAGGTCGAGATCGCGAAGAAAATGTAAGCTCGGCAAAGATCCATTTTCCATCCAGTTTCGATTAGGTTCAAGCTCCGCATTTTAGCCATTTATTCATTCCGATGAGGCTAATGACGGCTTACTTGTTTTGCTGAAACAGCGATTATTCCAAGCAGTTGAATGCGTCGCGCTTGAAAGTGCTGCAAGCTCAGGACTCCATTGTGAAAGAGATGAAGGCTGCAGCGGAGAAGGAGCTCCTGAAGGTCTCTAGCGACACTAAGAAATACACTGCACTGCTGAAGGACGTGATTGCTCAGGTGAGACATTCGTCTGATCTGATGCTTCCCTCTTATGAAACCCCGCTCAATGTCTGTTCTTGCATGGGCATTCATTCCCTGCTAAAAATAGTTTTCCAGCTTAACCATTCTTGTCGAAATCAATGCGTGTCCCTTCCCTTAACCTTATCCTTCTCGTCTGTTTCAGGGCCTTGTACGCCTGAACGAGTCTGCCGTGCAGCTGAGATGCCGTGAGGCTGATGCTGCTGCTGTGAAAGCTGCTCTGCCTGGCGCCATCCAGGAGTATGTAACAGTTACCAAGCAACCAGCGCCGACCGTGGATGTGGATGGTGCCAAGTTTCTGCCTGCTGCACCCCATTGGTATGCTGTATATCAATTTTTTTCTTCATTGATGCGTCTGGAAATATTATTTTCAACTCGTGCTTACGAGCCTTCCGTACAGTGATGGGTAGCTCAGAGTGTGTTCCTACGAGCCTCATATCAGGCTCGCCCTTATCAGACTCACAACATTCGCCTGAGTGAAGGGAATTCCAAGCGTTTAACAGTTCTACACCGCATTGAACCACTTCGCGTCAAGCTCGCACTGCACAGTGACGCGCGAGTCTGATCAGAGGCAGTCTGATAAGAGGGTCGTAGGAACACGCTCTTACAGGATGAACTCATGCCGCGGTTTTTTTTGCTGTTGTTGAAGATTAGAGCCTGAACCGATCTGTGGTCCCTTTTGGGCATTTCGTGAGCAGTGCTGGAGGTGTTGTGATGGCTTCCAAGGATGGCCGGGTGGTCTGCTCCAACACACTTGATGCTCGCCTTGAGATTGCCTTCAAGCAAAATCTCCCTGCTGTGAGTCTTTCCTCCTGAAACAGGACAAGTTGATGTAAATTTCAGCAGTTTTATGGGCCGTCGTTTTCTGGTGTTGGCATTGGTATCAGTGCAACTGACGGGTTTCTGTGCGACCAATGTATCCTTTCCCATTTCCCCCTGTCGTGAAACTCAGATTCGTGCCTCTATGTTCAAGACAAGTGTTGTTTCCTAAGCTGTGCTCCACCATGCAATCAAGAAGGCCGTGAGCAGCAGCACTACTGTTTTCGGTTTCATGGCTCCTATGCTGGGAGGCTACCTCAGTTCGACCTATGTATGTAGAAAGATAGCCAAACCTTGCGTTTGATTGGCCTTCAGACAGAGGTTTACCCCAACCAAATACAATCACGTAATTTTCAGGCCAGAGGATGTTCCCCGGTCATAATTGTTGTGGCATGAAGACTCACTGGGGTGCATGTAGTCCCACTACTGGTACAAGGTTGCTCATTAAATGTTGAAAATATTGTAGGTACTGCACAAACTTCCCTATTCCCAATTTGACTGCTCAAAAGTTCACAGTGCACCGTCGCTCCTTGCCTCCAGCAGACGTGGCATCCACCCACTGCTTCATCCCATCCTGAGTCCAATCCCCGGCCCCGTCTGTTTCTTCATGTATTCATCCGACAGTCGAGATGCGTTCATCAAATCCTGCTCATGCACCAGCCGCTCTCCAGCCTTCACCAACTCCTCTAGGGTTTGCTGGAGGTGGAGGGGAGGGGGAGGGGGGGGGGGGAGATGAGAGGGAGGGAGTGAGGACAAGGAGGGGAGCAATGACTGAGGGACCGCTCTCTTGCCCTCACCAGCTCTGTACGGGTTTGCTGGAGGAGAAAAGAGGAGAGGATCAGGAGGATGGGACGGAAGGTAGGGGAAGAGGGGAGAAAGGGAAAGACGATAACAGAGCACTCCTGCAACTCAAGTTCCATGCAAGGAGTACAGGCAACTTGCATAGAAAGTAGTAGGAGCACAAGTGACATACTGCAGGTGGGTCGACCGTGGGCCTGGTGTCCTTGCCATCGCTGCCATCGTCCCATCTCCTGGGCTTGATCAGGAGCTTCCCCACCTTGGATGGGCCGCCGTTCGCCTCCACCCACTAGGAGTGAGGATGGGTGAAAAGGGGGGGGGGAGACGAGTGTCAACACCATAGGGGGGTCGGGGCAATCTCATTATCATGTCAGATTAGCTTCATGACACATACCATCACAACACCATAGCATCACATGCACATGCCTGAACTCAGCCTCCATATGCGCACATGCACATGCCTCCATCACATCTGCAGTACTTAAACCTCCACATCTGCACCGCACACCTCCACTCAACACCTCCACACCTACACACCACCACACCTCCACACCTCCACACCTCCACACCACCATACCTCCACACCTACACACTTACACACCTCCACACCAACACACCTCCACACCTACACACCTCCACACCTCCACACCTCCACACCTCCACACCTCCACACCTACACACCTCCACACCTCCACACCTACACACCTCCACACCTCCACACCTCCACAACTCCACACCTCCACACCTCCACAACTCCACACCTCTACACACCTCTACACCTCCACACCTCCACACCTCCACACCTCCACACCTACACACCTCCACACCTCCACACCTACACACCTCCACACCTCCACACCTCCACAACTCCACACCTCCACACCTCCACAACTCCACACCTCTACACCTCCACACATCCACACCTCCACACCTCCACAGTCCCTTCCCCACATGTCCACATGTCCACATTCCCACATGCATACCTCCAGCACTTTATCATCGTATGTGCGCGCACGAAGGGCGCCGTAGAAGTCCAATGCTGGTGATGGAGCGAGGAATGGATGATACAGCCAAGGGGTCAGAGGGGAACGAAGGGAGACATGCTTTAAGGCGCCTCAAGAATGAAGTCCAACGCTGGTGATGGAGTGAGGAATGGATGATACAGCCAAGAAGTCAGAGGGGAACGAAGGGAGACATGCTTTAAGGCGCCTCAAGAATGAAGGTCTGATTTGGGGCCTGTCCCAGTCAGCCGAAACTAGTTTGCGTTTTAATCTTCTAGTGGAGTTGAGTTCGGAACTTCAATTTCTCGCATTTTAAACAGGGATATCTTTACCTACTGTTACTCTTTTGCTAAAGTTTTCCTCTTCGCTGCAGCCCACCCTAACGCTAAATGGCTACAAGTTCATTGGGTTTCCTATTTTCTTTTGGTGACGCCGGCGAAGAAGATACGAGTTTCGCACTGATTCCACGCGGAGCGTACCACTCCTCCAAGACCTACGCAGGATACAAACGTTCCCCCACCGGCAAGAAGGTTGGAAATACTGCATCGATTCGCGAGGAAGACGAGCAAGACAAGCAATCTGAAGATTCTCCCGACATGGCCGACACGGACGTCCAGAAAGACGGCAAGCCTATGGATCAGACTCCTGTAAACCCGACTACCGATCGCGTCTGAATTTACGGCAGGTGCAGTCACGCGTTTGGAACCGGGGGGTACACAACCTGAGCTCCAAGGTTTTATCTCACGACGAAACCAAGGCGCTCGGGATGGGACTCAAATTCGTACCTACGCCGCCGTGGAACTTTTTCATCGAAGCAGATTTGGATCAACTGCATCGCAGATCTCCCTTCAAGGATCAAGGGTCTTCAACTTCATCACGTTTCCGGGTGAAGAATCCAAGCTGGGGACCCGAGCAGGACGCGGTCCCGGAGCATGTCTTCAAGGAGGCGCGAGCCGACCTATCTTTCCTCCTGAAAGCGTGTAAGCCGTCTCGTGGACTCAACCTTTTGCGAGGAGTCCGTGCGGCTTTACGCTCCTCATCGCGCGAGTGCAACATCGTCATCAAACCTGCTGATAAAAACGTCGGAGTAACTGTGATGGATCGCGCGCACTACGTCGCTCTCTGCATGGAGCATCTCGACGACGCGACAGTGTACCAGCCGGTTCGTCACGACCCAACTCCTTCTGTTCTACAGCAGCTGACGGAGCTGAAGGCGACGTGGGGACCTGCTTTTCCTGACAGTCTTTGGAAGTATTTTTTCGATCGTCCGCCAGGAGGATGGCAACCAGCGGCATTCTATATCCTGCCGAAGCTTCACAAGAAAGTACCCGTGGGACGACCGATCGCCGCCTCACACTCATGGGTCACGACTAATGTGAGCCGATGGTTGGATTCTCAACTACGACCGCTAGTGCTCAAACAACCGACCTACCTGCGCGACTCCCTCTCTCTGCTAGAGAAGCTGGAAGCTACGGTTTTTCCACCAACTGTGCTCCTGGCCACTTACGATGTCACCTCGCTCTACCCAAGCATCTCCATCGATCGAGGGCTCGAAGCAGTCACCAACTTTCTCCTGAGGGCACCAACACAGCTCGCTCGCTCGCTCACAGCTGGCTTTCTTAGGATGGGTCATGAGGAATTCTTTTGTGGAATTTGACGGCAGGATTTTTCACCAAGTGCAAGGCACTGCAATGGGAACTCCAGTTGCAGTCTGCTTTGCGGTCCTCTTTATGAGCCGTCTCGACGAGCTGCTTAAGGAGAGGTGGACCGGGATATCACCAAGTTACCACGTCCGTTACATCGACGACGGCCTTATCATCTGACCAGGCTCGCGGGCTGATCTGGAGGAGTACCTTCGAACCTTCAATGGCTTGGATCCTTCCATCAGGATCACGTGGCATATCTCGGAGCACTCCGTTGATTTTCTGGATGTTGTCCTCCACAAGGGGCAGCGTTTTAAGGAGTGCGATCGTCTGGACCTCGGCACTTTTCAGAAGCCGATGAGCAGATACCTCTACCTTCCCTTCTCCTCCTTCCACCCTCGGCACTGCAAGGAGGGTTTCATACGCGCCGAACTATAGCGTTACTTACAACGTTCGACCTCCATGCGCACCTTTCTTGCAACGAAGTAGGCTTTCTTCCCGCGGCTTCACGACCGGGGTTACCCCCCTGCTTTCCTTCAACCGATCCTCAAGAGCGTCCTTTTCGCGCAATGCGCAACACTACTCGCCAACACTCTCGCAAACCAGCAACTTCGACGACATTCTCTCCCCTCATCACTTGGACCCCTAATTCTGAAAACGACCTACACACCAGTGTCGGCTCGTCTCAAACTAGGGGTCATTTTGAGTCGACTAAAAAATCGACTCATTACACACGGATTATACACTCAGAGAATTTATGTCGCATGGAAGGCTGGGCGTAACTTGCAAAAGTTACTTGTTTGCGCGAGACTCCTTGAGCACCAGCTGGCGAGATGTGGGTTACCCACGACACGTCCCGAGGAATAAAGACCTGGCACCTTGGAACTTTCCAGGGTGTATTGGATTGGCTGACCAGATTTCAGTCGCGGTTGTTCCAACCTTGAAGTTGTTGTTCTCGTAGCGCAATTTTTTGTTTAAAAGCTCGCTTGCAAACTCACTTTTATAATTCCACCAGCAATGATGAAGGTCTGATTTGGGGCCTGTCCTAGTCAACCGAAACTAGTTTGCGTTTTAATCTTCTAGTGGAGTTGAGTTCGGAACTTCAATTTCTCGCATTTCAAACAGGGGTATCTTTACCTACTGCCACTCTTTTGCTAAAGTTTTCCTCTTCGCTGCAGCCCACCCTAATGCTTAATGGCTAAAAGCCCGAGTCTAGAATGGTTTGCAATCACGCGGTTTTGAGGCGCCTCAAAACTAGTTCAGGAATCCTGAACTTGTTTTCGTCCAATAGAGGGTAACGTAGTAAATGCCGTTTGAACGTCGCAACTCTCAGGGAACAAGGGGCAGCTTGCGAATGCCGCTGAAAAGGACAAACCCGCAATTACTGTTCATCTCAGTATTCTTGATTTTTTGCCCGCTGTTTGTTCCCCCCTTTCCCCCCCCCCACACACACTGTTCATGCACTGTTGAACTCAGTTCTAGCCAATGAAATCCCGTGCTCCGATCACGGTTCTGCTATTTCGCAATTCTGTATTCGTCGGGGGAACTTTGCTGAAATTACTTTCGCCCAGTATTTTGGCACTGTTTTCATGCCCAGTATTCATGGTTTTTTACCATTCTAAACTCGGGCTTTTTAAGGCGCCTCAAGAATGAAGTCCAACGCTGGTGATGGAGCGAGGAATGGATGTTACAGCCAAGGGGTCAGAGGGGAAGGGGAAGGGAAGGGGTTTGCCTTCAATTCACCCCCCCCTCGTGGGGATTAGGAGGGGTTAGAGAGGAAAGGAAGGGAGATGGGGAGGGGAGGGAGTAAGGGTGGGGGGTTTGGGAAGTGGAGTGGGGGATGCATGTCTGCTGCAAACTGTTTAGCAGGTGAAGATGACTGGGAAGGGGGTATGAGAAGGGGTTCCGAGACGACAAGGATGCATGAGGGATAACAGAGGTGGTAGGCATGCAGAGAGAGGTCAAGAGGAATCACGAGTCACAACCATGCACAGGTCAAGAGGAATCACGAGTCACGACCATGCAGAGGTCAAGAGGAATCACGAGTCACGACCATGCAGAGGTCAAGAGGAATCACGACCATACGTTGGTTGGGGATGGTGTCCACGAAGTTTTCAATGTCTTGGAAAGATAATGTAAAAACCGCGTGGAATGAGCCTGCTTTTGAGTCGACTCAAAAGTGGTGTTCCCCTGGACTTACGTTGGTTGGGAAACGTGTCCACGAGACTCTCAATGTCTTGGAAAGATAGGCCGTCCTTGATGTACATTCGGTACACTATGTTCACTATATCCTCCCTTGTGGGCTGCCTGTAACGGATCCAAAGAGGGGAGGGATGGGAGAAAGGGGGAGCGAAGAGGGAAAGCGAGGGGGGGAGGGGAGCAAGGAGAAGGTAGTTACAGGAGTGCAGAGAAAGCTAAGGTGGAGAGAGGTGGTAGAGTTTTAGATACCTGGGAGTCGGGCTGTGCTGGTGTTGCATGAACTAATTTCTGGTAGAGCTCATGCCTCAGTTCAGCCAAGCTGACCAGTGAAACTTCTCCAGTGAAACTTCTCCAGTGAAACTTCTCCGGTGAAACTTCTCCGGTGAAACTTCTCCAGGCGGCCATCGTGAATCAACGGAGGTGTGCATGGAGCCCAGAGACTAGAGGCATCGTTTGCTGTTGCCAGACAGACACGACACGATGATGGGCACGCGGTTCAGCAGGTCGCCCTCGTGCCAGTCCTGCCCCACTCACACGCATCGGATCCATATGTGGCGAGAGACCATACTTAGCGCAGCCACACCCCACCCGTCCAAAACCAGCTCACCAGTAGAACTTCTCCATGTGCCCGTCGCGGATAAGGGGCGCCCAGAGCGTGGAGAAGTAGTTGCCTGTGACGATGATGGGGACTCAGAGTGGTCTTGCACTGTACCGTACCGTACCATACCGTAGGACATAGTAGTTGCCTGTGATGATGATGGGGACTCAGAGTGGTCTTGCACTGTACCGTACCGTACCATACCGTACCATACCGTAGGACATAGTAGTTGCCTGTGACGATGATGGGCACCCGGTTCAAAAGGTCGCCCTCCCGCCAGTCCTGCCCCACGCTCACTCCCGTTGGATCCATATGTGGCGAGAGACCATACCTAGCGCAGCCACACCCCACCCGTCCAAAACCAGCTCACCAGTAGAACTTCTCCATGTGCCCGTCGCGGATAAGGGGCGCCCAGAGCGTGGAGAAGTAGTTGCCTGTGACGATGATGGGGACTCAGAGTGGTCTTGCACTGTACCGTACCGTACCATACCGTAGGACATAGTAGTTGCCTGTGATGATGATGGGGACTCAGAGTGGTCTTGCACTGTACCGTACCGTACCATACCGTAGGACATAGTAGTTGCCTGTGACGATGATGGGCACCCGGTTCAAAAGGTCGCCCTCCCGCCAGTCCTGCCCCACGCTCACTCCCGTTGGATCCATATGTGGCGAGAGACCATACCTAGCGCAGCCACACCTCACCTGTCCAAAACCAGCTCACCAGTAGAACTTCTCCATGCGCCCGTCGCGGATAAGAGGTGCCCAGAGCGTGCTGAAGTCGTTGCCCGTGACGATGATGGGAACCCGGTTGAGCAGGTCGCCCTCGCGCCAGTCCTGCCCTACGCTCACGCGAGTGGGGTCATCACACAGGTTCATCAGCGTGCCCACCACCATCTGGTTGTTCACCGTGGTCTGGGTGTGGGCTGTGGGGTGAGGGGGGGGGAGAGAGGGGGGAGCAGAGAAACATTGGAGCGGCAGGGAAGACAGGATGTGCGGAGTGGGGGGTCGTCACACACGGTCATCAGCGTGCCCACCACCATCTGGTTGTTCACCGTGGTCTGGGTGTGGGCTGGTGTGCGGGGAAAGGGGGAAGGGGGGATGAGAGAAGGGCGGGGGGGAGATGGGATGTGCGGAGTGGGGGTTGTCACACAGGTTTATTCGCGTGCCTACGGTCCACCACCATCTGGTTGTTCACTGTCGTCTAGGTGTGGTCTGGTGGGAAGAGACGGAGGGGAGAGGGGTGCGGGGGAGAGGGGGGGAGTGATGGGATATCGGGGGAGGGAGGGGGGGTCGTCACACAGGTCCAGGAGCGTGCCCACCACCCTATGATTGTTCACTGTCGTCTGGGTGTGGGCTGGTGAGCGGATAGAGAGGGGTGGGGTAGGTGGGGGGGCAGGCGGGATGTCGGGAGTGGGGGTTTTGTCACCAGGGTCATCAGTGTGCCCACCACCACCTGGCTGTTCACCGTGGTCTGGTGTGGGCTGTGGGGTGAGGGGGGGTGAGTGAGGATATGGGATGCTGGGAAAGGGATCGTCACACAGGTTCATAAGCCTGCCCTTGAGGCGCCTTTAAGCCTCAAAAGCACCATCTCATAGCTCTGGGTGAGTGGCTGTAGGGAGGGGAGGGACGAGGAAGGAAGGAGCAGAAGGGGCTGTCAGACAGTAGTTTTGAGTCGACTCAAAGGAAGGAGCAGAAGGGGCTGTCAGACAGTAGTTTTGAGTCGACTCAAAGGAAGGAGCAGAAGGGGCTGTCAGACAGTAGTTTTGAGTCGACTCAAAGGAAGGAGCAGAAGGGGCTGTCAGACAGTAGTTTTGAGTCGACTCAAAGGAAGGAGCAGAAGGGGCTGTCAGACAGTAGTTTTGAGTCGACTCAAAGGAAGGAGCAGAAGGGGCTGTCAGACAGTAGTTTTGAGTCGACTCAAAGGAAGGAGCAGAAGGGGCTGTCAGACAGTAGTTTTGAGTCGACTCAAAGGAAGGAGCAGAAGGGGCTGTCAGACAGTAGTTTTGAGTCGACTCAAAGGAAGGAGCAGAAGGGGCTGTCAGACAGTAGTTTTGAGTCGACTCAAAGGAAGGAGCAGAAGGGGCTGTCAGACAGTAGTTTTGAGTCGACTCAAAGGAAGGAGCAGAAGGGGTTGTCAGACAATGGACATTACTATTCCAGGTCGCAAAGCGCCCACTGTCGCTCTCACTCGCAACGCATTGTCTCACTCACTCGCAACGCATTTTTGCACTCACTCGCAATGCATCGTCTCACTTACTCGCAGCGCATTGTCGCACTCACTCGCAACGCATTGTCTGACTCACTCGCAAAGCATTGTCTCACTCACTCGCAACGCATTGTCACACTCAGTCGCAACGCATTGTCGCACTCACTCGCAACGCATTGTCTCACTTACTCGCAACGCATTGTCTCACTTACTCGCAACGCATTGTCTCACTTACTCGCAACGCATTGTCTCACTCACTCGCAACGCATTGTCTCACTCACTCACAACGCATTGTCTCACTTACTCGCAACGCATTGTCTCACTTACTCGCAACGCATTGTCTCACTCACTCGCAACGCATTGTCTCACTCACTCACAACGCATTGTCTCACTTACTCGCAACGCATTGTCTCACTTACTCGCAACGCATTGTCTCACTCACTCGCAACGCATTGTCTCACTCACTCACAACGCATTGTCTCACTCACTCGCAACGCATTGTCTCACTCACTCGCAACGCATTGTCTCACTCACTCGCAACGCATTGTCTCACTCACTCGCAACGCATTGTCTCACTCACTCGCAACGCATTGTCTCACTCACTCGCAACGCATTGTCTCACTCACTCGCAACGCATTGTCTCACTCACTCGCAACGAATTGTCGCACTCACTCGCAACGCATTGTCTCACTCACTCGCAACACATTGTCTCACTCACTCGCAACGCATTGTCTCACTCACTCGCAACGCATTGTCTCACTCACTCGCAACACATTGTCGCACTCACTCGCAACGCATTGTCCCACACGTAATCATGTATGCCCAACGGTTCACACGCAAAAGCACTTTGGTTTCATCGTGCAGAGAGCAGGATGCATGTGCAAGTGCACAGGTACATGCAGCACAAAGGGCCGCGAGTGAGCAAGCGACTCACCGAATCGGCCAATCCCAGCATCAAGGTCGTTGATCATGAGGCAGCTCATCTTGCCCTGCACGTGCAAACACACACACACACAGCACACACAGCACACACACACACACACACACACACACACACACACACACACACAGCACACACACAGCACACACACAGCACACACACAGCACACACAAACACACACACACACAAGCAACACACACACACACACACACAAAAGCAACGCACACACACACACACACACAAGCAACACTCACACACACACAAGCAACACACACACACAAGCAACGCACACACACAAAAGCAACGCACACACACACACACACACAAGCAACATACACACACACACAAGCAACACACACACACACACAAACAACATACACACACACAACAGACATGCGGGTGGTATGGGACTAAAAAGAGAGGTACAAGTGGAGCAGCATACATCTTCAGAACACTTGAACATGAGGCAGCTCATTTTGCCCTGCACGTGCAAATAACTTCAAAGATTTTAGAGAAATAAAATTATATATATGTAAATATATATATAAGCAAGCGTTGGTGCAGGGCACCAAAACACCCTTAATCCCCAAAGCATCATCCAACTATGAGCCCACCCTGTTGTTGATAACCAGGTGTGCATCGCGGTACCGGCTGCGAATGAGCCTCCCAGGCTCCCCAGCCCACTCGCTCTCCATCTCTCCAGCTGACAGAATGATCGGCTCCAGCCCCAGCGCCTTGAAAATCAGCTCCACCTGGAAAGTTTTTCCCTGTCCCTTGCCGCCCCATATGCCTGCAAAAGATCATGGGCAGAGAACCACAAGAGCCAGCATGTGTTGAGGTGCCTTGAAGCCACTCACTCGCTCTACGTCTCTCCCGCAGAGCAGACAGAATTATCAGAATCAGCCCCAGCGCTTGGAATATCAGCTTCACTTGAAAAGTCCCTAAGTCGCACTAAACGCTCAGAATCCGCAGCGTATAGCGTATATACACTATACGCTAAACGAGCGTATAAACACTACACGCTCGGATGAAATTTCGAGGGCAGCCCGTCGAAAAAAAACACAAAAATTTCGCTCGCCACTTCACGACGTGGCGAAGACAGCCACACTATCGCGAAATATTGAGACCCCAATTTTTCGCCCTTATCCAACTTCCAACCAATCTGCCCCCCCCAACCGCCCTGCACCCCACGGCATCTAGCAAATCCAGCCAAACGTCAATTGTGCTCCGTCTACCTCTACCACCGAACACGCTAAACCTAAAACAGATCGCGTAACTTACCAGCCGCATTAGGCGGCAGATTAAGCTAGAGTCTTAGCTTAGGGGGCGCCACGTCGCCTCGTTTTTCCGCAACATGGATGAAACCTTGACATGGAGGTTATTTATGCCTCAAAGGCTTAACTATGTTCTCTGGTTCATGTTGCTATGAAAAACTATATGGCCCACACCACATTCCCCCTTCCCCCCCCCCCCTTAGACACAGCTTTTTTCCCTGCCTGGGAGATTTTTCCGCCTGCCCGGACAAGCGTATACCTAGTGTATACGTGGCCCCAAAAAAGCGTAAAGCGTGTATACGCTAGCGTATCAAACGCCATATGCGATTAGTGCAACTTAAAAACGTCCTGCCCTGCCCCTTGCTGCCCCGAGCGGCTGGGACGGGAGAGAAGAAGGGGAGGCTGGTGGGAGGAGCACACGCCAACCACTTTTGAAGAATGGAGGTTGAGTGGTAGGGTCGCCCGTGTGAGGTTTTTTTTTTTTTGGGGGGGGGGGGGCTTTAAGGAGATCCCAGGAGGAAACCAGGCCCCCTTTCCCACGCCGATCCACCTGCGAGCCCCTGGGGGAGACCCGCCCGTGTGAGGTGCAGTGCACAGGGCAGGAGCAGGAAACATCAAATGAGGCGCCTCAGTATTAGACTCCTCAAATTCAAAGTCTGCTTTTGCTTTAGAGGCGCCTCAAAAGCACTCTCAGTATTAGACTCCTCATATTCAAAGTCTGCTTTTGCTTTAGAGGCACCTCAAAAGCACTCTCAGTATTAGACTCCTCAAATTCAAAGTCTGCTTTTGCTTTAGAGGCGCCTCAAAAGCACTCTCAGTATTAGACTCCTCATATTCAAAGTCTGCTTTTGCTTTAGAGGCGCCTCAAAAGCACGGGGCAGGAGCAGGAAACATCAATTGATTCGTCGCCTCAGAAAGAGATTCCTCAAAAGCAGAGTTTGCTTTTGAGGCGCCTAAAAAATAGGCTGGCTGGAAGAGAGTGGCAAGGCAAGGTCTTCCTTTTGAGGTGCACTGCACTGCACGGGGCGCAGGCAGTGGCTGCTGCACTGCGCTGCACTGCACGGGGCGCAGGCAGGAAACAGAAGCTGCTCATGCAACTAACAATGGAAGATATGCAACAATTTTCTCTCTTTTTTTCTCTCTTTTTTTCTCTCTTTCTTTTTTCTTTTCTTTTTCCCTACACACTGGGACGTCGTACCGAGAATGAGCGGGATTCTGCAGTCCAGCTGTGAGGCAAGAAAGTTCTTTGCAATGAAGGTGACTGTAAAGAGAGGGGGGGGGGCAGGAGAAGGCACATAACAGAAAGAGACTGTTTTTAGTGCCAGAAAAGAAAAGTCCTTTGCGATGAATGTATATAAGCCGTTGTGACTCTAATTCTGTGGAAATTCTCAGAACCGAACAACAGGACGTGACTCACCAACTTTGTCCTTTTGTGGCGAAAGGATAGATGAGAGCACATGGATGGAGGGATGGGAACCGAAGGGAACATAAAAAGAGGAACTAAGGTGTAAATAAAAAAGTATACATCTTCGTGCAATGTAAAGAATATGTCTGAAGGGAGCATGCAACTGGAAAAATGCAGCTGAGAGTAACCCTATTCAAACGTCCGCAGCAGCAGGGAAGCCATTACGCATGGCAACAGCAGGGAAGCCATTTCGCATGGCAACAGCAGGGAAGCCATTTCGCATGGCAACAGCAGGGAAGCCATTACGCATGGCAGCAGCAGGGAAGCCATTATGCATATAATGACAGCAGTGGCAGCAGCACTACCATATCAGAACACGGAATTACAAGAGTACCGTTCCAGGAAGTGAGACAGCACGGAAGGAAGCAGCAGCAATGGAGTACCAGGAATGGGGGGGCGATCTAGTAGAATCGGTTATTGAGAATTCTTAAAGTTGAATGGAGAGAGCACGGAAGCAGCAGCAATGGCGCACGGAAGGAAGCAGCAGCATTGGAATGGAGTACCAGGAATGCGGGGGCGATGTAGTAGTCCCCTTGTAAGTGCTCAAACGACCGAGTCACCTTCTGCCGGTACTTGAACACTATGTCCGCTGCAGGGGTGACGAAGAAAGGGAGGAGTGGGTTGGAGTACGGGGGGGTGAGTGGGGCTCTTGAGAGGGTCAGAATGGAAAAGCCAGGGGTATAGGAGCAGTGTAGCATGTGCTCAAACGACCGAGTCACATTCTGCCGGTACTTGAACACTATGTCCGCTGGGGAGGGGTGGGGGGCCATGCAGAAGAGGCGGAGAAAGGAGGGGGGCGAGGAGTCGAGGGGGGGGGTGTGAGGGGTGGTGGGGTGGTAGGGTGGAGAGAAGGGTGGGGGTGGGGGGATTCTATTCATGGGGGCCTGGGCGGGGTAGTGTATGAGGAGGGGGGAGGGGTGGTGTGGTGCTTGTTAAAAAAATCATGAGCAACTGGGAAAGAGTGCTGAAGAACCTGCCAGGACTTGCCCACGGGAAAGGACTAGCTGCCCTCACCCCTTACATAACGCGCCCCCTCCCCTCCCCCTCCCTCCCCCTCCCCTCCCCCTCCCCCCTCACCGTCTTTCCCCAGGAAGTCCCCCACAGTAATCCGCAGGTTGTCGGCCTCCGACCCCAGCCGGTACAGGGAGTCCTTCCCCTCATAATGCTCCCCCTACCTGCCCACACCGTCTTCCCTCCCCTTCCATCCCCCCCTTGCCTCCCTCTCACCGTCTTCCCTCCCCCTCCATCCCCCCCTTGCCTCCCTCTCACCGTCTTCCCTCCCCCTCCATCCCCCCCTTGCCTCCCTCTCACCGTCTTCCCTCCCCCTCCATCCCCCCCTTGCCTCCCTCTCACCGTCTCCCCTCCCCTTCCATCCCCCCCTTGCCTCCCTCTCACCGTCTTCCCTCCCCCTCCATCCCCCCCTTGCCTCCCTCTCACCGTCTTCCCTCCCCCTCCATCCCCCCCTTGCCTCCCTCTCACCGTCTTCCCTCCCCCTCCATCCCCCCCTTGCCTCCCTCTCACCGTCTTCCCTCCCCCTCCATCCCCCCCTTGCCTCCCTCTCACCGTCTTCCCTCCCCCTCCATCCCCCCCTTGCCTCCCTCTCACCGTCTTCCCTCCCCCTCCATCCCCCCTTGCCTCCCTCTCACCGTCTTCCCTCCCCCTCCATCCCCCCCTTGCCTCCCTCTCACCGTCTTCCCTCCCCTTCCATCCCCCCCTTGCCTCCCTCTCACCGTCTTCCCTCCCCCTCCATCCCCCCCTTGCCTCCCTCTCACCGTCTTCCCTCCCCCTCCATCCCCCCCTTGCCTCCCTCTCACCGTCTTCCCTCCCCCTCCATCCCCCCCTTGCCTCCCTCTCACCGTCTTTCCCCAGGAAGTCTCCCACGAACACGCTGTCAATGTTCCCAGCCTTCGCCCCGACGGTGATTCGCAGGTTGTCGGCCTCCGACCCCAGCCGGTACAGATAGTCCTTCCCCTCCAAGTCCTTCGCCTCCCATGACGACGCATACCCGCCGCCGCCGCTTGTGCCGCTGCTAGCGCTGCTGCCTGGTGCTGCTGCTGCCGCAGCGGCCGCTGCTGCGGCTGCGGCTGCGGCGGTTCCCGCCGAGGCGCCTGAGCCGTGACCCAAGCCCACCGCGTCGCCGCCGCCGCTCGCCGTCACGCGTACGACGGGTCTATTTTGCAGTCTTTGGCGGGAATTCAGAGGAACTACGCGCGTTCTCCGCGGGGTAAAAAAGCTGCTGCTGGTGATGGTGCTGGTGATGGTGCTGGTGCTGGTGCGACAGGTGGAGAGGGCGGCTAGCTGGACGCCACATTTCTTTTGAGGTGCCTCAGAAGCAGCTACTCGGAAGGTGCAATGATGCAGAGAAGCTCCTTGACAGGACGCCATGGAAAACATATGCTACCAATGGTGGTATTCGGTTCTTAGGAGCTCGCCTGATGGATGGATGATTTAAGATGATAGAACCACTGAGTTATAAGATGGTCACTCACGCACTGTTTCAGGAGCAGTCTGGGTGAAGGATGTGATTCTGTATGTACGCGTTTGCGGTTTTGGTTTGTTTGAATTATACACTCGTTCTCGTACAATCAGCTTCTCCTGGATGGGTATATTAGTAATTTGGTTTGACAGGGGGATTGTAGCGAGTGGGACACTTTTTGGGCACCTGCTGCTTCTCCCCTCCTTTCAGCCATCGGTTTTGACGAATCAGAGTGCACGATCGCATCCACCTTGTTCCCTTGAACTCGTCCCGCTTCGCGGCCCAGTCACGCCGGGCTTTCCCGCGCGTTTTGCGTCTTCGAAAGTTTTCTCCAATGTTTATTGGACGCGTGGCATGCCTGACTGTTTCTCGGTGAGAATGCCGCCCGTTTCAGCGTCAGCGACCCTCCCTGAAAGCTTCGCCTGGGAGATTCGCTTCGTCATTTCTGTCGAGCTTCGTTATTTGAGCTTCGTTTTCACGTGTCGTTCGGCTGGTGGTTTTGAGTTATCAACAAAAAGCACACGCTTTTCCACACCTGCATCTCTCCCCTTACTCTAACTAGAATCACTCCTAGATATATCACCTGACTGTCAGTCTGGCTCAGCTGTAGCTAACGCGGCTGGGATCATTCATTGACCGTAACGATCGAGCCAGGTGTTGACTAGTGAATAAATCTTGACGCATCTGCCAGGTTTACGAGTTTGCTGTCGAGAAACTGCACGCTGAAGCTGAATCAGGCAGTGTCAGCTCGAGTCAGGAGAAATCCCTAGTCATTGATCCGAGGTTTTGGACGTGAGGATAAGGAGAATGCGGAGGTGGTTGATTCAGATTCCGCTGTCGAACTTGACTCCCGTAATCCAGGCATATGCTGCTGATCGATCGTTGTTAGAGGCAAGAGAACACTGACGGTGCATACCACCAACACTAACACTACCATCCAGCTGGCACCACCAGCTCCCGAAGGCCGCCATGAACTACAGAGGACTAGTCATCGCGTGCTTCTATGGTGAGAATCCAACACCATCCGAGCCGTATTTCATTGCGAGATTTTCTGAATTGTCTCATATTAGCCGTCCTTAATATCCGCCTTTCACACCCATCGGGGGGACTGTCAGTGGTTCTTGATTCGAGTCGGAAAAAAAACTTTTAACTACCATTAAGTACCATTTATCTCCTCCGTCCCATCCACCAGGGGGTATGTCCGTGGCCAGCGTGTTCATCAATAAGGCCATCTTCCACGTGTACCACTTCAACCACCCGTACACGCTGGTTCTCGGCCAAACATGCTTCACGCTCGTTCTCTTACTCGTGATGCGACGCTTCCGGGTCATCCGCCTGGCCCCGTTTCAATTCTACGTCTTCCAGCGGGTGAGTAAGAATGCCGTGCCTTAGCTGGCAGCTCTCACATGCGCATGCTCCTTGTTTCGAACCTTCTCATCATCTGCCAGTCGCCAGTCGCGGCTGAAACTCTGGTTTGCCGGTCTTCATTCGTGTCCCCATTTCCTCCCCCTCCCATCCCCCCCATTCCCTCCCATCCCCCCCATTCCCTCCCATCCCCCCCATTCCCTCCCATCCCCCCCATTCCCTCCCATCCCCTCCATCCCCACCCTCCCCCCAATTCCCCCCCCCCTCCCCCTCCCGCATTTCTCACGTTTCCGGATCAGGTCTTCCTCCTCTCCTTTGCCTTTCTTCTCAAGCTTCTTCTAGACATGTCCGCCCTCGCAAGAGTCAACATCCCCATGTACGGCGTCCTCAAGTCCTCCACCACGCCCTTCGTCCTCCTCCTAGACTACTTCCTCCGCTCGAAAAAGGCGTCCACTAGAATTCAGCTAGCCGTCTACCTCACCACTGCAGGCGGATTTATTGCAGGCTTAGGTGATCTAACCTTTGACCTACCGGGGTACATCCTAGCTCTTTCGTCCGCGTTAGCGACAGCCGCGTACGTCGTTATAGTGGGGAAGCTCGGCGAGGAGCTACAGCTGGATTCGTTCACTCTGCTTCTGTACAACAACTTCTGGTCGCTGCCGTTTTCGATTCTGTTAGTGGCGTGGAACGGCGAGCTGGTGGCGGTTAGGGAGGTGCTCCACCCGAAGACGTTCATGTTCCTGTTTTACTTCGTGCTGTCGTGCGCGTCCGCGTTCATTCTCAACCTCGCCACGTACCTCTGCACGCTCGTCAACGACTCGCTCACCACCAGCATCGTTGGTAAGCATGGCACGAGTCACTGTTGGATGATCACAAGTGGGCATCGTCAGTAAGGGGATGGTGGGTTTCTGCCACGCTGCATATTCTCTCAGTCTGCATTCTCTGTCTCACTACGTTCTTTGCCTGGCTGCACAGTTTGTCTGGCTGCAACCTACTGCTTCCCTGTTCGTCAACCACCACCCGTACCACCCGCCTTTCCCCATGTGCCAGTATCCGCTTCCATTCACCGAGTCCCCTAGTCACCTGCTGTCATTTTCCCGCCCTCCTCTTCACCTTCGTCTCACCTTGTCCTTGGCCTGACTGTGTCGTCTTTTGAGGCGCCTCAAAAGTCTTCACCTTCGTCTCACCTTGTCCTTGGCCTGACTGTGTCGTCTTTTGAGGCGCCTCAAAAGTCTTCACCTTCGTCTCACCTTGTCCTTGGCCTGACTGTGTCGTCTTTTGAGGCGCCTCAAAAGTCTTCACCTTCGTCTCACCTTGTCCTTGGCCTGACTGTGTCGTCTTTTGAGGCGCCTCAAAAGTCTTCACCTTCGTCTCACCTTGTCCTTGGCCTGACTGTGTCGTCTTTTGAGGCGCCTCAAAAGTCTTCACCTTCGTCTCACCTTGTCCTTGGCCTGACTGTGTCGTCTTTTGAGGCGCCTCAAAAGTCTTCACCTTCGTCTCACCTTGTCCTTGGCCTGACTGTGTCATCTTTTGAGGCGCCTCAAAAGTCTTCACCTTCGTCTCACCTTGTCCTTGGCCTGACTGTGTCGTCTTTTGAGGCGCCTCAAAAGTCTTCACCTTCGTCTCACCTTGTCCTTGGCCTGACTGTGTCGTCTTTTGAGGCGCCTCAAAAGTCTTCACCTTCGTCTCACCTTGTCCTTGACCTGACTGTGTCGTCTTTTGAGGCGCCTCAAAAGTCTTCACCTTCGTCTCACCTTGTCCTTGGCCTGACTGTGTCGTCTTTTGAGGCGCCTCAAAAGTCTTCACCTTCGTCTCACCTTGTCCTTGGCCTGACTGTGTCGTCTTTTGAGGCGCCTCAAAAGTCTTCACCTTCGTCTCACCTTGTCCTTGGCCTGACTGTGTCGTCTTTTGAGGCGCCTCAAAAGTCTTCACCTTCGTCTCACCTTGTCCCTGGCCTGACTGTGTCGTTCAGGCCGGACCAAGTCCATCCTGCAAGGCCTTGGTGGGCTCTTCGCGTTCGGAGATGTGCTGGTGAGACACCCCACACCCCACACCCACCCATACGCGCACGCGCGCGCACACACACACACACGCGCGCGCACGAGCACACACACATGGACACACACACACACACACACACACACACACACACACACACACACACACACACACACACACAAACGCACACTCTCACACGCACACGCACTAGCACACGCACATGCACTCTCACACGCACACGCACACGCACTTATTTACCGACTGCATATGAATTGCAAGAGGGCTAGAGAGGGAAGCAAAAGAGTGAAGAATCGGTTCTGTTGTGAGAGAGGAACTCCCTGCGAACGCTCACCCCCATTGTTTCATTCGTTCTTGTTTTTTCTTCGCCTCCAAGCAAATCTGTCTGCGCTTCATTCGTTCGTTCTCTCAACCTCAGATTTTTTTTCAAAATTTTTATTCACATATCCTTCTCTACAGCTGTGCATTTCTAACGCCCCACACAGCTTACCTTTTTCATCACGCCTTCTACCCACCCACCCACCCATCCATCCATCCACAGCTGAGTCCCACAAACCTGCTCGGTTTACTGGTGAACTCATGTGGAATCGGGTGGTACGCATATGAGAAGTTCCTGGAGGCCAAGAGGAAAGCCATGTATCTGGGGTCGCCAGCACGGTTAAAGGGCAGCCGCCCCACCACTGACACCATGACCATCACCAGAGACGGCTCGCAGGTGAGACTCGAGGCGTGCCAAAACAAGGGGGAAATAGTTGGGATGTACAGCCCAGCTTGAGGGCAGCTGCCCCACCACTGACACGATGACCATCACCAGAGACAGCTCACAGGTGAGATTTGAGGCCTTTTCTACATTGGAGACTTCCCTTTTCTACAAGGGGAAAGGCTATGTACTGGGACAGCCAGCAGCTACTGCACCAATGACACCATGACCATCACCAGAGACGGCTCACAGGTGAAATTTGAGGCCTTTCTACATTGGATGACTAAGGGAAAGGTTATTTACCTGGATAGCCAGCAGCTGCTGCACCACTGCCGCCGTGACCATCACTGGGGCCATCACAGGCGTGTGTGGAGCTCATCAGACCACCCTGCTCCTTCAGCTGCTTGTAGTCGAGCCTTTCTGCCAGCTGGTCGTTGAAAGCATGGATGTCTGTACTGCGTTTCTGAGCCGTTTTTTTTTTCTAATATATATTCCGTTCTGTGGTTGATTGCAGGTATCGCTAATCTACACTGGCAAAGAAGGAGATGACAGAGATTCGAGAAATGGCCTAGTTTGAGTGTAAGGAGAGATCTTGTCACAAGCACTAGTTTGCCCATTCATGAGGGGAGCAGATAATGTTAACAGGCATACTAATAGAGCCAAATATTTCTGAGGCGCCTTGTAAGGGTTTATGTTCAAGTTATCACAAGGCAGAATCATTATTAGCCTTAGTACTAGATGATTTGTCCATTCCATGTTTCATGCGATTGGAAGCAATCTTTACAGTCCCATAAATTTGGTACCCTATACACATAATGAGGGGTCTTATTAGCAAGAGTCCAATCCCATGACATGAATAGCATGAGTGAAAACATGTAACATGTATGCCACGCAAGCTGCATGAATTTAAATGGAGCTACCATGCAAGCGGAAGCATGCTGTCATCGGTTTTGGTTGTCACAAAGGTTTGCTCTTTAGAAGTGGGTTAAGCGAACACCTTGTTTCAGCTCACGCTTCGCAGCTTTAACGAGGTTCTGTACAGAACGACACAAGTCCCACCAGCCGAACACGGCAGACAGCCCCCGTCAACCCAACCTGACCAGAGTCAGGTTCGTGGTCTGTCCAGGTCAATCATGGGGTGACATATGGGGCACGTCTCTCCAGCCCGAAGCAGTCGTTCGGCAAAACATGACCTTTTCCAAAGCACCCCGACTTGCAAACAAGCCTCGTTGGGGAACCCCGAGCCTGGACGTGACACACGTTGCACGGCGGGCGAACCGCACCGCGAAAGTCGCCATGTTGGCTCGTCTGGGGCGACGGCGCGAGGACTTTCCCTCGTCGTGCCGCGCGGCTCGGGCCCGCACATTCTCTCACATCCCAATCTCCAAATTCCCAAGGCGAGGCGAATTTTGTATTGGAAGCGGCGCGTCACTTGCGGCATTCACGTGACTGCAACCAAAAGCCGCTCCCTCCCTTATCTCCCTGGCTCTCCTTTTCCTCAATTGAATCTTCGTGCTCTGTAGTAGTTTCCCTCTGCACACCCAGAGCCGCCGTCCCTCTGTCGGCTGTCTGCTCATACCCCATCTCCTTTTTCCCTTTGAGAAAAGGTTAGACATTCAGGAGGCAGAACAATAATCAGGAACTTTGAGAGTTTAGAGCTTAAGATAGTGCTGATTGTCAAGCACAGGGTGGCTAGGTTTAGCAGCAAGCTTGAGCTAGCACCTCGCACCTTCCCTCCCCTAATCACCACCATGGCGTCGAGATTTTTGCCCCTCGGTCTAGTTCTCACCGTATTCGTCCTCGCCGCTTTCCCTCGGGCCAACGGTGGTAGATACGAAACGTGGGCGAAAGGATTCACAGCCACGTATTATGGCGGACAGGGAGACGGCGGCTCGTGCGGGTACGGCACCGCGCAGCAATCCGGCTTCGGCGTTTACACCGCGTCGGCGTCCGCGTCGCTTTACCAGTCCGGGCTGCTGTGCGGCGCGTGCCTACGCGTTAAGTGCGTCAACAGCCCGCTCTGCAAGCCCGGCGTGTCGCCGATGGTTACCGTTAGTAATGTCTGCCCGCCGCTGTCGTCGGGCGGATGGTGCGACGGGAACAAGATGAGTCTGTCGCTCGCGCCGACGACGTGGAACATGATTGCGACGAATCCGAACATCGGAGTTGTACCCGTTATAGTGAAGCGGGTGCTGTGCCAGAGGAAGCGAGGAATCGTGTTCAACGTGACGGGAAACCCTTACTACATTGAAGGTGAGAACCCTCTTACAAACTTTGATCTGCAGCTCCTACGTGCATTATGCCTGGATTTGGGATTAAGTTTTCTGTCAGAAGCTTTGCGATACGACGACGAGATTCCGAAGCGAGTAGTCATTGGTTGCTACGGCGTTTCTAGACCCGTCGATTACATCATCCCGGCGGTCTGAGGCTCGTCTCAAATTCCGCGGCGTTTTGACGCTTGCTATTTTGCTCATCGCCCGTTCCGCCACTTAGCCGCGACTGTTTTGGGCCACATTTTATAACCTCGTTCTCCCTCTTCTCCCTCATTGCAGCTCTGATCAAGAACGTCGCGGGATCGGGCGATCTGCGCCGGGTCGATCTGTCACTGAACCGCGGTCCGTTCCAGCCCATGATTCGATCCTACGGGTCGGTCTGGACATTTTCCGGGCAGAAGATCACGGGCAAGTCGCTCTCGTTCCGCCTCTTTTCGCGCAATGACAACGCGTCACTCGTCATCTGGAACGCGCTGCCGCCCAACTGGGTCCAGGCCGTTAACTACATCTCCAAGTCGAACTTCGGCTTCGCGTAATAATGACGGAGACGGGCCTAAATCGCGGTCCGGGTGGGGGAGAAACGCGGCGAGATTATGACAGGGGGGGTGCCGTGAAACGCGGTGGTGGAAGCCAACTAGAGAGTTAGCGGAATAAATGATGGTAGGGCTGGATTAGGTGCGGAGTTTACTGAAATGTGACGTGACGTACCTTTTAGCGGCTTGAAATAAAGGCTTTTAGGTGTGTCCAATGTAACTTGCTGCATACCAAACCTTCTCGCCGTATTTGGCGGTAGTGTTGTTTCCATGGATTATTCATGCCTTAGTGTAGCGTGCGGGTGGGATTTCATTTTAGTGCTTAGCATATCCAGAATCAAAGTGAGCTCATGCTAATACAACAGCTTAATTGGTTGTATTGGTCAGCAATGTGCCTGTACTGCAGATGTTGTTAGAATGCAAGAATAATGACTAGTGTGAGAAACCTAGAACATATACCTGTTGGGGTTGTACTCACTAGAAGCACACACCTAGGCTAGCCTATAATTTATGTATAAGTTGACAGATGTATGTCCCAAAATACCAGGATCAGAAATACAGAGTAGGTATACAGTATGTACGGCATAGGTACGTCTGCTACAGAGTAGCCTTGCTACACAAACAACTATACCTACAATATAGGAGAGATCCACATTTTTGTGACGTATAAAGCAACCTTGCAAATAATAGATGGCGCGCTTTCTTTTGCGCTCAAAGCATACAAATGCCTGAAACAAATTCAGCCACACTGCCACAGGGCACAAGAGGTGCCCTTGTACAACCCACACACAAATACACTTGTTATCTAAGCTTGTTGTGTTCCACCGACTCGCCTGATTGTCAAACAATATTAAAAGCAGCTCTTGATAGAGTTGCAGTCTTCGACGAAATGCACGACATGATGGTGTCCCTTTGGTGTCTCCGGGTTGTGGTCCCATCCCTTGCAGTCTCTCTTGCAGTCTCAGAATCGGTTGCCCTCGTCAAACAAACGGCGCCAGTGGCACACGTGCACCTGACACGTGAAATGGTTGAGCGTGTCGGGTAGGTAAGAAGAGGAGAGGTAAGGTGGAGAAGAGGTGAAGGATGAAGGAACCAGCCCTTACCTCGTCCTTCCGCTTCATCTACCACGTCGTAGGCTTGCCTGCAGAACTCACCTTTCGCTTCAGCCACATATTGGACAGTCACACCCTGCTTCAGTCACGTATTGGTACAGTTACACCCTTCTACAGTCACATCTCACCATCAGCCTCCATCCTCGGGCGGCTTGTGATGTCCTCCTTGCAGAGGGGGCAGGAGGAGTTGATTCTGAGCCACGTGTCAACACAGGATTGGTGGAAATGGTGGCTGCAGGGCAGCTCACGAAGGTCCACCCCGTCCCTGTAGCGACCCAGGCAGATGCAGCAGAGCTGGGGGGGTGGGCGGTTGGTGGTTAAGGGTGGGGGTAAAACAGGATAAGATGGGGGAGAGGGGGCGGTTTACCCCGTCCCTGTAGCGACCCAGGCAGATGCAGCACAGCTGGGGGGGTGGGTGGGTGGGGAGAGTGGGGGGCGGGCGGGTGGGGGGAGGTGTGGGGGGAGTGGGGAGGGGGAGTGGGGAGAAAGTGGGGAGACAACGAGGTGAGGGAATCGGAAGAAGAGATTGCAGGGCAGCTCCCAATGGTCCACCCCGTCCCCACCTGGGTGGGTGGGCGGGTGGAGGGGGAGGAACGAGCCTGAGGATTGAGGATTGGAGGAGAAAGTCTGGGGATGAAAGGCCGTTCTAGTAACGGCTAAAACAGATGCAGCAGAGCTGTTTTTGAGGCGCCTAAAAAAATAAGGCCGCTCTAGTAGCGGCTACAACAGAAGCAGCAGAGCGGGGTGAAAGGGGGGAGGGGAGGCGAAGGGAGGCGAAGGGAGGCGAAGGGAGGCGAAGGGAGGCGAAGGGAGGCGAAGGGAGGCGAAGGGAGGCGAAGGGAGGCGAAGGGAGGCGAAGGGAGGCGAAGGGAGGCGAAGGGAGGCGAAGGGAGGCGAAGGGAGGCGAAGGGAGGCGAAGGGAGGCGAAGGGAGGCGAAGGGAGGCGAAGGGAGGCGAAGGGAGGCGAAGGGAGGCGAAGGGAGGCGAAGGGAGGCGAAGGGAGGCGAAGGGAGGCGAAGGGAGGCGAAGGGAGGCGAAGGGAGGCGAAGGGAGGCGAAGGGAGGCGAAGGGAGGCGAAGGGAGGCGAAGGGAGGCGAAGGGAGGCGAAGGGAGACGAAGGGAGACGAAGGGAGACGAAGGGAGGCGAAGGGAGGCGAAGGGAGGCGAAGGGAGGCGAAGGGATGCGAAGGGAGGCGAAGGGAGGCGAAGGGAGGCGGGGGGAGGCGGGGGGAGTCTATTTTTGAGGCGCCTCAAAAATAGGCTGGGTGAAAGGGAGGAGGTGAGGCGAGGGGAGGCGGGGGGAGCAGATTAGGGAACTCACGGCGTCTTCTCCCCTCACTGTTCTCTCCTTGTCCGTGCCCGGCCACAGCAGCCCCACCACACTGTCTTCCTCCTCTCCATCCGACTCCCCCTCACTCTCACTCCCCCCCCCCTCTCCCTCTCCTTCTCCTTCTCCCTCCTCTCACTCGCACTCTCCCTCTCTCCCTTTCTATCCACACACTCCTCTGCGAGTGCACTGGTGACTTGGCTGCTGCAACTGTCACCACAGCACGCGCCAGCAGAAGTACTAGCAGCACTAGAAGCAGCACTAGGAGCAGTGCTGGCAGCAGCACTGGCTGGAGTGGTGCCAGCAGCTGCAGCAGCAGACAGGGTTGCAGCAGCAGCAGCACCACGCCTCATGATCCTCCCACTCAATCCCCTCACCCAGCCTGCTGGTTCTGCCACAATACCCCCTAGCCCCCACTCCCCTCCCCTCCCTCCTATCACCCCCCTCCCTCCTCCTGCTTCCCTGCGCGAGCTCGTACAGTCTGTTCCACATGGCCTTCCACCCACCCCTCTACTCGGTCCTTCTCCCAACCCACTGCGTGTTCCCACCATCTTGGAACCAGAAACACCAGCTTCACCAGCAGCAGAAGCAACCCCAGCAGAACCAGCAGAACCAGCAGCACCAAAAGCAGCAGCATCACCTTTCCCCCGCAGCCGAGCCACCCCCGCACCACTCCCAGCCCTCAGCCTCCGGTATTTGAACGAGGGGAGGGCGGTGATGGTGGTGGTGGTGGCGCCCCTGCTGCTGCGCGAGGGCAGAAAGGCCCCGTCCGGCTCGTAGCCGACGAGGTGCAGCAGACACGGCAGGCAGCAGCAGATGGCCGCGCAGAGGAGAAACGGCAGGGCGTAGCCGACGCAGCTGAGGGTTATGAGCAGCACGCAGAGGCTGGTAGGGGGGATAGATATGGGAGTGGGTGAAGGGGGGGAGGGGGGGGGAGGGGGGGGAGGGGGGAGATAAGGGGAAGAAATACAGGGGAGGGAGAGGGGGGGCTTGGCATGGGAGACAGCAGATGGCGGCGCAGAGGAGGAATGGCAGAGGGGAGGGGTGGGGGGGTGGGGGGGTGGGGGGAAGGGGGAGGGGAGACAAGTGCAGGGGGGTGAGGGGAGAGTCCAGCTTGGGAGGTACCAGATAGGGGCGTGGCACCACACGTGATAAAAAATGGGAAGGGGGAAAGAAGCGGAACACTCACTTGTAGAGGTTAGGGGCGGTGGTGGCGGCAGAGTGAGCGCCGAAGACCCAGACGTTACCGAGCACGAACCACACTGCGAAGAAGCAGTCGAGGGTTACTTTGTAACGCTCCACTAGCGCCATGATCCTGAATGGCGGGCAGGGGAAGGGAGAGAGGAGACGCACTTACGGTTACTTTGTAACGCTCCACTAGCGCCATGATCCTGAATGGCGGGCAGGGGAAGGGAGAGAGGAGACGCACTTATGGTTACTTTGTAACGCTCCACTAGCGCCATGATTCTGGGACGCAGGGGGGAGATGGGGTACGTGGGAGAGTGGTAGGGGGAGAGCGCAGAGAGGAAGAGAGAGGGAGAGAGAGGGAGAGAGGAAAGGAGAGAGAGGAAAAGAGATGGTAGAATAATTACTGGAGCATGACCTTACCATTTCCACTTACCCCATTTCACCCCAAGCATATCACCGAATATCACCGCACGGCACCACAGCTCACCGTGCATCGTCCTGCAGTTCGTCCACCAGCCATCGCACACACGACAGTGCCCTCTCTCCCGTCGCCGCCGCAATGTGCCGAAACCCACTGTACCGCCCTGGACCGTACACCTCCTCCTCCTCATCATTCTCGTCATCAGAATTATAACCGTAGCCACTGTAGATATCAACACCGCCGGCACCACCAGCTCCGCCCAAGATTCCTCCGCCAGGATATGACCAGGGTTGGGTGTTTGCAGGCGCGCACGGGGGAGCGTGCGTGTAAGGAGGGGGCGAATAGCTTGCGTTCAACCCGACTCCCCCTGCCCCCCCTGCGCCCATATACGGGGTACTGGTCGCGGTTTGCGCCGCCACAGGCGCCGCGAATGACGCTCTTCCAGACGAGAGGGGTCTTGAGGAAGTCGCGAAGGGAGAGGAAGTAGAGGAGAGAGAGGACGAGGAGAGGGAGGACGAGGACGAGGACGCGCGTATGGGCGCTACTGCTGTTACTGCGGCGGCGGCGGCGGAAGATTGTGGAAGTCTGAGCGGCGAGACGGGTCTCGTTGACGCCATAGCTGGTTGCGACGGCGTTTCACGCACCAGCTGCCACTGCCGCCGCCGCTCGTCCTCCTCTTCCTGCTGCTGCCGCAGCAAAATCTCCCCGTCGTACCGCAGGAAGCGGTGAGTGTAGCGCCAGTATAGCAAGGGGAGCAGCAGGAGGCAGCCGAGCGTGTAACCGAGTACCCACACGCGCAGAGGCACGGGGGGTTTCTCGTGGGGGAAAAGCGCGAGCACGCACACGCCCGCGGAGATTTGCGCCAGGATGCAGAGCAGCTCGACCGCCAGCCACACGCGGGAGTTGAGCGGAGTGGGGCGCGCCAGCGGGGAGGAGGGGGAGGCGGAAGGGCGGCGCGCGGGTGAGCGCGCGCGCACCAGGCGAGGGGGAGCGGAAGCGGGCGGAAGAAGGGCTGCGGATGCTGGGGGGAATGGCGGAGTTGAATACGGCGGTGTCGTTGTTGTTAGTGGTGGAGAGGGATGGAAGCGGGATGGATGCTGATATAGTGGGGAATCGAAATGCAGTCGCTGCTGCTGCGAAACCTGCTGCGAAAGCTCGGCTGACTGTTCATAGATATGACGTGGCGCGCCATGATTGGAGTGCTCACTCTCAGCAGAATCGAGTGAAAAAGGCGGAGGGGAGGGAGAGCACATGCCCATGGTTACGCGGCAGTCCGTAGCGGCAGGAGGGGAAACTCGGGGAATATTTGCGGGGACGGGGGGATGGTGGCGGGACGCAGGAGCGCAGAGCTGGTGCGCGGATGGGGAGGCAGAAGCGAGAGTCGGGTAGTAGTGACCGTTGGTATAGGTTGAAAATTGTTCAGGATTGAGGTAGTAGGGAGGCGGACAAGAGCCTGCAGGAAAAGTTGGGGAAGGTTCTGGAGAGACGCAAGCGGCGGCGGGATCGCGCGTGTCGATGCGCGTCCCGTGAGAAAGAAATCGGCCGTTGTTGTAGCGATCAGGGCTCGTGATATTCTCGACGCAGAAAGGGCTTACGGGAAACGGTGGAATGCAATTTAGATCGGTGGCGGATGGTTCCATGGTGCAGGGTCTGGGAGTCCGGTTGGGAGAGGTGAAAGACGGTTGTGGGATGACGGGTCGGCGCCAACCTGTCATTTCGGACGGGGACGCGGGAAATGGCTGGTGTGCTGAATCCATGGCCTGACGAAGATCGCCTTGTCTTGGAGTCATTGACGGCCGAAGCGCGTAAATCTGCTTAGCTTGCGACCCTTTCTTTTTAGCGGTCTTGATATGCAATCGGAAGAGGGCGCGAGAGAGGCACGAGAGCTATGAGAGCGCTATCGATGAGAGAGCTAGAGAGAAGTTACGGGTGTCAAATGGTCCTCCAGAGGGATGTACTTCGCTAGTTGAGAAGAGAAGAGATTGCTCGTCACGTCACCATGGGACGCCAGGTCGATAACACAGCGCCATAGAAAAGGCCAGTCTGTAGTCGAGCGATGAAATTTCTCAAGGGCCTCGTGAAAAGGCAGACCTACAATGCAAGGGCGACAGGGGCAAAACCAAGGGTGGTGTGAAAGTTGAAGGTGCGGTGATAAGTGCTGGTGCACAGCCAAGGGTAGAGAGAATGAGCATCTCAATGCGCGGAAATCCGTCTACTGTATCGAGGATGCACATGGCGCACAATGCAGCCTTGATCCCACCCCAGGCCTGGAGCTCGGCATTCCCTAGGCAGTGTGCCTGGCGTGTGCGCAACTCCCCCCCAAACATAAGCAGCTCCGCCCGTCTGTGCCGTGTCGGTGAAATTGTGTCGCGGTCGCGGGGCAGGGAAGCGCGCAGGCTGGTCTTGGTTTCTCGAGCTTGCCATCTCGTGTCGCCCTCGGAATTGCGCTTTCGGAAAAGGAAATCTGCCAATCAGAAATGTTTTGCGAACAAAAGCCTTATCAGTTACCACTTGCCTCGGCGTCGTTCATGAAGCATGCAGCCTGAGGGGGTGACGTTATAAGAAGTGCGCTCAACAAGAACCTCGTTTGGAGAACAGGTTTGTGTGTCCTTCCTGCAAACGACGAATGGCAGGGACGGATTGTCGCACTTCGTCAAAGTCACACAAACGAGTTGACGCGGATCCTGGGCTGTGTGTAATTCGCCAAAGTCACACAGTTACCTTGATTCCAAGCTACGCATTCCGCAAAATCTTATATTACAGTTCTACTGGAGGTCATAACCTCATCTTGCTAACAAACAGCATATTCAATATGGAGGAAAAGGTCTCTGAAATTTCCAATTGAAATGCCTCATAGACAAAATAATGCGTCCTATTTTCTGATGATGCAAGAACACGCTCTGAACCACGCATGCAAAGACAGAAATGTGTTTCACCTCCCTTCTCCATCTTGTCCTGCATTGGATGCGATGTGAGTAGTGTCAAACATGTTTAGTTATCATGCTTGTATAGACTGTATAGGGTCATCTTCTAGAGAGTACAACTGTTAGGTATATGTTTGTGTACTCTCTTTCTCTCAATTAATCAATTTCACTGTTTGATATGGTATCACGCGTAGGTAGGATCCCCCCCCCCTCACGCTTCCGCTCGCCCCCTAGCTGGGCCCCGTCGTGCTCCTAGCCCCGTCGCGACCCTCCCTCGCCCCGTCGCGACCCTCCCTAGCCCCGTCGCGCCCCTTCCTGGGCCCCGTTGCGCCCCTTTCTGGGCCCCGTAGCGCCCCTCCAGGGCCCCGTCGCGCTCCTCCCAGGCCTCGTAGCGCCCCTCCTGGGCCCCATTGCGCTCCTCCCAGGCCCCGTCGCGCCCCTTCCAGGGCTTCGTAGCGCCCCTCCAGGCCCCGTCGCGCCCCTTCCAGGGCTTCGTAGCGCCCCTCCAGGCCCCGTCGCGCCCCTTCCAGGGCCTGGTAGCGCCCCTCCAGGGCCCCGTCGCGCTCCTCCCAGGCCCCGTAGCGCCCCTCCTGGGCCCCATTGCGCTCCTCCCAGGCCCCGTCGCGCCCCTTCCTAGCCCAGTCGCGCTCCTCCCAGGCCCCGGTAGCGCCCCTCCTGGGCCCCATTGCGCTCCCCCCAGGCCCCGTCGCGCCCCTACCTGGGCTTGGTAGCGCCCCTCCAGGCCCCGTCGCGCCCCTCCCCAGCCCCGTCGCGCCCCTCCCAAGCCCCGTCGCGCCCCTCCCAGGCCCCCCCTTGCGCCCCTACCAGGGCCCGTAGCGCCCCTCCTGGGCTCGTAGCGCCCCTCCTGGGCCCGTAGCGCCCCTCCTGGGCCCGTAGCTACCCTCCTGGGCCCCGTCGAGCCCCTCCTGGGCCCCGTCGCCCCTGCTCGGCCCCGTCGCCCCTGCTCGGCCCCGTCGCCCCTGCTCGGCCCCGTCGCGGCCTCTCGGCCACGTGGCGCCCGCCCGGCCCCTGTCGCCCTGCCCGGCCCCTGCTCGCCCGCCCGGCCCCGTCGCCCCTGCCCGGCCCTGCTGTGTCCTGCCCGGGCCCCGTCCCTGCCGCCCGACCTTGTCGCTGCCGCCCGGCCCCGTCGCAGCCGCCCGGCCCCGTCGCCCCTGCCCGGCCCTGCTGTGTCCTGCCCGGCCCCGTCCCTGCCGCCCGGCCCCGTCGCAGCCGCCCGGCCCCGTCGCAGCCGCCCGGCCACGTCGCAGCCGCCCGGCCTTGTCGCTGCCGCCCGGCCCCGTCGCCGCCGCCCGGCCCCGTCGCAGCCGCCCGGCCCCGTCGCCGCAGCCCGGCCTTGTCGTGCCTGCCCGGCCCTGACGCGCCTGCCCCGGCCCTCCATACTTCCTGGTACTGTCCCCCGTTCCCCGCACCACTTTGCACCCTCCTTCACTTTCCTGCCCCGCCTTGCACCGCATTGCACCTTACTGGACCGCACCGCCCGCACTGCACCGCACTGGACCGTACTGCACCGCACTGCATCGCACTGCACCGCACTGCATTGCACTGCACTGTCCTCCACTGCCCCTCATGGCTGCTGAGCTTCGTTTTGATGCTGAGGGTCAGCCTCTGGAGTTCGAGGCGTGGTTGGCTGACCTTCGCCGCCACCTCACTGGCCAGCGGCAGGACGGCCACCCGCTTTCTGCACACCTAGACGGTATGCTCCCCTGCCCTGACCCCCCTGCTGTGCTGCCCGCTGATCCCACGCCCGCTGAGCGCGAGTCCACTGCCGCTGCTGCCTTTGCCCGCTCTGTCTGGCTTTCCCGCGATGCCCTTGCTCAGCTCGCCATTAGCAATGCCCTCCCCCCCCCTGAGCGCCCTCGCTTTAGAACCATTACTACCGCCCAGGCCTACCTTGATGCTGTCATCAAGCGCTATTCTACCCCTCCTGCTGCCTCAGTGGGTCGCCTAATCCTCCCCCTGCTCTTTCCTGACCTGGCGTCTTTCCCCACTGTCTCTGACCTCGCTGCCCACCTGCGCTCGATAGATGAGGCCTGGCGCGCTGCCTGCACTGATGCACAGCTTAGAGTCCACCAGCCTCCCATGACCTCCACCCTCTACCTCCTTGCCACCCGCCTCCCTGACCGCCTTGCCGCCGCCCGCGACCAGTTCCTTAGCATCCATCCTGCTGCTCTCACCCTCACCGACTTTGTTGACACCCTGACTGCCATAGAGACTCGTCACCGCTCCATAGCCCAGGCGAGCGGTACAGTACCGGTCCCTATCTTTCAGGGTTGTGCCCCCGCTCAGTGTACCTTCTCCGACGGCTCTGTCGCTGTGGCTGAGACTGCTGCTGCAGTGCAGTCCCGCTCGGCGAAGGGCCGCCGCCCCAAGGTTGGGAGCGGCGGAGGCGGCGGGGGTGCGGGTGGGGGTAGTGGTGGAGGCGGGTCGTCCGGTGCCGGTGCGGACGTGGGGACCCTGCCCGGTCCAGCTGCCCCGCTGCCTCCACCATTGCAGCAGCAGCAGCAGCAGCAGCAGCAGTCGCCGCAGCCGCAGCAGCCGCAGCAGCCGCCGCAGACGAGGCCGGCGAGTGCTCTCCCGCCTGGGTGGCCTGGAGCTGGTGGTGGTCGTGCGCGTGGTGGTGCACCGGGTGGTGGTTCTGGAGGCGGGCCCTGTCAGTACCAGATCCAGACCGGTCCTCGCCGCGGCTTCGTTTGCGGTAAGATCGGTCATTCTACTCCTCGCTGTTTTCGTCGTCTGGATGACCTGTTCCGCCAGCGCTTTGGCCCGGCGCCCGACCTCCCGGACTGGCACAGCTTGCTTAGGCGTAGCATTAGGATTTTTGACTTGGACATGGATGCCATTGTAGCAGCCTTGCATGTGATGTATGCTGATGACTCTAGTGTGCTTCCCTCTTATTACCCCGTGTTGCCTAGTGTAGCGGTGCCTAGCGTAGACTCCCCTGCTGCGTCAGGCGTAGGATCTCCTGCTTTGCTTAGCCTTGGTGCTTCCACCGCTTCACTGCCGCCTCACGCGACTGCTGCGCTTTCCTTCACCTTGGACTCTGGCGCCTCCCGGTGTTTCTTCCGCGACTCCACGACGCTGACGCCGCTGCCTGTTCCCGCTGCCGTTACTCTTGCTGACCCCTCCGGTGGTCCCGTCGTTGCCCGCAGTTCCACCTCCCTTCCCTGTCCGGCGGTTCCTTCAGGTTCGCTCACCGGTCTGCATATCCCCTCGTTCTCCAGGAACCTAGTTGGTGTCGGCTGCCTCCAGGACCTTGGCGTCACCACTACGTTCCCTGGTCACGAGCGGTATGCTGTCTGTACCGAGGCCGCCACTGGTGCCCCCCTTACCACTTTCCCCCGGGACCCGGTGTCCGGCCTGTTCACACTTGACACCGCGACGTCCCCGGCTGGGTCTTCCCCCCCGGTAGCTGCGTCCACCCAGGTTGCTGCCGCGTGCTCCTGTCGGTCCCTCACTCACCCGACTCTCCTTTGGCACCACCGCCTTGGTCACCCTGCACTCCCACGTCTGCGTCACATGTCCCAGCACGGTCTCGTCCTTGGTCTCCCCGGTTCGTTCCCCGAGTTTCCCTCCTCCCCCGCCCCACCGTGCACGCCTTGTGTCGAGGGCCGGCTCCGCCGTGCCCCTCACTCCTCCTCTTTTCCCCCTACCACCGCACCACTGCAGACTCTGCACATGGACGTCTGGGGCCCAGCCCCGGTCCATGGACCGCGTCGCGAGCGCTTCTTCCTAGTGCTTGTCGACGACTTCACGCGCTACACCACCGTCTTCCCCCTGGAGCGGAAGGCCGACGTGCCTGACGTTCTCATCCCCTGGCTTGTCTCTGCTCGTGTCCACCGCGGTCTCCCTGCCTTGCGCCTCCACTCCGACCGGGGTGGCGAGTTTGCCTCAGGTGTCCTTGGTCGCTTCTGTCGTGCGGAGGGCATCACCCAGACGTTTACCCTGCCGGACTCCCCGCAGCAGAATGGGGTCGCTGAGCGACGCATCGGTTTGGTCATGGAGGTGGCTCGCACCTCCATGGTCCACGCCGGTGCACCCCATTTTCTGTGGCCGTTCGCCGTGCGCTACGCCGCTCACCAGCTTAACCTGTGGCCGCACCCCCAGCGGCCGCAGGTTTCGCCGACCCTTCTGTGGACCGGGTCCCCTGGTGACGCGTCTGC